GTTCTAACTATACCTCAAAAGTGTCGGCTGATACAAACCTGTCTCCCCGATGAGGACCGCCGTGCCCATAAAAGGTATAGCTAGCTCTTCTATTATGCATGAAGTGCATGAACATCACGATGCAGTGTGGAGTCTGTGAACGGATGTAGATCTTTGTGTATATAATGCTGAATAGTGCGTGTGATAGGATGAGAACAATCAGCTGGGGTGATCAGGTTCTTTCAGAACAGCTATTGCCACGTCCGATACATGACAGGCACGTGTGAGGGGAATCATCTGGAGACAATCTTCGTCACTTCACAGTCACTTCACAGCACGCCTTGAAAAATTGAAAACCAACCTATAAAAGACCACCTACCAGGTAGTTGGAATATGCTTTTTCTACAAACCTCTGATAGCCTATCCCTTTGGACTGGTCTGGAGATCATACCCGGACTAATTGATTTGTTGGCATCGGTAACCTCCGATGAGAATATAGCTATCGTATGGTATGTGCATCAACCCCCTCCTTCCCCCGGGCCTTTTTTTTTCTTTCTTCAAATCTATTTGATATCGCACAATCACACAACTATACAGTCTATTCCGAGATCTCTTCAATGTTCATTATGTGCTGATTATTGTATCACTAATCACATATACAGATAGTCCCATATTTCTCTCACAATTTGCCACCTTACCCAAAGTTGAAATTCAACAATGGCGGAATCAACCTTTCAGGGGTCTGTCGACCCCAAGTATAGTCAAGGTTACTCTGCTGATGTGGACATAATCCGAGAGCAAGAGTACCCTCTGCTAAATGGTATATATGTGCCCATTGTTATCGCTTAATTCACGCTGACCATTGTTCTACAGGAACAACATACCTGGATTACGCGGGGACAACACCCTATGCCAAGTCCATGATTGAGAATTTCTCGCGTGATCTTACATCTAATCTGTTTGGAAACCCTCATTCGATGTCTATATCGTCGCAGCTTTCTACACAAAGAACAGAAGATGTTCGAGTCCGCGTATTGAAATTCTTTAATGCAGACCCGGATGAGTTTGATCTTGTCTTTGTGGCAAATGCAACTGCTGGCATTAAGCTAGTCGCAGACTCACTCCGGGACTCCGACCATCGAGGATTTTGGTATGGCTACCACGTTGATTCTCATACCAGTCTCGTCGGGGTACGAGAGTTGGCTGAGATGGGCTATCATTGTTTTCAAAGTGATGATGAGATGGAGGCTGAGATTTCAAAGTTGGCTGGTAACCAGTCAAAGGCACCCAGGCTACTTGCATACCCAGCCCAGTCCAATATGAACGGCCGGCGTCTGCCTATTCGATGGTGCGAGCAGGTCCGATCCGCAACAAAAGAAAGCGGAGGAAATGTATACACCTTGCTTGACGCTGCGTCGTTGGTATCAACCGCTCCCCTTGATCTAGGCCCGTCCTCATCTGCTCCAGACTTCACTGTCCTTAGCTTCTACAAAATATTTGGATTTCCTAATTTGGGTGCTTTGATTGTCCGCAAAAGTGCTGCACGGGCCTTTGAACGACGGAAATATTTTGGCGGAGGCACCGTCGACATGGTCCTAGCCACTGGGGTACAGTGGCATGCGAAAAAGGAAACCTCAATCCATGAGCGGCTAGAGGACGGTACTCTCCCGTTCCATAGTATTATAGCTCTGGACGCAGCCTTGGACACGCACGAACGCTTATTTGGTTCGATGGCGAACATTTCGGCCCATACTGGGTTCCTCGCAAAGCAAGTCTATGACAGGCTTTCTTCATTGGCACATTTCAATGAGAGAAAAGTCTGTCAAATTTACCAATCGCACACCTCGACATATGGCAATTCAAATACCCAAGGTCCGATTATTGCGCTAAATCTTTGCAATAGTCGCGGTGAATGGGTTCCTAAAACCGAAGTGGAAAAATTGGCTACGGTCCAAAATCTGCAGATACGAACTGGGTCCGTCTGCAATCCAGGAGGAACTGCCTCGTCACTTGGGTGGACTGGACCCGAGCTTCGCCGGCATTACTCTGCGGGATTACGTTGTGGTGATAACCATGATGTTCTTGGGGGGCGACCAACAGGAATTCTGCGCGTCAGTATTGGTGCTACAACCAATATGAAGGATATAGACTCCTTGATCAACTTCATAGAGGAGTTTTACGTGGAGCAGAATCCACCTATAGTTGCTCTAAATCCTCTAACAAAAGAGGATGAGGTCGTGGCCCCTCATTTCTATGTTGAGAGCTTGTCTGTGTTCCCAATCAAGAGTTGCGGTGCTTTCAAGATACCCGAGGGAAAGCGCTGGGAAGTGAAGAAAGAGGGACTGGCGTGGGATAGAGAATGGTGTTTGATTCATCAAGGGACTGGTGCAGCCCTGAATCAGAAAAGGTATGTTAAGCCCGAACAAAGTATACGAATACCTAAATTAACGCTAGCAGATACCCTCGCATGTGTCTCATACGACCCTCGATTGAGATTGAAAGAGGAGTTCTCCGCATTACTTGTGGTGCAATCGCCGCACCAGATCAGGTCAGCCTTGAGATTTCACTTGGCTGGGAGGACACAAGTCTTATCTCTACGTCCTTCTGTCCAAGCTCGACCAGAAAGCCTACAACAGTCTGTGGCGAACAAGTTCCTCTCCATGCCTACACTTCCCCGGTGGTTTCAGCGTTCTTCTCAGACTTCCTGGGAGTGCCCTGTACTCTCGCACGGTTCCCGACACAGACCACCAACCGATACTCACGGATGCAACGGACGCCAAATTCGTGGAAGAGCCGTTTCCGCAAGCTGATCATGCCAGGCTCATTCCCACCCGACTTCCCTCCGCCGGTGCGTGAGGGTGGCCAGACACAAATCAGGCTGTCCAATGAGTCACCAATTCTAATAGTCTCACGCTCATCCGTCAACCGACTGAATGAGACCATCAAAGCAAACAGCAAGCAAGGCCGGAGTAAGACTGTTGCTGCAGACGTCTTCCGGGGTAACATTGTCGTTGCTGAACGGCTTGCTCGCCGTGGTGACGTGGAACAACCATATGCGGAGGACCGGTGGTCGTCCCTTCGAATTGGACAAGACCAACTTCGATTCGATGCTCTCGAGGCATGCCAGCGATGTCAAATGGTTTGTATAGACCAGTTCACCGGTTTCCGACGGGATGAGCCGTTTTCAACGCTTTCCAAGACCCGAAACATCAATGGGAAGGTCTTGTTCGGCAAATATTCTACACTTTCCCCGGAAGAACTAGAGGGCTTTGACATGGAACTACCTGATCGCAGGACGATAATGGTGGGAGATGTGGTGGTGCCATTATATCAGGATGATTGAGTATTTAAATGTTTTTATTTTGGCATTATGTGATTTCGGGTCGCAATGGGTGGACTTCGGTGTTCTATAGTCGTACACACCTTGTATATAGCTGTCAATACCAAATAGACCGTGGTTGTGACTTGTCTAATACATTTTGACCAAGAACACTCAAAGCTCTGCTCCATAATCTCAAAGGCTTTTCAGCTAGCAACATAATTGATTGTGTTCCTTGGCCTCTGTTGACAGGAAGTGAATTTAATAAACACAAAAGTGATATCCATACCCACTAAACAACAACTGTTGCAGGAGCGTTGTCCTGGACTGTGGTGAAAGGCGCCGCAAAGCCATAGGTCTCGTAGCCTTTAGAGTAATCCTTGCCTTCCTCACGCTCTAGAAAATATACATCAGCAACTCGGCATCTGAACTTCCAAAGAATAACTCACCATGCTCAGGTGGGAACATCTCCATTCGATGCTTGTAATATTGCTCCCTAAGATCCTCCCCATCACTCCTCGAGTGGAAGGTAGCATAAAGGCTTGACCGACTCTTATCAGTGTTGTTCTCAGCCGAGCGATGGGCAAGATGTGACCCAAAGATCAGCATATCACCCATATCAAGTGGAACAGTAGTCCACTCATGAGCCTGCTCCCATTTAGTCGTGATTCGGCCACCTTCTGCAAATTCAATTTCCATCTTGTGTGACCCGGGCACAACCTCCAAACATCCGTTTTCGGGAGTCGCAGCATCAATAGCTATGTTGGCGGTAACATGTTCGATGCGACCGATGTGGTCGTAGGCTGGTGCATCGAGGTGGGCCTGGAAGCCGTTGCCCTGGGGCTGTTTGTAGTTGATCTTCTCTTTGAAGAGCAACATATCCTACAATCAAGAGCTGTGAGTATGAACTCCTAAGATAGCTTCAGTATTAGGGCATCGGGAACAAACATCGCCTGAAACTGCCTTAAGAATCTCGGCCAGCTGCTTGCCACAGACCAATGACTTGAACCCGGGGTGGTAGTCCATGAACTTTTCGGTGCGCATCAGCTGGCGTTCACCGTTGATGTTGATTTCGTCATAAGGCATCCATTTGCCCTTCACGCGAGGCCATGACTTGACTTCTTGCGTCCATTGCTTGAGTTCTATGGGGTCAACGAGTTTATGCTCGGCGGTGCGTAGGAGGAGGTAACCATTCTCGTGATAAAAAGCTACTTGTTCAGGTGTAAGAGGCGACATCTTTGAGTAATCTGATCGAAACCACAGAATTAAGTAGATGATGGGATAATCGAAGTGGAAATGTAGTAGCCAGCGAGCTTTTAATAGTTTCGAGATGCCTCATTTTTTTGTAGACTGCGGGGCCATTCCGATGACTCCGCCATTGATCTAAATTAAAAACCCCTATGGAATTTCTCAATAAGTTCTGCTGCATGGGAATTGAGTGAAGGTGTTCCTCCCGAAGCCACACGAACGCCCACGGGATGCAGCACAGACCAACGGGCTTCGTGCCGAGATGGATACCATTCGCTCTTGGAATCTCGGAGGAGAAAGTTAGAAGATCATCAAATGCTTGTAGACGGACTTCGTGCCTTGGGCAATTTCAAATGCTACATGCTGATAGATATGTTAGACACTACATGACCAAGGGATCTATTTAAGACTCCGATGGAACATTTTTTGAAAACATTCAAATACATGTATCAGCATGGACTTGAAGATGACAACTCCTCATATTGAGCAAGCTCTTGCCTCTGTCGAGGAACACACCCGAGCAACCATTAAAACATTGTTCCAATTCCTGCACGCACAGGGCCAGGGTGACTATCTCGGCGAGCAAGTAACTCAACTAGAGCACTCGCTACAGTGTGCATATCTTGCCACGCAGTCTACTAAACATGGAAATGACCCCGAGGTCATCCTGGCTGCACTTTTGCACGATGTCGGACGCTTCATCCCCGCGGCCGAGAAGATGGAGAAAATGATCACTCCCGATGGCCAGTATATTGGACGCCAAAGCCATGAGGCTCTGGGAGAGTTTTACCTGCGCCAGATTGGGTTTAGTGAGAAGGTGTGCACGTTGGTCGGTGCGCATGTAATGGCAAAGCGCTATTTGGTTGCGACAGATCGAAGCTATTATGATGCATTAAGTGAGACCAGTAAGCGGACATTGAAGTTCCAGGTAATACATTTTGAACTTCCTGTATTGTTAATATTTCAATATATTAACGACGGTCAGGGTGGCGGATACAATACCGAGCAGGTCCGAGAGGCGCAACAGGATCCCTTGCTTGAGGCTAAGCTTTCTGTCAGACGATGGGATGATCTCGCGAAAAAGCCAGATTTGAAGGTCCCTCTTCTGGAAGCCTATGAGGAACTTGCCTATAAATGTCTTATTGGTGAGTGTGATCGCGATATACCAACCCGATATAGACACTGAACACCAATCTAGACTCCCGGTCAAAATTTACCCTACATTCGAAAGAATATAACCTGCCAACAAAGCCCACGGTCGTAATTTGCGTCGATGGCTTCGATCCAGAATACTTAAAGTCTGGCATTGAGAGAGGCCTTCTGCCAACTTTCAAGAAACTCATTGAAAATAGATTCCATGCCACTGTCAAGAGTTGTATGCCCTCATTCACCAATCCGAATAATGTGTCTATCCTTACAGGCGTACCACCATCAACACATGGAACTGCCGGAAACTTCTTCTTGGACCGAGAGACAGGCGAGACTAAGATGATCACCGATGACTCCCTGCTGCGTGGCTCAACAATACTGGAGCAGATGTTCCGGCGTGGTGTACGAGTGGCAGCCATCACCGCCAAAGACAAACTGCGCAAAATCCTTGCCCACGGCTTGAAGGGAGCTATCTGCTTCTCTTCGGAAAAGGCAGCAGATTGCACTCTGGATGAGAACGGTATTTCCGATGTGGAAGAATGGCTCGGTCAGCCTGCGCCTAGCCAATATTCGGGTGGTTTGTCTCTGTTTGTGCTTGATACAGGCATTAAATTGCTCCAGGAGAAAAGATGCGATTTTTTGTATTTGACCTTGTCGGATTATATCCAGCACAAGTATGAACCTGGCAGCAATGAGGCTGACAAGTTCATGGGAGCAATTGACAAACGCTTGGCGAGCCTCGCAGCTCTAGCTCCTGTAATTGGTATAACTGGTGACCATGGCATGAGCCAAAAGTCGAATGAGCTGGGAGAGCCCAACGTTCTCTTCCTGGAGGAAGTTCTGAATTCCAAGTTTGGGCCGAATGCCTCCAGAGTCATCTGTCCCATCACTGATCCATTTGTTCGACACCATGGCGCTCTCGACTCCTTTGTGCGCGTTTATCTCAAAGACATCACGCAACTTGGGTCGGTACTTTCATTCTGCAAGTCACTCCCAGATGTTGATGTTGCTCTCAGCGGCCAAGATGCAGCCCAAAGATATGAGATGCCTTTGGATCGAGAGGGTGATATCGTGGTTATTTCCAAACCACATGCCGTCATTGGTAGCTGCAAAGCAGATCATGATCTTTTGGGGGTGAAAGACCATCTACTGCGGTCGCATGGAGGCCTGAGCGAGCAAGATGTCCCATTAATTATGTCAAACCCAGTAAACAAGGGGGGCAGAGCTGAGGCTTATATACTTCGATAAGTGACTTCGATCCTACTTAGACTGCGACATCGCCCGTCCATGGGCACCTAGGAGGTGCCCGTCGCCCGTCCATGGTGGGCGGTGGGCTATTTGGATTTTCGAGTGCCCGTCCATAACGCCCAAGGCCCACGGGCATGCCCACGATGCCCACCATTATATAAAGTTGTCTTAAATATATATAAAAATTAGATATATAGTAAATCATACTATATATATTTATATATATCTTATTAAAAACCCGGAATTATAATTGTAAATATGTAAAAAGTACAAATTTAGTTGGAATATTTTGAAATGCGTCAATAAAAGTCACGTGTTACGCTAATTTTGCTTACTCGTCTCCATAGGGCGGGCCCATTTCCCGCTTATATAAGGCCGGTGGGCAATGGATGCCCACCCGCCCGTCCATGGGCGATGTCGCAGTCTAATCCTACTATTACTACAGCGGTCTTTAAAATCGAATATTATTTCAACGAGGAGGGTACTAAGAAGTACTAGTAATATATATACCGGAAGGTAAATTACGACTATCCCGCCGAGGGGATATAGGGTAACGCTACCGATTTAGAATCGATACTCAAATAGGTCGCTTAGATATATACCCTGAGACCTCCCCAGGTCTTATCCTCAGCAAGGAGGAGGATTCGCCAGTCAGCGGTGAGGAAATAGAAGCGGGGGACGTATAGTCCTTCTCACCAGTCCACAAGATAGAGATAGAGGAGCTGGACTTGGAGGAGTTACGGAGGGAGCGGCTGGGTATACGCTAAGAGGAGATCTACTAGGCACTGACTATTATAGCTAGGCTATACCCGGAGTTAGCGTCTAGTTAGGGAGAAGGAGGAAGTGATTACCTAGCGGGGCCGCCGGGTACCGAGATATATCTTTGAATACTAAATGTATTAAGCAAACGAGCCTATTCGGCTCGTTTAGGCTATCGACTACCGTCGACAAACGGGGAAGGGGGATTTATATATCTAGCTAGTCTATAGGTCTAACCTCTTCTTTATCAATAGAATTCTTTACGACACACACCTACTGTTTGTCTAAAGTCTTTCTCGTTAACTGGTGACTCCTGGTAGCCGGCACCGTCTCAGACCTTGTATATAACATAAAGTATTCTCCCAGAAGGGACCATCAATGGTACGTTCCTCCCAAATACAGCGACGTGATGCCTCGTGTTAAGGCATCAGCTGCGGAATGAAAGAGTAAGAATATGCAAGGTAGAATTGTACCTTTCAACTAGTCTCGGGTTGAGTTAGAATGATAACGGATGTTTTGGCGAAAAGCACGCATCCAAGGACCAGGCTCTGTTTTCTAGTTACTGCAGGCCAACCATCATCATCCTTCAACCAAAGGGCACGCCACCGTTTTCTAGGGCTTATACAAATGCAAGTGCTTCAACCCTCGCTGCGGGCGAAACAGGAAGGCAATTTGAAACTAAGCACTGCCATGCGGGGTAGTATGTAACTGCACGGCATAGTTAACTAGATCGGAAAAATACGAGTCAGCCATGTTCCTAGTGGACCGCCTCGTGGTGGATTTCATAGAAGACAATTCGTGGATGACTCCTGCAGATGCAGAACTCTTGTCCTATGACAATGTTACACGGAGCCCATAGGTAATACGATAGAAAGGTCTGGGGTGGCCTGCGCCCTCGCCAGTCTTTCCCCTCTTTTTCATTCCTGTATTTGCCATGTGATTCATCATAACCACGATTTTCGAAGGAAGAAACGGGGTCATACCCTTTGCGATATCAGATACTCTTATAGATATGTTTGAGGGTTCTATAATGATAATCGTATATTGCCTGCTATGGGTAGTGGTATCTGACTATCAGTAGCCGCTCGTGGCGGGGATACCAGGCATGTGAAAAAATGGGATCCTCAATTGATATAGCGCCTCGGCAGCTGATGATCTTCAAGAATCAAGCTGCTGAAGCATCGGGCTGAAGAACAGCTCGTCCCGCGCCCCACGCCATCGAGATCCATGATTGCGGGGTAAGTCTGGTAAGTCTAGCCTGCAGTACCTGACGAATTAGGGATCGGCTGCCGGGCCGCCGGAAAACTCTATAGCCTAATACCTGCATCTTTCAGCAATTTGGCACCGGGGTCCCTGAAATGTCGATATTATATCTCTGCCATTGCTACCGTAACATGGGCCATGTCAGACGCAATTCGCCTTCATCCAATAGAAGGCTTTGGCATACGGGATTTCATGGAGTAGGAATGCCTCACATGCGCTCAAGGCCGAGGCCTGCCTCGTCAAAGAAGGGTATAAAAGGATTCAATAGCCCTTCGAATTCAACATCATCAGTACTCTCATACGACACAGTAACAATCAATTGATCTTTTCTTATCAACAAATCTTCCCGCAACAATGAAGTTCCTCAAGACCGGCCTTGCACTCCTTCCCTACCTCTGCCTTGTTGTCGCAGGCCCAGTCACCAAGCGCAGTGTGTCGACCGATCTGGCAACCATCGCTACTGACGTTCAGGCCCTCGACACAGGTGTCAACAGCTGGGACGGAACCCTGGCTGGGGGCGTCCCTCTGATCAATAAATTGGACGTCCTTCAGACTGACCTGAAGACCGCCATCAGCGACACCGCCGCCGCAGCCGCATTCTCTGCAAGCGACAGCACCGCTGCGACAAATAGTATTAAGACCTTGACCCCATTAATTACAACCACCGTCAATGATTTCGTCAGCAAGGTATTTTCGTGTTCTTGTTTAATCCGTGATCGTGTCTCTTCCGAAAGAGACGGTTTGGACACATGTTAATAGGGCCATAGAAATCCAAATTCGCGAGTGCTGGTCTGACGAGCGTTGTTCTATCCAGCCTCAAGACGCTCAAAGGTCTCGCCGATCAGCTCGCCACCAACCTTGAGGCGAAGGTTACTTCGGGCGATGTGGCTACCATCAAGGCTGCTCTAGTCACGATTGACGCATCCTTCGACGCTGCGATCGCTGTTTTCTAGGGCAAAGGTTGCTTAGGGCGATACCACTGCCGTCCAGTTTGCTGCATTGGCAGTTGACTCGGCCTTTGCCATTGCTATCTCTACTTTATAGCAGGGGTAAAATGATGCAACGTGGTGGTTTTTCCGATGGGTCAAGAACGTCTTTGAATCAGAATCCCATAGGATTGACCCAACTAGCACTTTGAATGATATTTGAAATTTATGTGAACAGCCTAGCATATGGCTCTGCCGATACTAATCATGCTATTGAGCGCCGTAATGGTATAATTCAAGGCATTGACCATTCCCTGGTAGACTTCCGCAAAGCTCGAAAAGCCCGAAACCCGACCCGACTCGACCCTCAAAAGGGTCAGGTTTCGGGCCTGTTCCTAAAGCTCGCAGCGGGCTTCGGGCTTTTGGTTTGGGCCCATAGCTCGAACGTTACCCCCCAAACAATCCACCTACGACTACTCCGTAATCAGTGCAAGTATACTAATTTCTTGTAACTGTATAAAGAATGCAGAAGTTCCTAGCATTTTTGAGTATTTTGATTACATCGTTCACTTTAAATTCAATAAATCATTAATTCGTTTAAGTATATATTAATACATTGTGATTAAATCTAGTGTGAACTCATAGGACTGATATATATCATCCTCTATATTAGACTTCAGAAAAATGGGTTTTGGGTCGGAGGTCTCAACTAGACTGCGACATCGCCTATCCACGGTGGGCGATGGGCTATTTGGATTTTCGAGTGCCCGTCCATAACGCCCACCGCCTGTGACAATCTGAAGGATTTACAGGGATGATTTCGGCTGAATGTTTGCATTGTTTGCATTGTTTACAGCGGGACTCGTATTTACCTGCATGAGCTTGTCCCCTGCTCGCTTCTTCTTTTCCTTCTCCATGATTAGTATTCTGAATGAACAGCACTCTTTTTCAAAAAGACTTGGCTCGTATCAGTCTATACAATTAGTAGAAGGGTCAGAATACAGCGATTACAAGATCCTAGTTGAACCCCCCTTAATGGGCTATAATGGGGGCCCAATGGGCTGTGGGTTGGGTTGGGATTCGAAGGTCAAGCCAATAGCCCACTGCTGGTTGGGCCTTGAACTCAAGGTCCGGGCCCATTTATGGGCTTTGCGGAGGTCTAGTTGGGACCCAGTCCACTTTGACCCGGCCTTCACCGACTTCTTATCTTATTTAGCAGTGGTTAATATCCACGTACCGGAGCTTCGTATATATACCCGCGTCTTCCTTTATCAATAAATCAACTGTCTATTGATTGTCGTATTTAATCGACAACGGGTAGTCTAGTTTGAATCCCAATAAATCGAGGACTCTCCTCCACCACTGCACCGTTTTTCCTACTTCGGCGAGCGATAAGAGTTCTGCTTCTGTTATAGACGTCGTAACTGTCTTTTGTTTCGACGCCTTCTAGTCGATAGGGCCCGAAGACAGGAGAAACTATGATGTGGTTGATCTTGTGCTCAACTGGTCTATCTAATATTTGTCTATCTCGATGTCTCTGGACAGAGAGGGGGTCCCATCGATGTATTATAATGCAGCCACCAGTCGTCCATATCAGGAAAGTTGGTTTGAAAATCAAAGCTTGCCATGTTTTCCATCCAAATTGCATCAAAGACTGGCGGCTGTTCCTGAGCAGAAGAAGAATGATGCATTGTTTCGTGGACTGTGTGAGTGGGCATCTGGCATCTACTCAACAGCCGTTCCAAGCCTTTGCTAATGACCACGAGGATATGGTGTTTATGCATAGATTGGGTGATATCCTGAAGGGCAGCAACAGTCTCAGTGACCAGGGAAAGGATCTTGACCGTATCAATTCTGATCATGAATGCATACTTCGTGGCAACTTTGAGGAGAAAGACAACGGCGAAGGCGAGCATCGTATCGAAATATAAAGGAAGTCCATTCATGAAGGATCGAAATTCGGCATCACTGACAATCATCCGAAGGATTGACATAGCTGACAATACGCCGGAATTGGCGATCTCCTCTAGTTCAGACGACATGTATTGAGGTGAAACCTCTGATATCGGCACACCACGGAAGGCGTGCGAGCAAAGGTATAGCTTTGCAAAATGGAAGTGAAAACTAACACCCTTTTGTGGATAATTCCCGACATTTTGGTTCATTTTGAAGCTTTCGTTCCAATCTGCAAACCACGTATCCAAAGAAATGGAGTATCGACGTAGTAAAGGCAGTGTTGGAGGCGAAATAGGAGTATCAACGTCAACCCCGAAGGTGTCAAAAACTCGGCCCAGGATTGACCATTCCTTGACTTGGCTGATTAATCTAGCATCATCCTCTGTGGCGTGTTCAGTTTCTAGTAGTCGACTAGCCGACTCGATTATAAAGCCTTCTCTGGACATCGGAGGTCGACCATAGGCGATGGAAAAATGGTGGTCGCAGACATAGACGAGATAGTATAGTCTAGCTTGAAGATAACCATCCCGGTCTCCTTTGAGGGCTTTATAGATACCACTATGAAGATTAATATCCGATGCAATGCGGACAGCTAGTTCTGTTAGTTTCACTTCACCAGAAGATTGCAACCACATACCGTTTCCGATCAAGGCCCAAGACAGCCCGTGTAACCAAAATGCGCCAACACACAAGCCACGGACGTCATCTTCATTCACGTTTGTTGAGAAAATTTGGGCCGCGATAAGGTTCTTATATTCAGCATAGCAGGTTTCAAAGAGATGGCCGAGGGAGTGGGAATGCAAAGCAGCCACAGTACAAACGGCCGTTGTTAACAGTGGGGATGCGAGTCGAACCGAGTCCAAACTAATATGATCGCCAAGGATTCGATAAAGAAAATGATCAAGTCTGAGATGATATGTCTCGAATAATGCAACAGCTTGGCGTAACGAGATAAGTCCCGTGGATATCAAATCTGGACGACGGGAAGTTGATGAATTGTTTGGTAGACCTGCCTTCCCACTTTCTGAGACACAAGATGCTGGAATAGAAGCTGGACCGCCCCGAGGATCCATTACCACTTCCCATGTCTGTGATGGCTCAATGTTCTCTTTTGGCTGAGATGTTTGACTTGAGGTGGAGACTTCCCGCGTGATAACTTCTTCATTGATAGCTTCAGCAGGTGGACTCGAAGAACCATCTTGTATTCCAGGAGCAGCTTGCACAGCTTGCAACTCGGATACGTCAACTTTGGCAGCAATCTTTGCAACAGCCTCTTCTAGCAGCCGCATCTTTTGTACCACTGCGCCTTTCCATCTAGACCTTATCAGCAAATTCCTGTGCAAGAAATTTGTCGTACTTACGTGACATCGTCTTCTAGTAATGTTTGTAGGCTTCGATTCACGCTGCAAGGGAGACCTCTCTTCTTGCACCGCGAACATGGCATCTGACCCTCCCGCATATGGCATTTGACCTACCCCACATGTCAGTACTTGTTTCGTTATCTCCAGCAATAAGACTAACCTTTTGCTTTCGACATGCTACACAAGCAGTGATTTTGCGAGTAATATCGGGTGGCTTTCGATCACCAAATGATTCTCGCAAAGCACTTACAGCCGGCGGAGAGGGTAGTTCGATATCCATAATGTGTGTTCAATTCAGGTTGCAATGCAGAGGAGTGATTGGAACGTTATCGGATTTGTGGTGTTTGCATCTGCTAGTTACTCTTAGTAGATAAGCTCAGATCACCAAACACCAACCAGAATCAACCTAGTGGCTATGACCTCTCACATCGATAGAGTGCGGACTTCGCACCGAATATATCTATTGAGACACCCCGCGGACCAAGGCGGGCCCCACGTGGGGGCAATGCGAAATCATGACTGGCCTCACCGCACGACCCATTTTAAATGTGCATCCCCGTGGCAGCGTTGGCGTTGCTCATTGCTTCCTTTATTATTCGTGACTAGCATCATGTCCGACATAAAAAATTTTCACAGAATGGCGAACGGTAGTGCTTAGTGCTCCCCTGAACGGCTACCTAAGCAATATCTTAGATAGTTACAGTTCTTATTATACACAATGTTAAAGAGTACATATTCATTGCCCAAGTGAAAAAAAAAATTAACAATCTAGTCTCCCTGTGTGCAACACAAGGCTAGGATCGCATTTTGTTTGTTCTCGATCGTTTTTATCCTTCTTAACCTCAGGAAGTTTTTGATTCCTTTCAATGGCATCCCTGGGAGCGAAATTGAAATTTGTGATCACTGCGGGCGTTGGGTTCTTCGCAGATGGCTATCTCAACCTGACAATTGGACTTGGTGAGTGAGTTGGATTAATGCAATTAGTCCAAGGTCTAATGATCAGCAGTGGTACCAATTCTGGGTTATCTATATTTCCAAGATGGCAAGGTACCGACAGTTGACAGCGACATCATGAAAGGTGGCCTGAGTCTAGGCATGGTAGTGGGCCAGCTTCTTTTTGGGGTTCTAAGTGATGTTTGGGGTCGCCACACTGTTTATGGTAAAGAGCTTCTTCTCACTATATGTGGAACCCTGATGGTAGTCTTGTTGCCTTGGAGCCGGATGTCGGCCCAGTCTGTGACAGCATGGGTTGCAATATTTCGTGTTGTGACTGGTGTGGGAATTGGAGCTGGTAAGTCATACCTCATTGGTTAGAGGAATAATGGGTCTAACGTGAGCAAGACTATCCATTATCTTCATCTTTGGCGGCAGAAAAGTCACCATTTGGTTCTCGTGCTGTGCAAGTGTTGACCGTCTTCTCAAATATTGGCCTTGGTAATATTGCAGCCAGCATCGTGTTTCTTATCTTGCTCAAGGCATTCGAGGAGTCAATAGCCAACAGCCTGAGCCAACTCCAATGGGTCTGGCGTCTGCTATTGGGCATTGGAATTGTACCAGCGCTCTTCACCCTCTATGCTCGGTTGACGATCACGGAGACACCGGCCTACAAGCAATGTGAGAGTGCCTTGAATGTTATATTTTGAAGATAGCTAATACCCTTTAGATGTCTGTGATGACGCTTCTGGGCAGGAACGCACATTCAAGAAGCAGTGGGAAGACTTTTGCGAGTACTTCAGTCACTGGAAACACGCCAAAGTGCTATTCGCGACAGCAGCTTCCTGGTTCTTGTTGTAAGTTAGAAGGCCTTTGAAAAAAAAAAAAAAAGAACCCCATAACTAACACACACAGTGATATCGCATACTATGGTATCAATCTCAACCAAAGCATTATACTGGCAAGAATCGGTTATGCGAATGGAGAAACACCATGGAAAACGCTATACAATACCGCTGTGGGTAATATAATCATTCAGACAGCAGGCTATCTCCCCGGATTCTATGTCGGAATCTTCCTTCCTGATCGTATCGGTCGTGTACGCCAACAATTCTGGACCTGTATCATGGTGTGCATCCTTTATGCCATATGGGCTGGGATCAGCACACAGAGTGCGCAAACCCCGACAGCTGCCTTGATGATCATCTTTGGGCTGTCGCAGTTTTTGCTGACTGTTGGCCCCAATTGCACAACATTCCTGATTCCCGCTGAAGTGTTTCCCACGCGTGTTCGAGGCACAGCGCATGGAATATCTGCTGCTGCTGGAAAATGCGGCGCAATTTTGACTGCATTTGCTTTCGGTACTATTGAGGATACAATCGGCTTGGGGGGTGTTCTTGGGTTGTTCTCGGGGATCATGCTGCTCACTGCTCTTGTAACCTTGATGATACCCGAGACCAAGGATCAAACACTTGAGGACATTGAAAATGATGAACTCTATAACATTGACGGAGGTAACAGGGGGCTGTATGCCACCTTGGGCAGTCACAGCCAATATGCAAAAATATCGACAGAGGCAGATTAAGCAACTGTGGTTGCTACCCACCTCTGGGCAAGTAAACGGCTTCAATGCTTCATCGCCTCGTTCCTTCAAAACAGCAATAATACTATCCAAATTTGTCAAATTGAGGAACATTTGAAGCCTATAGGCCTTGCATTCATGTGAAAGAACTTACTACCAGACTCAGAGATTGTCAAAGTTGTTTGTTTGTAGTATGTGTTTGTGGTGTTTGCAATACGTCACTTATCAGGAAATGCCCACTTGCTCCGACATCTCCGAAACTATGAGAATATGCATATACCTAACACCAGGGAAGATTGATGTGACTGTTTTCTGCAACGTATTAAGTGCAGACATATCTAACAAAAGGAACCCTTGAATACTCTGGAGTATACATCAACGGATATCGACATACAGTAAATACAAATTGATATTCCTATCTTTTGATTGGCTCGACGATTAACCCCGCTTGTGGACCCGCTTAATATGATCAACATCACCTGATGACCTCAGTAGGGTCAAGCAACAACCTGGATTTCTTTCGCAACATACTAGTGCCCCTTGTCTTCGGCTAATCTACTCATATTTGACATGGCGGATCGCTTGCACTCCCGCGAAGGGTCCGACGCTTCCATCAACCATCCATCGATTGCTTCCCCACGCTCCAGCACCGAATCCCGCTCCCCCTCTACACGAAACCAACTTCGCGTTTCACACATACCGCCAGCAAACCATCAGCACAGACAAAGCTTGAGCGAGTCACTGCGTAACCCACCCGGTTCTCCCCGAGCACGCCGGCAGCCCTCCCTCCCACAGTCTGCCATCCAGAGCCTTATCGATAATCCCCCGCCACCGAAGAATAGCGACCCTGCCTTTGTTGGTCGTGATTGGAGACATATCTCAATTGGCGAGCTGGTCAGCCCGGCTGACCTGAAGTTTGTGAATATTGATACGGGCATTGAAGAGGCGACGAACGTGGGTACATCAAAGGCAACGCTTTCTGTCCTTGGAACTAACATGCTCGTCCAACTAGATCTTGATCGATTCAGGTGCAGCTGTGCTGTTGATCCGCGAGACCCCTGAATCTACTTCTGCCGTCGGCACATTTGACTATGCCGACCTCAACTCTTATCTCCTGCTAGCGGCGGGCCTGACACACCCCGACGAGGCGCACCAAGCATCGTATGACGAGCTGGCCAAGAAAGCCCACAATGGCGTGCCAATTCCGCTAAGAGATGTGAAGAAGTTCGGTATGGAGAAGGAGCCACTGATTAAGCTGCCAACGTCGGCCAATGTCTTGGCCGCAGTTGAGATCTTTGGTGGTGGCGTTCACCGAATTGTGGTGGTCAATGAGTCAAACGACCAAGAAGTGGTCGGAATCTTCAGTCAGTTCCGACTGGTTAAATTCCTCTGGGAGAACGGCCGCAGCTTCCCTATCATTGAAGAGCTCTACCCGAAGGCTTTGCGTGAGCTGGCAATTGGATCTCATGAAGTGATCTCCATCAAGTAAGTTGTTTTGGTGAATTCTTGAAGAGCAGTCTAACCGTCATTTTTTTTATTTGCAGTGGTGATAAACCCCTCTCTGATGCTCTCCATATGATGAACAACGAGGGCATGTCCTCGATCGTGGTTGTTGATAACTATTTGAATGTGCTTGGAAATATCTCCACAGCGGATGTCAAGGTATGTGACAAGCTATCTTGGCTAGCAAGATTTACTCACCGTTTTACAGCTTCTAACCCGATCATCTTCATTGCCACTGCTTCAAAACACCTGCACTCACTTTATCTCAGTCATTCTGTCCACACGGGGGTTGATCGAGGGTAAAGACTCATTCCCGGTCTTCCACGTCAATTTTGGATCGACGCTGGCTCACACAGTCGCAAAGCTGGTGGCAACTCGATCACATCGGTAATTACTGCACACTTGAGATATAAACAGAAGATGTACTGACTGCTGCTTTAGGCTCTGGGTGACCGATCCACTATCTCCGACCTCATCAGGACCGCCAACTCCATCCCAATCTTCAGGACACATCCCTCTTTCAAACAGCGCCAGTCCAGCTACCGGATCATATGCTGCACCTTCACCACCACCATCTCCTTCTGTGCCTGTGGCACCTTCTGCGCAGCCTTCTCACTACACCGCCCCTCACCTACCAGCCCCTAACCTACCCTACACACACCCAACCCCAGGCGTGACAGTTCCAGTGCCCTCGCCCATATCGCATTCTATTCCCTCCGCGAGCTTAGAAGGAGCCCGTCTGTCTGGGCGCCTAGTTGGAGTAGTCAGCCTGACTGACATCTTGAACTTGCATGCCCGAGCCAGCGGGCTGAACCCAGCTGACCCCGCGGAGTCTCGTAGCCGCCGCCGACGCAGTAGCTCATCAAGCCAAAGTGTCCGCCGTAGCGGTGACATTGGCCGGGAGCTTTTTAGCCGTGGTGCCATGTAAAAGCATACACTGCGTTTTGCACTTGGGCTCTACTGCAGAGCATGTTATCAGGACGCCTGTATTTTGAAACTCCAACATACGCATTCGCTGTCCAACATGATTGGGTCTATTGCAACCCCGATGCTAGTCAATCGCACCAATCATGAATATGTTGTCACACTTCATCAGTCATACAAGCCCTAGGAGGCAAGCGCATGGGCCTTCAGACTTGGCCTCTTATTATCATCTTTAGCAGCGGAAATGATTTCCATTGTGAGATTAACATTACCAACTTCAATTATCTGCCTACGTAGCCCATTCTAAGGTTGCATCCGGGTAGACTGCGATTTTGTCACATCTGAATTTTTGAGTCTCTACCTTATCCAGAACCAGATCTACAAGCTAAGATTGACAAAACCACCGGGCATAACCGACTAAAACCCACATATCCACGCCGATCAGGCAAAAAAACCGAGTATTCGCCCAATCTTCACCCAACCTTCAAAAACGGATCTCCATAGTAAAGGACACCGTAAAATAGCACCATAATCCCACACCCCAACCCATCATCTGGAGAAACATCTCCGTCGTCCACAAAGCAATATCATTGTGTCCCGTCCAACACCATCCAACGGCGCAAAGAGTACCACTCACGCAATGATATCCACTGCTACACATCCAACATCAGCGGACCACTCTTGGTCCTCGTATTCTTGTCATTCCAGAAGGCGTTTTGCGTTTATTTGTGTTTGAGAATGACTCAAACAGGGGGCGTTGATCAGCTGCACGTCGAATGTGTAATTTGTGTGCGTGGACACGGTGTAGGCTGATTTGTCAAGGTCTGCGATTTGGCTTCCTGCCTCTCACTGGCCCGTCATATTTTAGTCAATTCTCTTGTTTGTGTGGTATGTGCGGTGGTATGTGCGGTATCGCCGGATTGGGGGTGTCGGTCACGTTTTGATTAGGGCTGGTTTGGTCTAAAAGATATTCCTTTCTAAATCTGGCTTTGGTGTATTTTCGAAGGTCATTTTCTATGTATGTTGCTGCATTGCGAAGGAATGAATATTTCAGAAAAGACAATAAGACCCAGAATCAAACGATGATCTCTACTGGAATCAGAGAAATAACCTTGGAAATGACCTTAGCCCATAGGGTAATCGTCAACTCTTCAAAATCTGGGGAAAGCCATCCGAACATTCACAGCCACTTCGCCTTGTTCCCCACCTCCATCTAGCCGGGTCTCGTCTTACCTAGATAAGCCACCTTTTGCTCCACTTGCACCGAGAGACCGGACTGGACGCCGATCATGCAAACACCCCTTAGGGCATTTCGGGTGGATTAGGAATTGTGATTGGGCGATATTGCATTGTTATCCAAGGTGAATTGGGGTTTCATAGAAGAGGATGCTGCTTAGTTAAGTCTAAGTTCAGATCATCTTGAAGTTGGCAGCAGAATTTACAGTCCTGTCGGAGAATATTGAGGTATTTGGTCGATTTAAGCTATATGGACATAGTTTATTAGACCTGAGCCATGCATATAAATGACTAAACCCATCTAGGCAACCGACTATGTTCACATGAAAATCGCGCCATTCGAGTCCAATTCCCAAATCGACCGATCTGGACTTCATGGCCTGATTTGTCTCAGTAGAAGGTGGATGCCTAGTCAGGCCACTATTAGTAAATACCTCAAACAGAAACGTAAGCCCTAACAAGGCCAACTAAGACCAGTCCACAACTATTCTAGCCTCGAGGTTCATCACCATCACCATCCGTGGACCTATACCTACCACCCGTGGACCTATCACAAGTCGCCCATATACAAATCTAACAATCTGACAGGCCACCCACTGGACCCTCAAGCCACAAACTCAGCGTCAAAAGCGATAAGCAAAAAGCAAAACCTTGAATAATCGCCACCAAACCCCCTCCGCAAACGTGCACGGTTGCAATCCAATCCAACTGGACCCAATTAATTAGCTGTACAGACCCTATCGTTAACAACACATGCAGGCAAGCATTAACAGACCCGTGGATGGACGTTGGACCTGGCCCCGTAAGAGCTGTCCCTACTCCACCAGGCGAAGAGTCTTCTGTTCCTCAAGGTGGATTTTAATCAGGATTTCAGGTTTGTGCGCTGGAAAGTTCTCAACCACTGGCAGGCTTACTTCGGATTTGCTTTTCGACCATGGTAGAAGTGTCAATGGACTCTATATTTTTCATGGGTCGGCGCGGGCGCTAGTATATCGTGGGCCAATCAATGTCCGCGGTTGGCTTGCAAGGTTGGCTGGGCTGCAACCTTAACCCCGCAATCTGGGATCCTGGTCATTTTTCTTTGCTTGTTTTCCTTTTTCTTACAGTTGGGTATTTTGGGGGTTACTGGGGTATTGATTTGAGGATTGTGTATACAAATACTATTTCTAATCCTTGTAATAGCATTGCTAGGGGCTGGGAAGAATACCTCGTGTTTAAATGGAATTAAACAAGGAAGTCGATCCTGCACGATCACTGTTGATCCATAATCCCGGGAACGCCTCATCAGTCAAAGCAGGGGCATCGAAGACAATACCCAATCATGCAGGGCACGGGACACTTGAAATTCAATTTACTTCTCAAACCCCCGGTTCCCTCGCCAAATTTAAATCTACACGAGAAATCGTAACCTATACAGTCAGCCTAATTTTGCTCTCGTAACTTATCTCAAAAAGTCACCTGGGCAATCCCACTGCATAGTCAGCACGAGTCGGAAATAACCCTGAGGTAACACACGAAAACGAGATACGAGATTAAGGAAATTAAAAAAAAAAGAGAAAGTGGAATTTTCTCCCTCCAAGAGTACAAAAGTACCTGTTTCCATACGCATACATGGCCTGGCCTGGCCTGGAATCTAAAGGCTTTTCAGGGCTATGACATAGCACCCCGGTCACGACGTGAAAATGAAGGTGGCGGGTTCCACGGTTGAAGGCGATTTGATCGCTGGGACTAGATTAGGCACTTTGGTCTGTGAGGAACTGTAGTGGGGAAATACCTCATAGCCCTGCAGGTTCTGTGTGGAATAGGCCTTACATATGTAGATAGGTAGGGCTAGAGGGTCATTACCATGGGTACATTTTGGCTGTGGGGTTTACTAGATGCGGCATTTTGAAGGGATGTGTGTGAAGGCGATTAGTATTTAGGGCTCGAAGCTAAAGATGAAATGTGGGATTGGTTAAAGGAGGGAAAGTTAAAAATCTTGGAAGTCATGCTGCTCTGTACTAACTGTAGTTGTAGCTGTAGTTGAAGCTATAGCTATCTCGCTGGCACGGCCCAGTGGAGTATAGAGGGGCCACTTTATTCCCTAAAAGCAAATGAGATGCCAATACTCTCGTGCAAGTGGGCACTAAGCGAGGGATATATTGCAGATCAAGAGGAATAGTGGGAAAGGGTCCGGATTAGGACGCGGACTGAAGATTGTTTGCGGATCAATGCAACGTTAAATCCAAGGTGAAAAATTTTAAGAGATTGGAATAAGAAAGTGGATATGTAAAGTCAAATAGTAAATTTTATTCTATTGGAAAAAAGTAGAGTGAAAAAAAAAGATGAAAAAAAGAAAAGCAAGTATCGATCTATAGTATGTAGTCACAATTATCTCCAACCCTGTTCAGGTTATAACAATAAGAGATAAATATGGTAAATTAAATATGATACAGGAGCAAATGTGCAAAGCCATCCCGATATATAGACCAAAATCCAAAAAGAAGAAACCCCCCCCCCCCCCCCCCCAATAACTACTTAGGTATATCAGGTATCATAGATCATAATAGACATGAGAGGCATATAGATCAACAAGAGACGCTGGTGAAATCATCAACAGCGATAAAATCATCAAAGCCAAAAGGTTGGTCACGATCGGCAAGCGGAACAGTCGAGTTACCCAAGTGGAAAGCGAACTGACTGAAATCCGTGTAATCGGGATCCATCCCCTCACCAGAGACCATGATGCCATCACCATCGACCTTCCCAACCGGCGGCATGGTAACATGCGCTGCAGCAGTCGTCGGCGACAGCGGGGTACTGGGAGTGGGACAGAAGTCCGAAGTGGAGTGAGTGCCCGCCGACAGCGACTCGATCTTAGGGGAACTAAGACTGGAGGGGGCGACCTGGGATTGCGAAAACTGCGAGTTCTGGCTAAGCAGATGGAGGTTGTGGAAGTTCGACGGCTGGGACTGGCCGCGTGAGTGACCATGGGTAGGGCCATGGCCGGTGGGGCCCGAGATGGATGCTGAGGAAAGCGGTGGAGCTGCGTGCTGCAGATGCAACTCCGGTGCGGACGCAAGGCGATCTCTGAACTGATGCATTTGGATTGCCGAGTCGGGCATCTCGGCCTGCTGCATCATTTGTTGCTGCCACATTTGCACGTTGTGCGTGTCTGTGGGGGTTTGCCCAGGGGTTGGGTTCTGTTGCTGCTGTTGCTGTTGCATCGGGGCCCAGGCAGGTACTTGGGAGTTCCAGGCTGGTGCTGAGGCTTGGTTCATGTAGGCTGACATTTGTCCTGATGGGGTTCCTGTCGAGGCAGAGAACATGTTGGAGTATGGTGTCTCGGAACCATCCATGCAGCCCATGTAGGGCTGGCCGCTCTGGTCATATGATGCCGTGGGCGATAGTACGTATCCATCACCGGTTGTCATTGGGCTTTCCATTGAGCCTGGACCCTGGGAGAAAGAAGAGCGGATATTAGATAGATCCAGACTCATCTTTCGGGGACCACGATTGACTGATGGGCGTGCGGTCATGTGGCTTGCTCGCCGGTTGTGAATCGAAGATGCATTGAATTGCGTGCGGGCTGCAAAGGCTGCCAGTAGATGGTTTGTGAATTGCTTTTCAATTTCGGTATTTTGTTGTTGCAGCATCAGGATGCGTTTTTCTTGATACCGTTCATCGACCTCTTCATACATGGCTTCCTTATCAACAATCTCCTTGGTGATGTGGAAAGCCTTGCCCGTGCGCTTCTTATGCAACATAGAAGCCCGGTTAGCAGATTCCAGACGAGCATCTAAGCTGCGATCCTTTCGTCGTGATGCCGCAATAAAGGCTCTGGGTGATTGTTAGTATGTTTTTTTTTTTTTTTCAAGGTCACATATACCTCTCTTGATTCTCCTCCCGCGAACGGGGGATAGGCGTGATATCTTGGTCTAGATCGGAGAGAGGCATCTTTAACAAAAAGTTAAGAAAGAATAGAAAAGAAGAGGGGGGCGGGTTTAAGTACTCTCAGGGAGGGGAAGCGTTAAGCCCAAAGCTCCGGGTCCAAACCAAGGAACCAAGCCGATCACAGTTTGGGCGCTTGGAAAACTTACGGCCGCTCGGTCCATGGTTTCCCATCTGGGTACATCTTGTTCAAAATACGAGTGGCTCGATTAATGGCGCCACTTATGACCCAATAGCTGTCTAGCCCTTTCCCCGGATACTATTTCCCACCGTTAAACTGCACATGTGCTATAGAATACTACATAAAGAAAAAAAAATAGTTAATAAAGGAATTAATTTCAATAAAAGGTCTAGACCATTTGGTTATCAGGTGGGGAGGCGTTACTTACTCCAGATCCCAGATAACATGTCACTCTAGAATCTTGCAGATCTTCCTGAAGCGTTAATTCTACACCTTTTCCTTTTCTTCTCTCTTTTCTATGAAGCCTTCGGTAACATGCAGGAGAATGGTACCACGTGATATCCGGATCGGGCGGCTTCTAGGCCTCTAGGCCTGCTCAGGTGGACCACACCACACGTTTTATTCAGCTAGCCATTTCCATCTGGGTTCGGGAATCTGAATTCTAAGGAGCGTCAAGATCGTCTTAGTAGATCTATGGATAAGGTTACTGCAAGATCTAGTGTGCAGGGTAGTAATGTATCAACAATTCTGTGCAAGTTTCTTCTAAGCTATAGATTGTCACATGACGATTAAATACCATATAATAAATTGTATGTGATTGAAAGGCATAAGCTACAGGTAGTCAATTAATTATAAGTATAATATACAGAATTATACAGAATTATACAGAATCACATCAACCATCACACATGTGCAAACCATTACTACATCGTATACTAATGGATACCTGGGCACGATATAAGATATGGGCTTAGTTGGGGGCAATTAAGTCTCTTAAGTTATTCTCCTTTTCTCCGAGATACACCTATGTAGGTATGTACTTGGCCCAACATCATCTCCCATGGAAAAGGGGAATGTTCAAATGTCCAAAGCCTAATCTCACCGGCCGAGACTAAACGATTTCGAGCCCTATCCAAATTCCGTCGCCACTGAATTATTTGTATTTCTTCATATTCCTTCGCATCCTATTTGATGATATAATTGGCCTGGCAATTCTTTGAAGTTTTGCCGGCGTTGCCGAAGAACTATAACATACAAAGTACATATTATAGCGGGGACTCGGCGATCACCGCTCATCACCCAACATGGACTTGGATATATTCCATATTATATAGCCGAAGAAAATTCATAAGCATATGAAAATATACCTAGGTATTAGATATGAAGATTAATAGGAAACTCGGATTTCCGGCATCTGCCGAAATGAGCATTCCCTCAGTAAATGCCCGATGTGTATCCAGTGCTCATGTCCGGTGTTTGCGGTCTGGAAGACTCGATGCTACAGAAGTATGGCAAGGGGCATCTCTCTCGCAGGCATGGAGAGGACGGAGATTGATTGATTCGTTCCTGACTACTTTCATATCTGTATTATTGCGAACCAATCAATCCATCCACATGTATATCCCGTCCCCTCACCAGAGTAAAACCTTTGCAAATGAAATCTTGTTTATAAACAGCATAAATAGGCAAACGACGCTAAGTTCTCAATGAGTGCAAAGCCAAGGTAGAAAAGGACATCAAAAGCAGAGAAGGGTCAAATCAGCTGATGGTGTGCTGGAGTAGCCAGCACCAATACATAAGACCGCGCAACGGGAATAGGTGCTAGATTGTCTCACGGCAAGCTCTCAGACATATCTAGAGGGAAATCTGGGACATAAAACAGAAAAACAAGATAAACTTCTGGGATCGTAGCTTAGGCGATGCCCAGCGGTGGCACCATCCCCTGTTCCTCACGGGCCTCACCGCCAAGCTTGTAGGACACCTTGAATCGAATTTTCACCGAGTTGCCCTTCCCAACATCAATTCCGTCCATGCGCATCTCCTGTTGAACCCCATTTTGCTGCTGGGGTGCAATGTCTCGGCCTGATTGAGGCCGAAGCTGTAGCGTGTAGGACTAATGAATTGTCAGTAAACCCATCTAAATGGTATAGTAGTGGTCGATGGCTTACCTTCTCCACAGCGACTTGGAAATGGAGATCCCCAATGCTTTGGCTGGTTGTGTTTGAGAAAATGGCTACAACGTGGATCTGGCGCGGCTGGTTCGGTACCCGGCACACAGCAAAGTCAATACGGAGCTGGGAGTTAAGGACTTGGATCTTGTTGGTCGATGGAAGTGCATTGCTAGATGGCAATGCAGATGCGAAATTCCACTCATCGTCTTCCACGGGAGCGGCTTGCCGCGCCGGTTGCGGGGACGGACCTGTGCCTCCGATCAGGTCAAGCAATGACGACGAACTGGGAGCAGGTTGGCTTTGCGCCGGTGGTTGGAAGGGACTAGATGTTGCCCGTGGACTGGCAGAGACGAGCGATGCAAAAGGGTCAGCCGGTGGTGGCGACGGAGCCGCTGCGGGCTGGGTCTGGGACGGGAACCCCATGACGGGTGTTGGAGATTGAGAGACAGGTCGCGAACTGTTCATAGAAGCAAGGATATCATAATTGGGTTTGAAGGCTGATGGCGCCTGTTGCGGTTGTGATGGAGCAGGCGGCGTTGGGCTTGCTGACATGGATGGGAAATTCACTTTAGTATTGGTCAGTGATGCTTTCGTGATTATTGTGCCGCAGTACTTACTGGAAGACCCAAGAGAGATACCACCTCCGGGAGAGGGACCCTGTTGTTCACCTAATGAAAGGCCGAGCAGGTCATTCTGCAAAGAGCTACCACCCTGGGATGGTCCGGCCGCGTTGCCGTTGGAGCTGGAGCTGGGTTCAGGCTCCGGGTCGAAATCGATAAGAGAGAGCTCATTGTTTGCATTTTTTGAGACTCCAGTCGTGGTGCCCAGTGTACCCTTGGGAATCTGAGATGCAGCATCCAGATCACCCTTCTTGACCAGCTTATACCGCTCGATTGTGCGATGTATGCTGTCGTTGATCTCCAGTAGCTTGTGGACGGCCTCGGGATCATCCGATTCTTCCTCGCACATCTTCTGGATTTTGGGGTGAGCACTTTGCAAAGCACCCGCAAGTTCCTGGTATGAGCGTCAGAGACCAATCGTCCGACAAAACAAAAACTCGGGATGTTTTATCACCTACCTCGAAAACGTCACCTTCGGGGAGAGGTTCCCCCGGCTGCTGATTCTGCAGCATCTCTTCCAGAATCTTGGCTTTTTGCTGCACCTTAACAACCTCCTCGGCCGCCTTTGCTCGGTAGTCAGTTTTATGCCGATTGTCGAATCCTGCCATAACCTTCATGAGCCGGTTCGCTTCCTGTAGATCGGACGGAGTGCCTCTCCGAATTAACTCTTGGAGTTTGGCAGACTGTGCTTCCTTCTCTTCCTCTTCCATTTCATCAGCTGAGCGGAGATTCTAAGCAACGTTAATTCAATTCCGAAACTAATATCATGTGGGGGCCACATACATCACTTGGGTTTAAGACTGCGGCATCTTCTCGGCGGACCTCCGGGAACATATACCCCTTGTAAAGCAGTAGACGGTGCATGTCCCGAATGAAGCCTAGGTCGTCCTTATAGCGCGATGTCTGGCAGATAGTCTGGCGCCACTCCTCGATCGACTCCAAAATGCGGTGCTGGACCCTAGAGGCCCGTATGGGTGGCCGCTCGGGGAACCTGCGGACCAATTCATTCAAGAATTCCTTTGTGCCAATCTGGAGATGGAATGGATATCCACAGTTCTTGACGACAATATCGAGTAGCTAAAAACCGCCGTTGTCAGTCTCCCCCGCGCCAGGCTGCCATTTGAGCTCCCCACGTACCGCCAACGCCAACAATGCGACATTCTGATTTCGGGAATTGATGAGATGAACGATATCGAATGCAGCTTCTCGAGGGCTAATAAATGAATTTATGAGTGTGCGCCATACAACACATGGGTGCTCCTACTCACGCATTGCCTTTCTTGGAGTTAATTAGATCCGCAACTTCGAGGTTCAGGGCCAGGTTCGGCTCGTAGTTTTGAGGATCGCAGGCATTTCCTGTGGATAATCAAGCATCAGTACGAATCATTTGTGTTACATTCATTCCAACACTATACTCACGAATTGCCCGCTGCAGCGGCGAAGCGCCCGGCTCAGCATAGACACCGAAGCGGTCCCTAGCCGCCATTCGTGCAGATGCAGCCTCCAGGATGGCGGTGTACGAGAAAAGAAAAGAAAAGGGAAAGGTGTATTAGTCGGATAAAAACCGGAGATACTAGAAAGCACAAGGATCCAGAGGAGATGTGTACAGTCGCGGACGGGGGAGGCGGGCGGAGAACCCGTTTACTGCACGTGTGGCGCTTATGCTTGGCCTTGGATCCTTATTTTTTTTTCAATCACTACATTTACCACTACGGAATACTAGAAGATACTCTAAGCAGGGTATTCTTGAATATCCTCTTTTAATTTCGATCTCATCATCCACCATGGTTCGCCATAAAAAAGACAACTTCGCGCGCGGGAACAAGAAATTCAACAATCCCCGCCCTCGAGTGCCCCGCGGTGATGAAGAAGCTGAGGGTGCGACCTCCTCGAGGCCCCCTTACAAGGCTGCCTGCTGGGATATGGGACACTGCGATCCTAAGCGATGCTCGGGAAAGCGATTGATGAAGCTTGGTCTAATGCGGGAGCTTCACATTGGCCAGCGGCACCCCGGCGTGATCGTCTCGTACGTTTCGCAGTGCATTTTTTTGTTGTCTTGGTTTGCATACTGACGATTGACTAGTCCAAATGCCAAACGAATTATCTCTCCTGCAGACAAAGATATCATGGAACAGCACGGTGCGGCAGTGGTGGAATGCTCTTGGGTGCGAGTCAAGGAAGTGCCCTGGTCACGAATCGGCGGAAAATGTGAACGACTTCGTATGTGACAAGAATTGGGCAACGATCAACTGGATTCTGGGGATGCTAATTATATTTTTATATAGTTCCCTACCTTATCGCTGCCAACACGGTTAACTACGGCAAACCATGGCGTCTGAACTGCGTCGAAGCGCTCGCCGCTTGCTTCGCCATCTGCGGTCGCTTGGAATGGGCGGAAGATCTACTCAGACATTTCAGCTATGGGCCATCTTTCTTGGAAATCAACAAGGAACTTCTAGCGCGTTACGCTGCCTGCGAAACAGAAGAGGATGTAAAGAAGACGGAAGAGGAATGGCTAACCAAGATCGAACGTGAATACGTCGACAGCCGGGTTGAGGGAGGTGACGATATTTGGACCAAAGGCAACACCAATCGTTTGCCCGCACGAACTTCAGACGATGAGGATGAAAGTGGAGATGAAGATGACGAAGATGAGGGCAGCGAAGAGGAAGAGGAGGACAAGGATCCATTCGCGATTTCCGATGACTCCGAAGATGAAGAGCAAATGGCCGAAATTCGCCGCAAGATTCTCAATTCTAAATCGTTTAAGAGTCCAGAAGAAGAAGAAGAAAAACAGCAGCCGGAGAAGATTGCTCGGCCACAACAGCTGTATGTCGACTCAGATGCCGAGTCCGGCTCAGGAGGAAGCGAGGATGAGGCATTCGACAATATCATCAATGCGACAACGGTCACTGACCGCACGGGAATCAAAGCAATTCAACAGCGGAAAGGAAATGAGACCATATCTGGCTCATTCTCTCGGGCGGAGATTTCCGCCCCAAAGAGATGGTGAAAGTGAGGCCTAATGAACTTCAACTACCCACTCACTCGACAGGCTTTGATCAGCTTCTTGCCCTACAAGCTATCACCTTTCCTGGAGTATCTTAGGTGATTCTCTTTTTAGAACGTCCAAGGACAGCTTTATTACCTACGGTCACCGCCAAGTGCACTTGGTCCGTGGAGTTTCAAGTCTGGCATCCTGCTACCAGTATTGCCACTAGCCATCCCATTGGAGTGAGATCATTTTTCTGAAAGTGTGCCTCGGTTGATTTACAGGAATACCAGGTTTCCTTTTGCTTGGCCATACGACCTACGGAACTATATCCGCTTGGTGCCTGCAAATCTGTTTGTTTTCATGCTCTATGTGTTATGACTCATTACAACGATATCTTATTTTGTACACGGCGAGCGAGAAACTTTATACACCGCAAAGGGCAAAGAATCAAGTATCACCCATGGATGGCACAGATCAAATTCACTATTTTTCTTCTGAGGTTGGTCTAGTTCCTATAATTTAAAGTGTGACCCCATAGTCGTGGCTTCCGGGCCAAAAATGGAATCGGAGCAAACCCAAGGAAACCAGAGATGAGCAATGTATTGACCATCTGCCTGTCGCTCGAATCAACTCACAGAACTCACCCACCTTACAGATACAAGTCACTCAACCACACACAAGAACACTCACCTTTCGAATACCCATTACTTGTGCGTGCACTCTACTCGTCAACTCACTCACACTCTCTGTTCATCAAACACCGAACGCAGAAGACAGGCCAGCTCGTATCAACAAAATGGCCGAGGGCGCTATCCTCGGGCTCAAAGTAAAAGACACAAAGATGACACGCGACCTCGAAGAGCAGAACCAAGACATGGACCGCTTGCTCATCAATAAACCCGAACCTGAATGGATAGAATCTTCTGTTAATCCGCAGCATATGGCTAACCATATCGGACCATGGAAATCCATGCCGTCACAGTATAACAACAAGCTTAGGGAGTCTCGGGAACAAAATGCACAGCTGAGACTTGAGATGGAGAAACAGAAGAAAACTATCGCCAAACTCAAAAAAAACCGCAGAGAAGGCGTGGCCGAATTTGAAAAACACATGTCAAGGACTGAATCCAACGTCGAAAAAGAGACAAAGAAGATCGCTGACCTCGAGTACCAAAAAAGAATGCTGGTTCGTGATCTTGAGGAACGGAAAAAGAAGATTGCCGATCTCGAGTGCGAAAAAAGAGATATGATTCGTGATTTCAAGGAGCAGAAAAAGCAGCTTGCCGATCTCGAACGTGAACAAGGAAATATGGTCCATCTCCTCGAGGAACAGACCAGAATGACGTCTTCCTTGGAAAGGCGAAACGCAAAGATGAAGGACGTCCTCGGTAATATTGCCAGCACAATGTTCTCGGAGCTTGAGTACCAAGAAGAACTGATCAGCGAGATGAGACCAGACAATGAGGAGTTTTTCCAACCAAGTCACCAAACCCTAGTGGATTTGGTCGAAAACCTTGAGCAATGGACAGCAGACGACAAGCGTTCAGATATGATGTTCGATCTTGAAGAGGAGCCGCAGTTTGAACAGACATATGCAGAATTGTTGTCTCAATTCAATGAACAAGTATGCAAGCTCGATATGCAGTCACAAAAGCTCGATATACAGAAAAGCATGATTGATCAACAAGCAAGCACTATGTCCGAACTCGAGGCGCAGAAGCGAAAAATTGCTAGTGATCTCGAGGAACAAAATTGGAAGGTGGCTTTGTTCATTGACTGGATGGAACGTGTCAAATTGACAAATCCACTTCTTTACGACATAACTTTCTCAACAATATAATCAACTATGCATTTCGACGTCTTCTGATAGAACGAAATGGTGGGAAAGGCACCGCTGGGGCTAGGACCGGGAAGAGCTAATTGTTTTCACAAAGAAGCGCCTAATGGTAAGATAGCTAAGCCAACAAAATGAGCAAATCCATTTCCTAAAAAAGAATATCAGACTATCTTGTATCACGGAGGGAACTCTGAAGTCATCCACCCTGTCGATTCTGATCTCATCGCTTCGACCAGATACTCGTATAATAGAAATGAACAGCATGAAGTCATGAGCCGAACCCCGACAAAAGACATGGGATTGAATGGGATTTGATAGTTCAAACAAAGATGAAAAATTTGCAGGTTAGCAACCTGCGTCTATGGAGTCTAAATTCAAGTGCTTGCCTCTGGTTATAATCTATTTCACCCTCACCTCATTTCCCTCTCACTTCACTCAAAAGATTTTCCACTCATCAGGTCTCATTGCCTATGGTCTCTTATGTATACTACTCTATTGCTTAGCAGGGCCGTTTTGTTCTTCTTCAATGTTTTCTCCAATCCTCGAAGAGAACTTCATTCTTTCTTTCCCTCCTAAATCAAAAGTTAATTAAACAAAGAATTACATTAAACACGATTCGCATCACTGTCACTTCAAGAGTCAAATGACCGAGTAGGTTACAAAAAAGATATTTAGATGCTTCCCAGTCTAACCACTTTACAATCGTATTATATTCCCAAAATGAGATTCCAAAGCTCAAAGCCTCCTCACTGCCGCTGCTGTCTGCAGAAATTGACGCTGTGGTGCCGATGGCATCGTGGGCAATCGACTGCATGATGTTTGGGCCAAGAATGCGTCAAGGAGTGCGAGGAAGTGTGGCATATGAACGGGTTTGCATCTGTATAGACTGGACGAGTGGGAGCTGCTCTATTGGGTCGATACTTCCGCCTGGGAGAGTATCTGAAGGTGTTTCGATGTTGAGATGATGGGATGGATAGCATCGGTGAGATTATCGAAGGCATGTTGAAGGTACCTTGTTGGCTGGTATAGATTTGGATTAGTCTCGCTCTGTGAATGTATTTACACGCCACCTACCTGCTCAAGTCGTATTTTGTGCCAAATATACATGGACTATACAATCCGATTCATCAACTTCAGGATATACGTTGACTATGTACATGGTCTGTATGTTTTCCCTTGCTAGGGCAACCATGGGACGCCTAGGAAACGCGAGACATAGAATATGCAAGGGCTAAAATGAATTCATTTTGGAAAGTTGAACCAGATATGCAAGGTATCAATGGAATTAATTGCACATATGTCTGAGATTAAAAAAGGGACCGATTAACTAGTCCAGTCTGTGTTGAATTCTAAGCTCTATATAAAGACGCTATACCCCGCCATCGCGGGGTATAAACGGCCCCAAGGCGAATATATATCAAGTACTCTATTTAGCTATTATCTTTTACACGACCCCCTTTAATTGAGAAATACGTAGAATAAAAGGTCAACATTCTACTCCTAAGTCGAGCTAGCACACGTGGCGGGTGAATTTCAAACTCACCGGGGCGGAGATGCTTTCCACTTTTCCCACAATCCCGCAACCCACTTTCAACCACCACCCTTGGAATACCCTTGAACAATAATCCAAAAATGCCCGATAAAGACTCCAGCACCCCCCGTGTCTTCCTCTACCGACACGGTATGTTCCAGAGCGTCAATACTTTCTTTCCGTAGTCTAACTAGATTCTAGGGCAGACGGAATGGTCCAAGAACGGACGGTACACCGGAATCACTGAGCTTGAGCTTACCCAAGATGGTGTCAACCAAGTCAATGCATCTGGCAAGATGATTGTTGGTGCGGGCAAACTGATTGACCCAGCCAAACTTGCGCATGTCTACATCAGTCCTCGCAGGCGAGCGATACAGACCTTTGAGATTGCTTTCTCTGATGCAGATAAGCAGGCGCTTAAAGATGCACAGAAGATCTCTGAGACAGACAGACTGGCCGAGTGGGATTACGGTTTGTATGAAGGTCTGTTGACCAAGGAAATCCGGGCCTTGAGAAAGGACCACGGTCTGGATACCGAGAGTGAGTGGGATATCTGGAGAGACGGCTGCGAAAATGGAGAGTAAGTACTTTTTTAAAAGAAATATCTTTTAAATTTATGTCGAGTCGCCTACAATCGAGTATATTGACTAAACCAATACAGGTCTGCACAACAGGTGACGGACCGTCTTGATAATCTCATTCAAGAGATTCGCGCGATCCACAAGGACAAGATGCACGGAGAGAAGCCTGCTGATATCCTTCTGGTTGCACACGGACATTTGCTTCGTGCTTTCACCAAGCGCTGGCTGGGATATCCTATGGAGTTCCCTCTTTCTCTGATGCTCGATCCTGGTGCTGTTGGCGTCCTCAGGTAATTCCCTTCTATCCCACTTCATTGGCTTGGTAGTTGACCTTTTTTCCTATTTGCAGTTATCAGCATCATAGCATCGATGAGCCTGCTATGTTGGTTGGGTACGGATACCCGTTGCAGGAATGATCTGATCTGGATGGTGTACATTTCATAGAAGTTAACCGGATGGTTACTAAACATAGACTTGATACATGGCGATAATAGAGTAATGAAGATTATGGCCTTCATATAGTCTAACCTATCCTGAAGGGGGCTATTTGTGTATATCACATTATTTATGCCCTAGATAGAAACCATCTAGTCAATGCGATAAACCTTATATGAGTCATGGAGAATCCGGAGTCCACCACATGACTGAAAAAGAGAACGTCATAACTTCAGAGCCTCCAAAACCTTCTTTCGACCCTCGGCGTGGCTGTGCTTCTGATCACCAGGGGGGCAATACCAGCTTATCAAGTTCAAGTTCATCAGGAGCTCAGCCCTACTGCCAAGGCATCCCCGCAATGGTCCACGAGTGCTCCGTTCGCCTGACCTGCCCAGGTGGCCAACTAATATAGCCTTGACCTGTCATCCACCTAAATGTTATGTCTTCGCTCCAAATACCTATGATGAGAATACGAGCGCCTTCGAAAGGCAGACAATATCAGGTGGAGATAGAGATGGAGGCTTTTGGCTGAAGCGCACCGGATTGCACTAACACTAGATCGTTAAGTAACTAACGAGTCTAGCTAACTATGTTGTATATGATCGTCGTCTCTCCTTGTGAATTTCTTTTGTTTTTGCATCCTTGCGCTCTGACATGTGCTTTTCGGAGAATTTCCTCGGTACTTATTCTACAACTATCTTGTCACAGAAAAGCCTCAACCTTGAGGCTGCAAGTTAAATCGGCGTCGATATCATGCCACACCACAAATCAGACGAGTTATCGGTCGCTGATGCCAGAAAGAAGGTTCATGAGGCATCAACTTCGATATCTCCAACATCAGCGCAAGAAAAACGCAGCTCAGCGTTTATAAGTTTCTTCTCATCGTTCCTCAGCCCCAAGAACCCGCTCGCTCACCCAGCAGACCCACGCAAGCACACTGTGTGGCTACTAGACAATACAGCGTACCAGCCGGTAAATGAGGAGACAGACGAGTACCAGCTGTGCTGGCATGCGGAAGTAGTTGCCTGCATCTTTGAAACAGAAGGCAGGAGAGACGTGGGCAATCTCGTCGCTGCGATCGCCGACTACATCGGACTGGACGGCGAGGTGGGTGGCGACGACGAAGCACGCCGACGCATCACGGAGCGCGTCCAGCCCTTCCTCAATCACGTCTCACCAGCTCGCACAGTCACGCTGCAGGTGCCCATATCCCGGCCGGCACAGTCGCACGGACTCGGTCCATCCGACCGAAACGGCATCGTCAGCCAGACGGTCGATATGGGCGAAATGAGGATCTACGACGGGGAAATTGTGCGGCCGCGGCTACAGCATTTCGGCGATGAGGCTGTGTCGATGAACACAAATTTTGCCGTGCCTGAGGGCTGGCTGATTGTCTCGGATATTGACGATACTATCAAGCATACTAAAACTCTTGAGCCGACGGGGGTTATTCGCACGACATTTGCGGATGTCCCCGAGCCCATCGCTGGTATGCCGGAGTTCTATAGATATCTTCATGCTGAATTTTCTCCTGCATGGTTTTATCTATCCGCCTCGCCGTATAATCTTTATCCTTTCCTACACGACTTTCTGGATGAATACTACTATCCAGGTACGCTGGTGCTGCGTGATTACTCGTGGATGGATATCACGGGGCTTATCAAGTCGTTCACTGAGAAGACACAGGAGTACAAGGTTGATCGGATGGAGAAGATTCGGCGGTGGTTCCCACGTCGGAGAGTGCTTTGTATTGGGGACTCGACGCAGCAGGACCCGGAGGCTTATGCAGAGATGTATAGTCGGTATCCCGAGTGGATTCATGCTATCATGATTCGCAAGGTTACTGATGTGGCGCATATGGAAGAGAAGAATGAACCAGGGAGGTTTGAGGAGGCTTTCAAGTACGTACCGCGGCATATTTGGACAGTCTTCGAGGATCCAGAGGAGTTATATGATTTTGTTGATGAGCTGGGTATGGAGGACTAGGATTGATAGGTGTAATAATCTGTACATATTTAGTTGGATTGGTTATTTGTCAATACTTAATGTGATTCTGAACTCTCTCTCAAACATTCTCTTTCAACCATTTTCTACCTTTCCCAATCCAGTAGATTGCAGAATGAGGATCAGTCTAAAAAGTTGAAAGAAATAAAAAGTCATCGCCTGGATTGACCGGCGATCAGAACAGCACATCGGGTCCAGGCGATACGGAAGGCAGGCAGACACCTTTATGAAGCAGGTTGAGGGATAAAATATACACTGCAGACTATCAACCCGCCAGACAAACGTGCCCACCGTGCCTTGGAAAGATACTGTAAGCAACGATCTATAAGACCCACATTGTGGATATTCCATTATTCCATCGCACTATCAACATTCCATGAACCACAATCCCTATACAATATAGCCCCAAGTCAACCCAAGTCAAATAGAAAGACAAGATTAACTTGCCGCTCATTGCAAAGGAATTGACCGGGATTGTTGAGTGGCGATGTTGACCTAAGCCCTACTACATACGTCAAGGTTAGGAAATGTCTTCCGATCTATAGATGGCAAAAATGAAGACCCTACTTCTAAAGCCTCAGCTTTCTCACAACTCATTAGAAATACTCAAATTTCTAACAAGATGCATCAAGATCCTAATGATACTATGCAGTCACAGATACCCCCTACGCAACCTATCGTGGAACACGAACCAAAGCATCCATCACAGCCCTCAACACGGACTCCGGAAGCCTTGAAGCCGCCTTCTGGGCCCTCAAAACGTACATCAGAAGCAACTAAAGGCACTCCAGAATCCAGGAAGCCCAGTTCTTCACATGCCGCAAAGCCTACCTCATCAACGCTGAACGACTCACCCTTCACACCACTGTCGATGCGAGCCCTCTACTACGCCCCAGACAACGACATATCCGAAGGAATCCCAGAGGGAGAAATCGACGACGCCATCTCACCTGATACAAACACAAGCGTCATCCGCAAGAAAGAAACAAACCTTGTGTTCGACTCATGCTTCCCAACGCCGCAGCCCTCTTCTCAGCAATACCTGCTGAAGATCCTCACAGCAGCATTTTGCCACGATGAGATTCGTCTCGCGGAGCTCCTCAACCCCCCAAAGAGCACTCCACAGATCCCACTTCACAGTCTCTGTGGAACAGTTATCAGCACTCCACGCGAAGACGACGAGCGGGAAGAAGGCCCGAAGTTCAAAATCGGTGACGTAGTCTTCGGTGTTGTGAGTTACACGCGTGACGGGGGAGCGGCAGACTATGCAGTTGCCACTGAGAAAGAGCTAGCGCTGAAACCGGAGAATATCACTGTTGCCGGGGCGGCAGCACTTGCATTGCCGTCGTTGACGGCTTGGCAGGCGCTTTTTCGTTATGCCGGACTTGATCCCGATGTGCCTGGTGGGATGAGCGAGGGCGATGATGCTTATGGGGGTGGAATGGGGCGGTGGCTTTGGCAGCAACAACGCCGTGATTCCGTACTCGGCAGCAAGGATTATGGCTATGGGCACCGCAAAAGCACGGTTGTTAGTACCGGGAACGGCGGCCTGCTAAATGATACTACCAGTGGTATGGGCGGCGGAAGTGAGAACGGGCGGTGGGTTTGGCAGTGGAATCGCCGCGGCGATGACAATACCAGTGGCACTGCTGATGCTGACATTGACAATATCCCTCCAACTGCCAGAGCAGTCAATCCTCCTCCTGACTCTAAGACTGTACGCCGTGACAGTCTAATCAGTCTCGTCAGCGGTAATCCCACTGGCAAGAATACTGTTCCTCGCGCTGCCAGCACACTTGACCCCAATCCTAAAGCCACTGTCCGCCGCAACAGTTTGATCAGTCTGGTCAAAGGTAACGCCGCCAACGCTCCAGCCAGTCGTGCTGCTAGCACAGTCGATCCTACTACCAATGCCGATGCCAATAGCAATAGCCGCCGCGCAAGCCTGGTCAAGCTAGTCACTGGTAGCCCTAGCCCCGGACGGCGTGCCAGCCTGCTAGGAAGCATAATTGGCGGCACTGATTCCAACGCCAACGGAAAGCAAAAGCTGCCCAATATCCGAGTTCTCGTCACCAACGCCCGCGACAATGATATCGGTCGGGTCGCAGTGCAGATCCTGCGAGCAGATTCGCTCTTCCCCACCCCCGTCCGGCCGTGGATTTGTGTAACCTGCACGCAGGTCGAAGCCGACATCATCGAGAAGGACTGGGAAGTGGACGAGATAGTAATCATCCCGCACCTCCCGTCGCCGGACGAGTGTAACATCGAGAAGGTGTTCCGCGCGCGCCGTTGGCAGCCAGTTGACATCGTGCTTGACTGTGCTGGCGGTGAAGTATTCCGGGCGGCTCATGCTGCCGGTGTTGTCAAGGATTACGGGGCTGTGTTGACAGTTGTGGATGGTCAGGTTGCGCAGCAATCTCCGCTTGTTCCTGAGAAGGATGTCCTGGGTGAGAAGAAGCGTGGGATTAAGAGCCGGTTTGTGCCTGTCAATCCTGATGGATTGTCCATGGAGCGGATTGCGGAGTTAGTGGAGGAGGGTTTGGTCAGTGGGAGAGAGATTACTGTTGTTGATCTTGCGCGTGCGGCGGATCTTTTGGCTGCTGGAGCTGCTGGGACGGCGGGGAGTCGGCGTGGTGGAATGGTGGTTGTTAGGGTTAATAATGTGGCCTGAACTTAGATTGTCATGTGTATGCATTGGTTTAATACAGAGATATCAAAAGCACATCGCAGGAAGAAGCAATATTGCTAAGGAAAGCAACCTAGGGTTGTGTATCAATTTGAAAATATTTTGGGCCACTTACTTGGTAGGCCAAAAACCAATTTCGCAGATCCCAAAATTCAAGTTTAAGAAAAAAGAAAAGAATAGAACAAAGGGTGAAGTAAATCAAAGTTAGTGAGATATCCCATACAAGAATAAGTTTTGACCCGATGATTCCACATGAAAAACAAAAAAAGCGACGCTCTACCCCAACCCCCATCAAACTACATGAACAGAAGAAGAAATCGAAGTTTTGTGGCCGAGGTGCAAGTCAAGAAAGAGAGGAAGAGAGAGAAGGCGAGAATGAAGAAGGTGAGAAAGAAGTCGTAAAGAACAAAAGACAAATGTATTACGCGGTACCTCCGTTAAAGTAAAGAATCAAGCCTGGTAAAAACGCTCAAGCATGCGGCAACAATCTGTTTGCTGATTAGCACATGGTGTTAACGCGGTAGGGGATGTAGCTTACCTCCATCTGAAGCTCTCTATCCTTGTTTCGATTGATCTCCTCATTGACGACTTGAGCCAAATTGGCTCCGATCGCCTGAGAACCTCCAGTCTTCCTACCAAATGGCCATTGCGAATACTCGGCCAGCAATTCATCTACCTGCGCGAAAGCTCTCTCGCGAGCCTCGTGGCTCATGGTGACCAAAGCGTTCTCGAGGACATTGGCAGCGTATGCGGCGCAGACCATGGTGATTGAACGAAGGTATCGGTATTCGGCGTCTTCAGGGAGCCACGGGCTAGGAGGGATGATCACAGTGCGGTTGGTGCAGATGTTGCGCACTCGTCGATGGAGGTCTTCTTTCGCGCCACCGTCGGCCACAGGATGCGTCGCCATATCGAAGAGGAGGAAGTTGCGCTTTTCGGTTCGGAGAATACCCTTGTCCACAAGACCCTTGGCCAGTCGTTCCCGGACTTGCTTCAATTGATATCCGATCTTCATCAAATTCCAGGTTTCGCCTACAAGCAGCCCGGTCAGTAAATACGCCGCAAACGAAATTTCTGCTCCAGCCTTATCTCACCACTCAGCAAATCAATCCATGAGTTGACGCTCATCTTCTCGCTTGACTTCATCATCTTCAGCGTCTCGTCCAGCAAGACCTCCCCAGTCAATGTATCGTCGACGACCTCGATAATGCGGTCGGCCAGGGGGAAACGTCGCCGCGATGAATCCTTCTGCATGCTTATACGTCCGCGGAGCGCGAGCTCAATAACAATACACCCTCGCAGGGCATAGGAGATGTTTTCGTTCCAGAAAGAGAGATAGCCCTATTGCGGCGCGAACGCGCGGTCAGCGATCGGAACCACGAATCAGACAATCAGGCATGAGATGTATCCAGGAAGACTCACCTGTTTATCCTTCAAACCCAACAGCAAAATATCCTCCATCAGAGTCAATTTGGGCTGCTTGCCCCGTTCCTCGTTTTCGCTAATATCGCGGGGGTCGAACGCAATCTTGTGTCCATTCTCTGCACTGGTAAACGACGTCTCTGGCCCACGGTTATCCATCGCAGAGCCATTTCGGGAGACTGGCGATGACACTCGGCTGTCATCTTGTTCGTCCGCCCCAGCGACTCGACCGGCGCCTCTGCGGCGAGTCAAGCCCCCGGCTGCTGAGGCCATGAGATCGAATCGAGTTGGGTGGAGGATCAAAAGGGGAAGAGAGAAATGGCCGGATATGACCAAATGATTCCGAGCTATATGCCGGTGATTTGAGTGGTCTGGGTGGTGAGATGTTAAGAAGGACCGTGAGGACCGAGAGTCTGTGGTAGAAGTGGGACTTTCGGTGTCAGGGGAAACCAGGGACCGAATGGGCTAGCCAAAACGATACAGTGTCGGGTATATTGATTGGACTTGACCCGCCTAAATACGAGAGGAATAGGCGACTGCAACGGGGTTGTGAGAAGGGCGAAGGTCAAAGTAAGTTAGTTATGTGGTTCAGTGATGTGGCTCTTTGTATCTGCGGGTGCTTAAAAACACCCGTCAAAGGTCATGATAGTAATCTCCCAATCATGATTCTATTTCATAGAGCTCTATTTTTTTTTGGAAAATTAGCAATCTAGATTGCTTGTTATATATCTACAATATCTTGTCACAATTCGAGATGCTTATGTAGTTTGTCTTTTTTGTTTATGTTCCCAGTTAAAACAAAAGCACATGTTAGCCACGAATTCCACTCCACATACATCTATGTACAATCAGACCATAATCTGATAATGTGACCTACGGAAGGAATATATATTTAACTACCTATATATAGGTATCTACGAAAAAAAAGGTGGCTCAATGGACTATCAAGCTGGAAACAGATACCAAAAATGTCAAGACGCATTTGGTGAGTATCACCACGTGGGAGCAAATGCTGCTTCAAAATTGCATAAATTGCACTCAAATGATATACACGATATAGGAAAGAAAAGCCACTGGCATGTATTCAGCATACAAAATTAGCATGAGTATCACTGTGTTCAACGAACCCCACTGATGTCAACATGCTGATTCTTTTTCTATCCGATTCTCCAACCGATCCCAAGTCTTCAAGTTAAATATTTAGTGGGCTATGAATAAGTCAGCAAATTTCAAGGAAGAAAGGGTACTATGGAATTCACATACCATCGGGCTGGGCCAGGATGTACTCGACAGCCTTCTCAACTATGCGTAATATTCATGTTAGCTCTGGTTGACGGATTATAACGAGCTCATCAAGCCCTAACGTACCACTGTGGATCTGGTCGGCCTCCTTGTCGGGGATCTCAATGCTGAACTCCTGTTGAAACAGTTAGATATCCACGATACACTATACAACTGTTGTTTTTCCGAGGGAAACCGGGCGCGTACCTCCTCAATGGCCATCACAACCTCGACGGTATCCAGGCTGTCCAGACCAAGGTCGTTCGAGAAGTGGGAAGTGCCGTTAATCTGCAAGTCAAACGAGTTTAGTTGATGAATGTTTTTGGTCGCCTTTCCCATAGCTCATAGCGATGCGAATGTCACGGCGATATATCCGATAGATAATCACTGACCTTGCTGGCATCGGAGACCTAAACATGAAACAAATCCAGTCAGCATTTTGCTTTTCGTCTATAACCGATAGATCGCGAGTTTCCCCGGGAAAACAATATGACGCACCTTGTCGAAGTTCTTGAGCAGGTTGACTATCCGGCCCTCGGCCTCATTCTTGCTCAGACCGGCAGGGGCGGAGTAGAGGCGGACACCCTGAGCGAAGCAGGGAGTGAATTGAGGGACCTGGGCAGCAATGGGGGAGCTGCGGATGTGGAAGGGAGCCGGGGTCTTGATGACACGGGGGGCGGAAGCCTTCAAGGAACGAGCAATGGCGGAGCGGAACATGATGGAATAGATTGATCGGACAAGCGCAAAGGCTAAAAAGATCTAGAGTATTAAAAAGAAATGGGTGGGGAGTAAAAGGGTAGAGATTGGGGGAAGACGGTTGCCGCAGAAGAGGAAAGATGTGAGGTCGCGCCCAGCAAAATCCTGCGGGCCAATCAACGCCCGACAGAAAGGAATGACCTAAGCCCGAAACCTGCAAACCACCACAACCTAAGACTTGCTCCCCTTCACATCTAATTGAACCTTGACTACCCACCTCCAAACCTCACTCTCCTCTCCAAAACAATGGCCGCCACCCGCTCGGTCGCGAGGCTAATTGCCTACCGTCGGCCGACCCCCTTCGGTTTGCTGGGCTCGACCGCAAACTTCTCTTCCTCGACCTACCGCGCAGCAAGCCCAGCGGGACCCCCTCAGGCCGGGTTCCGCCTGCCCCCGCCCAAGCGCTGGGATCAGGACTCTGAGTCCGCGATGGATAAGGCCAGCAAATACTTCCTCATGGCAGAGATCTTCCGCGGCATGTACGTGGTGCTCGAGCAGTTTTTCAGACCACCGTAAGTGCTTATCCCACACAACCTTACCGGCGATATGCGGATCGCAGTCCATAATCAATGGCATCGAAATATATCATCTAATTGCGTCGCCCTGTTCTAGTTACACCATCTTCTACCCCTTCGAGAAGGGTCCTATCTCTCCCCGTTTCCGTGGTGAACACGCTCTCCGTCGCTATCCCACTGGTGAAGAGCGCTGCATTGCTTGCAAGCTCTGTGAGGCTATCTGCCCGGCTCAGGCTATTACCATTGAAGCCGAAGAGCGTGAGGACGGAAGCCGCCGGACGACCCGTTACGATATTGATATGACCAAGTGCATTTACTGTGGCTACTGCCAGGAGAGCTGCCCTGTGGATGCCATCGTTGAGAGTGAGTTCAGCACCCTCCGGCTACATCTCAATTGATATCCAGACCGGATTGCTAATATTTTGTCTTTCAGCTTCCAACGCCGAGTATGCCACCGAGACCCGTGAGGAGCTTCTGTACAACAAGGAGAAGCTCCTCTCCAACGGTGATAAGTGGGAGCCTGAGATTGCTGCTGCTGCTCGTGCAGATGCTCCCTACCGATAATCTATTTCCCTCCAATCTGATCAGCGTCTTCTGGCAAATCCACATCTACCCCAGATGTTAGATGTGTGGACATGAATATGCTAGTCGCAATACCCGTCCATTCAAGAGGCACTACTAGTGCCTTGAAAACAAGAAAGATTTTAAGTCCCATCACATCACTGTACATAAATTGCCCTCGACTGTGTTATCATCTTGTACTAGTCAATTCCCAAAGGAAATGTCTTTCCCTGGAACTCTGGCCCCCTTGTCTCTTTTTTATTTCCTATGTTGTGGAATCTAGCAGCTTTTTTTTCTGGTTGAGATTCAATTCAAAATATATAAATTCAATCAATCCCATCTTATATTTGCGTGGAACACTTTTCCGCTAACCGCATACGTATATATATAGCACATGTTGAGATCTAAAGCTTTACATAGGCATAAACAAACACGGAACACATATACAGCCCGATAAGAAAATGATATTGTATTCACAGATAAATCAAATCGCTACCGATGCTGTCATGCATAGACATAAATTGACAGACTAAGCCGCCAAAGACACAAACGCAAACACCAGGCACCTTGATCTCCGGACGGATATTTCCCAGTTCAAAATCTCAAAACACTTTTTTGTTGGTTCGGAGCTTCCGTGTGCGGTCTTGTTTCTTTCAGAGATGGTAAACATCTCTGAAAGAAACAAGACCGGTTTGAAGGGTATGCAGAGAAAAGAAAAAGAATCTAAAAGAAGACGGATTGATGTAAAAGCAAGCGAGAAACGAAATAAAATTAAGCCACCAGATAGAAGCTTGTTTATTTCTTCTTGCCGCCACCCTTGAAGCTGCCCTCGAATCCAGGACGAGCAGCCTTCTTCTTTCCACCGCTGCTGGACTTCTTCTTGCCCTTGACACCTTTCTCGTCCCGACGCTTGCGAAGGTTCTCCTCGCGCTTGTTCTGACGCTCTCCTCTGAATTTGGCGACGGCGTCCATACGGTCACCCCATTCGCGCTCAGACTTCTTCTTTGCTGTCTCCTTGCGCTTGAGGGCCTTCTTTAGCAGAGAGGTATCATCGCGGACACGCTCGCCGTGAGCACGCTTCTTGGCATTCAACCAGAGATCCTTTTCTTCAACGTCGGCACGCTTCTCAGGGTCCATCGCTTCGAGACGGGCTTTCTTGGCCTCGGCAACCTTGAGCTGGGAAGCCGGGTCACGGGCACCGCTGGTCTTCGGCTTATCGCGCACGGTGGTTCCGGTGGCGTCAGTCTGCTGGCCGTCTGCGAACATCACACGACCGAAAGAGAAGTTGTTGCTGGCGGAGCTGACGGACTCGGCAGGGGAGCGGGGAGATGCCAGGAGAGATCCAGAGCCCCCGGGAGAGAAGCGGCGGGCCATGGCCTCGTCGGTCTTCTTTTCTTCCTCAATCTTGGCCTTTTCACGCAGTTCTCTCTTGTGTGCTTTTCTTTGCTCAGCCTTTTGCCGGCGGGCTTCAATAAGCTCTTGGCGGTTGCGTGCAGGCTTGCCGTTGAGTCCATCTGCGTGGCGCTTAGCCCGAAGCTCGTCCAGACGCTTCTGTAGGCGCTGCTTTAGCTCTTCGGGTGTGTGCTTAAGAGGTTTGGGCTCTGAGGATTTGGCTTCGGTGGAGGCGGAGGGAGGAACAATGGAGGAAGTGGAGGAGGTGCCGGATTGGGGATTTGAGGCATCGAAAGTAGGAGAGTCGGTGGTAGACGGGGCAGAAGAAGGGGTTTCCTCTTCAACGTTAAACTCAACAGAGAACCCTTCCTCGACAACACCGTCATCTTCTTGATCGTCGTCTTCTTGGTCGTCGTCTTCTTCATTCTCGGATGCTTCGGTGTCCTTGGCTGCACTGCCGTTAGGCTTGGGTGCAGATTTTTCCGAATCCTCAGTTGGGGTGGTCGATGGCTTTTTGCTCTGCTGAGACTTCTCCTTGCGGGCAGCATCCTTGGCCCTCTTTTTCTCCATTTGGGCGGCCTTCTTCTGGGCCTTCTTTTCTTCCTTTTGCTTTTTCCGTGCCTCGGCCTCTGCTGCCTTGGCGGCATCTGGCTTATCAGTCTTTTCAACCTGCTTTTGCTTCTTGATGTTGGTGGTTCCACGCTGAAGTCCTTCTCTAGGCTTCTCTGTGCCCATCTCTCCGTCGGACGAGTCGGACTCGATGGTGCCGTCCTCACGCTTTCGCTTGCGTGCGTTTTCATCCATCACGTCTTTGGCAGTCTTAGCGGCTTCGGGGTTCAACTTCGCCCGCTTTGCCTCGCGTGCTTGTTCTTTGGTTTGCTTTTTGCGTTGCCATTGATCCTAAAAATGAGGATGATCGTCAGACAGAGATCTTCGGAATGAACGATAAAGGTAAAAACACAAGATTGACTCCGATCCCACAGTAATCTTATCAAACGCAGCAAGGGCTACATACACTTGTATCTTCTTCACCATAATAGTATTTGGCGGGGATCAAAGACAGCAGACCGTCAAATGCCTGCGCATGGCTGCGCAGCCGTTCCTTGGGGGCAGTCAGCTCGCAATCCTTGCGGGGCATTCTCCGAGTGCACAAACCTCGATATCATCCATGATCTTTTTCTGCAAACAGAAATTGTAATCTGGAGGGGAAAGCTCGACAGTCAAGCGCAACGAAAAATTTGGGGGGAGGAAATCTTGGCGCTATAATTGTCTCCGCTTCGGCTGGGTTACCGCCTTCGCACAACAATTTTGCTGGATTGGTCTGTGCGTTGATAGAGAGGTTCCCGGAGGTCGGTTGATTGTTCCCTCTGCCTTCCAAGGTTATTCTTTCTATTCATCCCCTTTGGTTGTGCTCTCTTCGTTTTTATTCTATTGATTCCATGATTATATGTCCCTGATCATATGCATTATTTTATTCAATCTATGAATAAATCCCTGAATATACGCTCAATGACCAACAAAGTGGATATGCTTTCCATCAAAATATTAAGCTTGATCTACGAGGCCAGTCCTAACATCCAGCCCAGGGCATCCCTCGCTTTTGATGCTCGTCACATTTCCATACGGCCAAGGATCTATCCAAATGAGGTCGAATCTGAAACAGTCAGCGCCAGTACATAACACAAGGTAAAACAAACCAGCTTCTGCCGAAGAGAGTCGCAGGTCCAAGTCTCCATGGGGCAACCGCCTCCTAGGCATATTTCTCCCCATGCGGAACCCATCCTAAAAAGACAAACACACGTGGGAATACATTCACCTACCGTTCATCCGGATATTTAATAGGCTCAAAAGCACCAAGCTCCTCCTCAATCCCACCCATCCTCGAGTGCCGCCATGCAATCAAAATGTTGCCCGGTCCATCATACGACCTGATCGCCTCTGCCACACATTTCACTTGGTTCCGCTTGCAGTGTGTGTCAACTGTGAGGCCTAGATCATTGGCGAGGGGTAGAACGGTTTCAAACGAACGTCCATGCTCGCCATCTATAGAGAGAAAGCATATTGTCAGCCATGGCTATGGAACTCAATACCCCTCCGCGCCTTGTTTCGGCACTGTGGCATTGGTTTGGTGTCAAGTATTGTTTTAAACATACCTCGTTTCACACGAGGTGCCATGATATACCCGATGTCGTACTCCGAGCCTTGACCGAAAACACTTCTGAGACACTGTGCCCGCTTGACCCCGTCTGGGCTTAAACGATAGTCGTTCGGATCCTGAGGTTTCTCGCCGTGTCGAATTATATAGACAGTTGGGTGTGATTTGGCGGATACGATGCCGAGACAAAAGCACAGAGCTGAAAGGGCCGATAACATTAGCATTTTTAGTACATGGACTAGCTATAGCCCAGTTATACACAAAGTAGGCGCGTAATAGCTACTGTCTGGATAAATGGAGCAGTGAAGAAGCAAGAAGCATGATCCCTAGAAACAATTATAAACGTATGGGAAAAGCAAGTCCTCCATAGAGGGTGCTCTAGTTATAAGTAGAGGGCATGATCCAAGTCCTGTTATAGAGTCTCAGAAAGAAAAAGAAAAAATAGGGCTGACACATTAAAAAAGCAAAATGTGGATCAGCAGAGTAACATTCCAATGATCATCCAGCAAGTAAGGGCGCCAGAGCTGAAAATGGAATAAAGTTGGAGCTCATATGAGCGCTTGACAAACTAGAGGCGGCCGTTCGATCGATTTGCTGCAACCCGGCAGTGTGATTGGTCTAGCATGTTCTGCATATCCACTGCACTCCGTTGATCGTCTCAGTTGGAGATCTACAAGGTACAATATAGAGGTTTTGATAGGGATCAAAATGTTCACTGATTTACGTTTATATACAATATACGATATAGTTTATAAGCATATAAATCAATATCTCACAATCAAGATCATGGGTTCGGAAAATATCGCGGAGGTAATTCGGACCCTTGCACTCGACAGTGGACAGCAGCGTACGCTGTACAACGCAGATATATACATCAGGATCCTCTAGATGGTTTAAGCTACTGTCATCCGATCAAGTCTCATGTTATTAGCCCAATGTTTAAAACGGTCATGCGTCGATCATAATCGATCATCCAGCACATCAGAGATGAGAGCGTATAAGTAGTCCACGGGATCAAAATATGGGCTGTGATAGGGTTGTTCTATCACAAAAAAAGGGTGATCTGATGACGATCTCTTTTACCAATATGTATTCATTGCAAGTAAAATGTATATCTTATATTATACTCTGTAATTTTCGATCGCATGCTTTTCAAGATATATATTGTTAACCATCCCCGAAGTCAAATTTTATACAAACAGTCTACGTTGTACATTGTTGCCTCCCGATTCGCCATCATGTTGAAGGTCACTTGGACATGTCATCATTATGATTCCAATGCAATCTGACTTGTTTTGGAAGACATGCATTGGATTGAGAGGCTGAATGAATGATATATGGGCTAATGTGGACACCGTCGATATATATGTAGTATTATAGGTGAGACTACGGCGTACTTACAGTTATATAACCTTGGCTTCAGGTTCTTACAAAGTAGATCAAGACTTGTGACATCAATAGGAGGATATCGGGTGCCACCTTCGACAGCAAACTCCAAATCCGTGTTCGGAGATAAATGAAAAAAGGGGCTTAGCGTAGGCAGCCGAATAAAACGCCCCAATACAGAAATTGCCAAGATACATTACGCAGCAGCGGAGAAAGAGATTCTGGAAGATCAGTGGAAGCCGAGGGATCCGTGTAATCTATTGGGAACCAGATCTGGTAATGTATAAACCGAACCTCGGGAGGCTTGGGTCAGCTTGGGTCATCCTGGCATAGCCACAGTTGAATATAGTACCATGTTGCGCGGAAGTGTGGCGGCGTAATCAACTTAATCAGGCTGAGTGCATCGATGGACGTTCTGGCGAATTCGATTTCTAGTTCGAACCAGTAAAAATACGGTAAAAATAAAATAAATTATGCATGTCCCAAGGCTGAAAGGCGGCTTTACGCTGCGCCCCTCGTTCTGTAAGTTTTCGCTTGCCATGTGGGGTTACCGTCAGCCCTGCGGTTACTCCGTGTACTTGGAGTCATCTCTTATAAAAGGTTGGCCCCTCACTTCACTTCTCTTCATCACTTACCACTACTCTCTACCTTTCATATTCCATCTTCCTCAAACCCAATTCAATTTACATCATGTCCGGCTACGATCAGTACAACCAGGGCCACGGCCAGCAGGGTTATGGCCAGCAAGGTTACGGCCAGCAGCAAGGCTACGGTGGCCAACAAGGTTACGGCCAGCAGGGTTATGACCAGCAACAGCAATATGGCCAGCACCAACAGGGCTATGGCCAGCAGGGCTACGGCCAACAGCAGGGTGGTTCCTCTGACTACTACGCCGGCCAGCAACACCAGCAGCAGGGCTATGGCCAGCAGCAGGGTGGGTCCTCTGACTACTACGCCGGCCAGCAACACCAACAGCAAGGATACGGCCAGCACGATCAGAACCGCCAGAGGTATGTACTTCCATCACCCTTCACTTCCGTGCATCATGTACTAACAAACTATAGCGGCTATGAGCAGCAGGGTGCCCCCGGTGAAGCCCAGGAGGGCGAGCGTGGTCTTGCCGGTGCCCTCGCCGGCGGTGCTGCCGGTGGCTTCGCTGGCCACAAGGTCAACCACGGTTTCCTAGGAACAATCGGTGGAGCTATCATTGGTAGCATCGCCGAAGACGCCGTCAAGAAGCACCGCAAGAGCAACAGCCAGTCCCCTCCTCAGTACGGTGGCCCCTCTCCCAACGGTCCCTACGGCGGCCCTCCTTCCAACAATGGCAGCAGCCCTTCCATGATGGATCAGCTCGGTGGCTACTTCAAGAAATAGAGGGTTTCCGATGAACTTCCCCATTGCGTTTTCTGCCTGATGACACGGTTTTCATGAATTTCTTTCTTTGCTCTTATTATCCTGACGGGCCGGCATGCATTTTTTTTTCTCCCGCCAGATCGCATTTTATTTTTCATGGCTTTTTTTTTCTTCGCCCTCGAGGGCCTTGTACCATGACAGAACTGCGTTGATATCGGAAATCACCTTTGTGTGATCTGATCATAATTTTCAGAATTGCAACGTGATTACCTTGCCGAAGGCGTTTTTTTGTAGAAAACAGTAAATCAAATAGTAAGTCATAAATCATAATGGTTATAGACACTGCCGTCTGCGAGAAGTAGTGAGGCAAGCGGAGAGGCCAAAACACCACCCCAAGGGGAATAGCGTAAGGCCTCAGGCACCAACCGCCAAGCCCGACAAAAGTTCGAGCGGGCAAGTCCTTAGTAACCTCCTTGCCAGACACATCTGCAATTTAGCATTCCCAAAATGATTATACGGAAGCTTTGTATGCGCCAGAGTGAGTGTGGTCCAATTGCTGCTGTTATATTCAATGCCCCTGCTAACAACACCCAGGCCGCCAGCTCCTTGCTCTGAGCCGACGAGCCCCGGTTTCGAGTCGCTTCCAATCGACATTGCCCGAAACCCCAGTCGAAACTTTGCAGACGCCTATCAGAGATGAGATTTCTCGCCCAGAAAACCCGCTCCTTGAGATGGTACAGGCGCAGTATGAGGCCAATACACCCGCACAACAAGAACTCACATCAAACGGGCCGCAAAGTGAGCCGCGAATTCCTTCTCGGAGATCGAACACCAGCTAACTCCATCTTGCCTTTCTTTCCTTAGGAAGCAGTTTCAAAAAACTCGGCACAACCGTGAAATCCTCCTACGACCCCGAAGATGTCATCCGCAACCCCCCCAAGCCATCCCAGATCTCCCTGGAAATGCTGCTCGCAGCAGGAACCCACCTGGGCCACTCGACCTCACGCTGGAACCCACAGAACTCGCGCTACATCTTCGGTATCCGCGAGGGAGTGCACATCATCTCGCTGGACGTAACAGCCGCACACCTCCGCCGCGCCGCAAAAGTCGTTGAGGAAGTCGCCGCACGTGGTGGGCTCATCCTCTTCGCCGGTACACGCAAGGGCCAGAAGCGGGCCGTTGTCAAGGCGGCGTCGCTGGCAAAGGGCTACCACATCTTCGAGCGGTGGATTCCGGGCTCTCTGACGAACGGCGAGCAGATTCTCGGCCACTGCGAGACGAAGGTTGTCAACGCGCTGGACGAGGAATTGCCCAACTTCAAGCCCGATCTTGCTGATCGCCCGTCGCTCAAGCCCGATTTGGTCGTTTGTCTTAACCCGCTTGAGAATGTTGTTTTGCTGCATGAGTGTGGACTGAACAATGTTCCTACTATCGGTGTTATTGATACCGATGCCGATCCTACGCGTGTTACCTACCCGATTCCCTCGAACGATGATAGTCTGCGGGCTACTTGTCTTATTGCGGGAATTCTTGGTCGCGCTGGTGAGGCGGGTCAGATTCGTCGGTTGAAAATGGCACAGGAAGGTCGGACTTCTTACACTCCTATCACAGCTCAGGAGCTGCGTCTTGATCCGTTTACGGGTATGGCTCCTGGTGGTGAAGGGCAGAAGAAGTAGGGGGATATATATTGTGTCTTCTGCCTTCTGATTGCATTTTACTTTTATTTTTGGTATCCGGTCGATTGCATTGAAACGACGGGACTCTGTACTGTATAGATGATTCCAGGTCTTGGTGTTAAAATATGTATTAACAACTTTGAGTCAATTTTAGTTCTTTTTTACTTGGTTCCATCTTATCTTGTAATAAGGGACAATGCATAAGTAACAGCCTCTCCAGAAATTAGGCTTCTGGTGATCTTCGGTATGTAGTCGGCTCAAAGATAATCCTGCCTTTAAGCGATAACAACACCTGCAACGATGCCCAACCACATCTTTACATCCCCTCGGCAAATTATACAGCAAAGGCATTGCATTGCTGACCCTGCAACCTTAACAGGAAGCTAAGCAGCACACTAAAAAGCTTGTAGCTATACGCCCAAAGGCATTCAAAGCCAGGAAAGCCCCGCCTAGCTTTGAGATAGTAGTCGGCACCAACTATATATACCTATGTAGTCATATCATGCTGAAGATCACATACCCTTTCTAAGGATTTATTAGCGCTGTAGCTGCATCTATCGAGAGCAGTCTACAAGAAGCAAGACTTCAAAGTGAATAGCAAGGCCAAAGTGCATTGAAGTTGTGGAGTAAGTGCTGGGCAAGCTATGCTTTCAAACAACAGCGTTTTAGTAACAGGTAATAGCTTCAGGCGGTAAGCTAGCTGCAATATGTAAATGTGATCAACACCTTCATAGCACCAACCATTATGTCTGCAGAGTGTCCCTTCTGAGCTATGGCCGAAGGGCGAAGGGTCGTATCGAAGGAGTTTCTGTTCCAAAGGCTCACGCCGATGAGATTTGCATATGGCAACAGTGGGCATGACAAGTTTCGTAACTCCCGAAATATGATGGATGATGAAATGATGAGGATCCGCTCATTTCATTTATGTATAGATGCATCCATACAGACGATGGATTGGAGACAAGATGCCACCGCAACAATCGGACGTGCTGTTATTGCCATGGTGGTATGTATATCAGGTCTTAAAAAGGGTGCACCATTTTATGGCTTTGTCGTCTGGCTAAGCTGCTTATATGGGCTGAGCGTCGTGCTCGCGTAGCTCGTTTGAGGTAGGTATTTTTGTGTTATCTATAGCGGGACCTGGTGGATTGGTCGAGGCCTATGAAGTGAGTTAGTGGTTGCTTGCATGTTGGGAGAGTATTGCCAGCTATGTATGCCCTAGTTGTAAGAGCCCTCAAACTTACCTGCCATGCTGCTTTGGTTGTTGTTTTGAAGCAAGGGAAAAGGAGTCAATGTTACTGGGAAATAGTAAGCGTGTGCATGAACCTCAAGGTTATATAGTTGTTATCCCACTCCTCACTTGAATGAACAAGAACTGGACAATTTGTGAGGCAATCCAGGATTTCATGGATGACATGGTCCTTCGCCCGTAGGGATTCATTGAAATTCTGATCGAAAAATACCTCTTGGTGTGTCAGCGATAATTAAAAGGGGACTTGGATAACCTTGGAATATAGAGGCAAGAATATGATATAAAGGGCATGGGAGATAGCAAGAGGAAAGAGAAGGAGGAGGAAGAGGGGAAGAGAAAGGGATAGTACTATAGATCTGCTGGAACAAAGAGCTATTGGGGCAATCACGCCGATGCAAATGGGGGAAACACACGTAATGGATCCTTTGGAATTACTATGCTCGTGTGCATATGCTAAGTATGCCAATTATTCTAACGATGGCGATTTTCTGGATGATGATCTCTGAAAGTTAGTCTCAGGTTTGAACTTGAAGTATCATAAACATCACAACTATCTCAGAGTTTGCTAGTAGACGTAACATGCTTTGGAATCCCAAACTTCGAAAGATCCTCCGTACTCTCTCCATCAATAGCCAACTCCGCAAGAGCACGGCCAAAAGCCGGTGCAAATTTGAACGCATGGGCAGCCCCCAGACCAACAATGATTTCTTGATGCTTTTCTAATGGGCTGATAATGAACTGTCGATCCGGAGTGATAGAGTATTGACAAGTGATAGTGCGGAGCGGTTGACGCCCCTTGTCAGGCATGAAATTGCCCAAAAACGAACAAAGCTGCTCCAGTAATTCCGGCGAGTGTACATAGGTACGTTGTTCAGGCGTCATGAAATTGTTCGAAGTATCTCGGGCAGCCTTGATAGTAGGCTCACCAAACGTTGGAAACCCATAGAAACAGAGATCGCCGCCCCAGATCCACACGGGGAAACGGCTGGGCTCCCAGGCTTGTTCGTCCGTCGGCTTGAAGTATGTCACTTGCTCCTGCATCACTGTTAATGGAATGTGTACATCGAGGGGAGCAAGGAGCTTGTTGGTCCATGCATCCGTGGCGAGGATGACTTTGGCTGCGTGGAACTGTCCCTTGGATGTTTCGATCACAACACCCGTGCCTGATTTCTTCGGTGTCACCCTGTCCACTCGTGTGTGCTCCTTCAAAATTGCACCATTTGTCCTTGCTAGACTTTGCATAGCTAGGACGGTCTTGGCCGCATGAGCAATGCCCGTGTCAGCTGTATATACCGTTTCGACCGTGTCCGCGATGTTGAATTGGGGCCAACGCTTGTTGACTTCTTTGGAATCCAAAACCTCATATGGCACATTTTTGGCGTCGAGACTTGTCGTATAGTCGATACGTGGAGGGTTTGCGCCTTTAGGGAAAAACATAACACCACCAGTGATCGTTAACAACTTTTGATCCGTAGCCTTTTCCAGCTCGGCCCAGTCCTTGTAGGCGGATTTGGCCAGGGAGACGTATTGAGGTGATGCATTTGCTGTTCTGACAATTCGTGATGTATCATGGGAGGCTCCGTTCACATGGCCCAGCTCGAATTGCTCGAATGCGACCACTTTCTTGCCTCTTAGAGCGGCTTGGTACGCAGCTGCGCTTCCAAGTACTCCAAGTCCAACAACTGCAACGTCAAAATGTTCCATTTTTCTTGCAGAACAATATTTTTTTGAATTCCGAGTGAAGTTCCTACGAGATTAATGAACTCATGGGATAGTCTCCATTTATGCTCTCGGTGGTAGTGATCTATAACGGGATATGACGGGGACGGTCCGCTCACGTGCCAGTTCCCCTCTCAAAGATACGCAACGTTAGGGAGGCAGCTTGAACGGAGGTGGGGCCGGGGTTGATGGATTGCATATGTATTGAGATGGTAGATGGCTTGAGACGGCATTTCCTCCGCTTTCCGTTCTTTTGCACGTAGGCACCTGCGATGATATGATCTGAAGGTCTCGGCCTCCAAATTGTTCTTGATATATGTATGTATGTAATTTTCCACGCGTTTTCATCGTTTAGGTACAGAATATAATTTACAAATGAATCTTTCAAGCCGGAGACCGAATGGACCTGTTTAGAAGGAGGGGAAATCCCGAGAATCCTCGACAAAAGATGGGTTATTCATATGCAGAGATGGTATAACAGTATCGCATATCGCAAGATCTCACGAGATCTATCGCTTTGGAATAAAGCGGAAAGCAATAAGATCCACGGTCTTGTCATTGTGCACCTCGACAAACTCGCGGAATCGCTCAAACCCACATTTCGATAGTACCTTCTGACTTCCACTATTGCCTGCTTCCGTGATAGCAATAAGGTGCTCATCCACCACACCTTCTCCGATGACCATTTCCTTTTGCACTCTGACCTCTCTCTCTGTTCGAGGTAGCTCTGTCCAAAACTGCAACCATGCATTCAAGAACTCCGTCGCGAGACCTTTCCCCCAAGCGTCCATCCGAAGTATGTATCCAACTTCAGGCCACCCATGATCTCCAGGATAAAGATGGCAGCCACCAATACCGATAAGCTCGCCTGTTTCCTTCAGACAGATGGCGCTGTTGGCGGTGATAAGATCGTTTGGTGGTAGGAAAGGATCCAGTTTGGATTTAGTCACCTCAATGCTTTCGTCGATGCACCCAGCACTGGTCCACTTCATGACATTTTCTTGTGTGCGCAAGACGTGCAAGGCTTCTAAGTCGGTTGGTTGAAGGGCACGGACGAGCAAGCGGTCCGTTGTTATTGCTGGCCGCTCGCTATTTGCGGGAAGCGGGACTGTGGGCAACAATGCCTTCACGGTTATGAATTCCTCCTCTGTTGCCATGTTGATCTCTGGTTTCGATACGGCTCTCTTAGGAAGTGCTCGTGTGCGATGCGGTTGAGTCACTCGTATGAAAACCCTGGAATCCAACCTTGAAAATGTACTAGCGTGTGGCAAACCCACTCGGCCCACTAGGGCAACTCCGAAGACCCACCCATGATTGGTAACAATCTATGAGTTATTCTGTACAATAACTATACGGAGTAGTATACTTGATCATAGTTGATCATAACAGTTGCTAAACATTATCACATATCATATCTGCCAATTCGAGTTTGCAGGCTGTTGCATATGTATTCAGATTGGCGGGCTACTATGTATATGACTCACGATATGCATGTGCAATTTGTCGAGTCAATAGATCGAAAATGAAAGCTGTAGATCTAAAACCTAGATTCAAAATAGGAGGATGTGTTAGATTTACAAATATATAGGTCTGTAAAGTGTATCATGTGATTAGAATACACAACTTGCAGAATGGATTTGTATAATAATATAAATTGATGTTGTCCAGCTGATGCCATAGCCCTAGATAACACTGGAGCCGCGGGCTGGAGGGCTTGGCATACAGGGCATGATTGGTAGGTTGAAGGAAGCAAGCTGAGCCGAGTCATTTATTTCCCAAGGTTTCTTACCTAGATCACCCGCACTTATCATCGTTAGGTAGATAACATTGTCATTCTTACATTGCAAAATCCTAATAGCGTCGAGGCGCATAGAGAATATGCATAGTAGTGCCAAACGCATGGCTAAAATATCTTCGTATGGAGTACTCCGTACGTAGCTAGTACTTGCATAGGTGACGCTCGGGTGAGAAGGAAACGCTAGTGCTCTAGGTACAAGTTGTAAATCCCTAGCTACTCCAAGCTGTGCGAGTTTGCACGGACCCTTCCGACTACCTGCGTACAAAGTACAGAGTATTTCTGGACATACCTAGGTATGGAGGTTGATATATCCACACAGTATATAATTGGGTCGCACGGTCCGGCCCGAAACACCGGGTCTCTTGGCATATGCACACAGCCGCCAGTCAATATGAAAAGAGATTATGATCGGCCACATCTCTCAGCCCAGTGTTTGTATCAATTATGTTACGGGTAAAGTATGTTCATTATTCTGTATAATATACACTGTTTACGCATTTACTCTCATTATCTGATAGCCAGTAATAGTATATTTCAGCCGCAATCCTAGCCTATTTCAAGCTTGCCCCTAAGAGGAATAGCAACAATTACTATCTACATTGTATAGGTATGTTGGTTTTACGTTATATGGTAAGCTCGCCTACAATAAGATTTGGTATAGTTAGATAATTATACCTTACGCGTGCCATTAACCCGGATGTATTTCTAAATTTAGTAAAAAAGACATGACTTGTTCAGCGGTAAATTTTGCTAGTAACAAGCCCAAAGCGGGGTAATTAATGGCAGCCCATCCCCTGCGCCTGGCAGGCGCCTAAAATATCCTAAAATATCCCAAGGCTTTAAAAATGAGCTTAGATAGCCGTAGACTACTTATTCCAACGCTTGGGCGTGGAGAAAGTTCAAAGTCTATCACCACTATGACAGAACCTAAAACAAAAGGCAAAGGTTTCCGGCATGGGTTACATCGAAAATTAGATCGCTTTCGCTCTACATTTCGAAAATCTCCAAAGGTTGACCTTCCGCAACATATCCAAGCAAACCCGAGGCTTGCAACCAAGTGAGTTTGAGATATCATTAAGCAATCGAGCGGTTTTAATTCAGGAAGCAGACCCGCTATTTCAATTTACAAACATGAAGCATCTACTACAAGCTCATTGCCTCTCATACAAGAGAGTGAGGCCTCCAAAGAGCCGACGATTAGTAGGAATGGCGAAGCTCAAAGCCCAACCCACCAGAGCACCGTCAATTGGAACAGTATTGAACAGAAACCTACAAATCCATTGACTTCAGATAATGATACTGGCAGCAGTATTGTTTCTGCAGACCTTTGGAGCGCAGCGTACCGCGAGGCAGTTGAAAGTTTTGGGAAAGAAATGGACCTCTCTGCTTTGAAGGGAAAGAATGTCATGCAACTATTCAAAGAACTTGAAGATACTGGAGAAGAGAAAGCTCACGACTCTGCCTTTTTGCGGGGTTTGAATTATTTGCGAGCTCACAAAATATCCCTCGAGGGATTCAAGCTAGCGTTGGATCTGTCAAGTCCACTGACAAATCTGGAACCGGCTACAAGTGTGGCTTTTGGTGTGGTTAGAAGCGTGACTGCGGTAAGTTGTGTTCATGAAGCCATCAAACCAACCAATTTCAGAAGGAGACCCTTACATCGGACGTACTAATATATATGTTGGCAGATTGCTATCAGCTTTACAACTGCTGATTTAGACTTTGCAAAACAAATTGTGGAGATGCTGAGGCAGATTGCCTACATCGATGATTGTGACACTCTCGGGCAGAAAGTGGAGAGGAAAGACATTCACAAAGTAACTTGCACGGAGTTTCTCTCTCAAAACCAACCTTTCTAATATTTTGCAGGCCCTCGTATTGGTGTATCAAAAGATGCTGGAGTTTTACAATGCCGCACTTGAGATACTGGCTAAGAATGGAGCAAGAATGATAATCAAGATGGTTTTGGAAAACGACCGCCTTCCAGCCATTGTGCAAGACTTCTTGGAATGTTCACATAACCTCACGAGGATCATAAGTAAAGCGACGTGCGATATTCAGAGCGATATTGAACGTATGCTCTATGATCGCGAACGTAAGTCTTCATACATTCCAATCTGTCATACGCATTCTTACCCGACCAAGTTTCCAGATGGCTTGGTGGTGACAGGATGAGTCGTCAAAATTATTACCATCGATACTTGAGTGAACACCGAGCTGATAAAGCTTGTGAATTCCTACTGAAGCATCCCAATTTCATCAACTGGTATCGCGCTTCCGACTCACAGCAATTGGTTGTTTTCGGTGATATGGGCAGTGGAAAAAGTTTTGCTATGGCATTTCTTGCAGACGAGCTAGTACGAAGAGGCAAACACCAAATACCTCAACCTAAAGTCTGCTATTACTACTGCCGGGATGACGGGTCAGGGAAGACTACCTTCATATTGTCGGCTCTCATCTTATCACTCCTTGCACAGCTCACAGGTCTGAAGAAGCCATTTGTCGAGTGGTACAAGGAGGCTCAGACTTCTGGAGACTTTGACCCGGCAACAAATGTCACAAAACTAGGAGAGTTTCTACACAAAGTGCTCGAAGCAATTGACCGCCCAGTCTCCATCGTAATTGATGGTCTGGACGAGTGCAATAGAGAATCTCGAAGTAGTCTTCTGATAACATTGAAAGAAATATCACAGAAGGTCTCGGGGCTGAAAGTCCTACTATCTTCCCGCGCGCAGGGCGAGATATTGGAACAGCTTCACGATACGGCTAAGGTCGAAATGATAGCTGATACTCACCGAGACGGCATTATTGTCGAGAAAGCAGTCGAAAGAAAGTTGTTCGATCTATCACCGGATGTCAAGTCACTTGTCATAGAACGGCTGACTCGTCTGGCAAAAGGAAGCGCCATATGGACGAGGATGACCATTGAACTGATTGAAACCCGCAGAATTATGGCATTCGATCCGATGAAAACTTTTCTGGAAGAAATGTCACTCCCCGAACAGCTATTGGAACTTTACAACACACTACTTTCCCGCTGCTCTTCAAATGATCCCGAAAATCTAAATCTTGCAAGTACAGCTCTCAAGCTTCTCGCTATCACTTCCAGACCTTTGAGCATACTAGAGCTCGCGTGGGCCGTTGCATTGGGTACGGCTCGACATGTTACTACCACGGATGCTCTTGCCAAGCTGGTGGATCATCAGAGAATCATGAGACTAATTCATCCGTTCATTGCTCACGTTGATTTTGACGACATAAAGAAGTATCAGGTTCGACTCGTGCACCAGTCGGTGAAGGAGTTTGTACTGAAGAATTTGGTCTCGAATCAGCCATGCCCACATGGTCTAATCTCAAAAGAATCTGATCAAATTATCCTTGACCAACACTCTGGAAGTCTGCAAGCATTCATGTTTGATATTTGCACCAGATATCTTCTTCTGGAAAATATTGGCAGGACAACTCTGTTCTCCGAGGAGCTTGTGGCAATCGCAGAACTGCCCCAAGAATCCGACATATTCGATAATAATGAAGGGGCAGCCGAGTACGATCTATATTGCACATGGGAAGTCTGGGAAAAGGATATGATCCATTTTGATCCCACTGATCGCGGCTTTGGAGAGTTCTTTGTCTACGCCTCATGTCATTGGGTCGACCACTTCGGGGCCATTACGGTCGAGCATCTTCCAAGTCTAGAGACTATAGAGAAGTTATGCCAAGCGAGATCGACTCGACTTGCCAATTGGATTGAGCAAAACTGCCGCCCAGGTTGCGCGTTGACGCCCAGATTTGAATTTGACAGCAGCCTATATGATCCTCTCAGCATCACTTCACTCTATGGCTCAGTGGCTATGCTACGTGATATGCTTGAAAACTCATCCTTCGACAATGTCAACTTTTTTCCACAGCCAGCTATGGGAGCTGCTCGTGAGATTCTCCGGTGGGGGTACGACATGTCAAGGCTAGAGATGATTTTCTTCAGTGAGCGACTTGGCCATCAACTGCGAAATCTTGACTTTTTCCGATTGATCATCAAATCGTGGTGCAACCGTATTCTCACCAGCTATGAGTGGGATCTTTTATTTGATCTCGTTAATGATATGTCAGACCAATTGGTCCAGGAACAATGGGGAAATGAACTGTTGTGTATTTCTGCTAGCGCAGGCTGTATGCCTATAGTCCAGCGGTTGATGACCAACGCTCAGCACAGCCCAGAGCTAAGGAGTGAATTGCTGCGTGAGTCTCGATTTGATCGATGGTCACGAATTGTCAAACCAACACAACAGTCGATTGGAGAGGCTGTATTGGGAAACAATGTCGATGTGGTAGAATACTTGTTGGGTGAGAATGACATTGAAGCCCATCTTCGATACCGAAGCTCCAGTGGCGAAAACGTTCTGCACTTAGCATCAAAAATCTGCAACCCAGAGATCTTCCGCCTTTTGATCCCTCGCTTTCAGGAAGGAATCCACCAGAAAGATGATAAAGGCGACACAGCCCTGGTGCGCATAATCCTGAGTTCTGCACCTGCAAAAGACCGGTATGAGTCGGCAAGGACTCTCCTCTTATATTGCGACCTCGAATCGAACGTTCATTTTTGGAATGACCAGCGTAATGCTTTGGAGGCAGCTGTGCAGATCTGTGATCTAGACATGTGCTGCCTCTTGATATGTATTGGAAAGATCGACACACTTCCGGCTCTGATCTGTGATAGCGAGAGCCAAGTGGATTTGAAAGATATACGTGCTGGGAATAAGGGGAATATGTTGGCAATCTTGGCGAATCTCTTTGAGATGAAGAAAGTGCCGCCCGAAGTCAATTCGGCGCAGTCTTTTGGCTCTATGACGGAAGTGTCTCTTCGCGAATTGGCTGAGAAGCGTTTCAATAGTCGCTTTGGAGCTTTAAACTCTGGCTCACATTCTACTGAAGTAGCCTTCAAGCCTCACGAGAGCAATCAGTGTGTGGAAGCTATTTGATCCCATTCTTTTTTTGGATAAATCTGTTCTTTGTGTTTTACTTTTTTTTGGAAACCATTTCATGGCTCTCTATCTCGTAGCATTCTGTTGAGATAGCTCGCAGCTATGGATTTGGCGTATATATTTGTGTTGTTGTTTATATATTTATTAAGTTTCTACCAATATATTTGTTTCATATGAAACAGGCGTTTTGTCTTAGAGATTTAAGGACACTGTTCATAGACAATCTAAGTAGATGCACCAAAATGCTATATAACGGTTCTCCTGAATATGTATGGAATGTGTTATTGTGATAATGTCGAGTACACTTTGAAAGATCAAAAATTACTACGAGGAAGGATGCAAAGTAGACGTGGCTTTCCTTTATAACTAATGATTCATAAATTAGTCTCTAGCCGTTGAGTAACGTTTTATGGGCAATGTGAGCGTGGTCATTTGAATAGACAATCCCCCCCCTAGCTCCTATCTTTTACAACTCTCTAATTGCATTCCATTCCACTTTTACGCTAAAGTCTACAAAAAAATAGACAATAACTGATAGCATGCTCCTGTTTCCCCTGTCCGAATAATGAGCCTCCTCTTGCGTCGGCCCATCACGGTATTCCTTCTAGAAATACATCAACACAGCTGTTGCCAATGGGTGATGAACTGGACTGGCCTGAAAATAACAACCAGTTGTCCAGTGAGATGGATAACATCATTCGTTCCCTACTCCAACCGTGCCGGGGTACCGCTATATATATATACCACCGACCAAGACAACCCATCCAAGCTGTTGCAGAAATTCTCTTGCCCAAGGGTCTGGAGACCCACTGCAAACCCGAATAATGAACTTGTTCAGGGAGACAATGCCTTTTAATTGCGCATCTATTTCCAAGAACACCCCTTGAGCAGGCTGAGTGTCGTTGAAATTCCCCTGGAGCAGGCTGCGGGCATTTCGGCTATAAACGAGAGTTTCTAATGTTTTCAGATGTGTAAACTCTTTTTGGAGAAGCTGAAAACCCTGCAAGCTATCTTCTCTAAGCCTGATTTCTCTCGTCTGACCTTCTATTTTCTCCGTAGCCGGAAAGTTGATGCATAAGTGGGATAGTAAACCTGCATTCACATGTCCAATGCGGTTCCAAAAGGAATTCAAAAGGTTGCTCTTGCTGTGCTTTGTTTCCACTTCCTCGAGAATGAGATAATTTGTGTCGTATAAAATTACCTTGGCTTCATCATATATCTGTCGATTGGTGTATATAAATTGAGGCCATTGATAAGGTTTTCCGGACGGCGCAAAGCTTCTCACTGGACGTCCTGTCCGGGAGTCGTCTTCAAAAAGATAGAGTGGATGTGGTACGGTAAGTACGTATTTGTAAACCTCGTGGCGAATTTCAATGGGTAAATTGAGAAAGCCGACAGAAGGGGAGGCTTGTGGTTGTGATAGAGCTCCTTCCGAGCTAGAGCTTGACATGTTCGAAGAATTGAGGAGTTCCAAAGAGAAATACGTTTGGCAGGTGATATCAAACGCCAGGCCTGCGATTTCTTTCAGCCTTTATACTGAGTTGCAAAATATCTTTGAGGGGCTTGTTGTGATACGAGGCAAGGTCATTGGGTTAAGCCGTTTCGCGGGTAGGTAGGCGAATCGAGGCGGATTTTACGGTTGAGCCGTTAAAATATCCGCTCTTATCGGAAGGTGTATTCGAGAGGTCAACAGCACGTGGATAATTGGTGTCCGGTTATAATCTAGTAGATCCTGTTAGATTCCTCACAAGATATGTTATAGTCTGCTACTTACTGGCCGTGATGGATCTGAAGGTCCAAGTAGTGACATGACCTGGCAGGTAAATTTTGCCAGGTAAGCCCAAGGCGGGGTTGATAACATCTGTTATCAGAACTTCTGCCTCAGGCCTATAAATTTGCTGGACCTTGTTTGTAGATCCAGGCATGTCCATACATTTTTGACCATACATTTTTGACCATACATATGGTAAAATGCGGCTCGTAAACTTGCGGTGGAGCCGAGTTATTCTCCTTTCAATCTAACTTTAAAAGCGTGCAAGCATTAAAATTATTTTAACCGGAGCCTTTAAGGCTCGTTCTTTGTTTCATTCAATCCTTTGCTTTTCGCCGCATTGTTCTCTTTTGGTTCATTGTCTTTATTTTAGATGATTGCTTTGTTCGAGCTTCCTGTAAACTCCCGACCTCATCTAGGTCTCGAATATATAAAAGCCAGCACTGGTCGCCCTTAAAATCCCGTGGAAAAGACATCACAATAGATCTACGAGTCAGTGAGCGCCTTTACAAAGTCTTCTCTATTACTCCATCTTATCCAACTCATTAACCACTATCACAGATCAGTATGACCGACAATTACTCTCTGTGGGAAAAGAAGGGACGAAGCTTACAGGCATGGATTGAAGACTACCGTGCAGCGGGCTGCCCGTACCCTATTTCCACATTCGTTTTGACGCCCAGACACCGGGACTACTTCGTCGATCGAACATCTGTGCACCTAGATGCAAGACTACTAACTGCTCTTAACATGGGCAACGTGAATTCGACTTATTGGAAGATTAGCATTACACAGCGCGACGAAGGTCCACCGGTGTGGTGGATTGGGCGCACTGGGCCGGGGGTTATTTTTATTGACGATATCTTTAGATCCAAGAGAAGCGATGATCCATACATGTCCGAAGTCATCAAGGCAGCCTACAAAATGGATTTCTCCCTAGATAGCTTGAGGACTGTATTCGTGTCCAATGTCAACGAAAAGAATACCCTATCATGTGTTAGAAAGGTGTATAAATCCCGCGACGGACTTTGTTATCCATCCGCACAGAGCAGACTTGGAAGCCCTCATCGCCTGAGTTCAATGCTCTGCTGGGGATTGGAATAGGCAAAGTCGTTGCAGCATCTGTTCTGTGTGCCTGGGGCCAAGGGAGAAAGCGAATTGCGAGAATTGTTACCGTCCATATTGGTGCCGACATTCACAAACTGTACATGCGGTTTAATCTCGAGAATATGTGAGAATGTCGTCAGCTTACTTTCTCTAGCCATGTGATCCGATTGTTTTGATTTTTTAGTTTGAGTGGAATAAATAGAATACATTGACTTCGAAATATTTATTTGTATAGCCAATTTCCACGTAGTATGATTCTGCAGTAGCTACAGACTGCTTGATCAAATAATCTAAAGTAAGAAGGACACGATAAATATAAGAATAAAATTACTGAAAACCAAAAATTCTGAAAATTTAAATAAAAACATCTAACAGTAACAACTCTCGAGTGGCTGCGCAAATACTAGCTCACTAGCTTGCTGGTGCTAGGTGACGGTGAGCACCCTGCAGGGTAGTTTCATGCGACATAAGGCTTTGTGGGGTGAGATATGGGCGATAATCACTCCGTGTCACGATTGCACTGACATTGTATGGGATACTGGAGATCTTGGCATCTGCATACACCCCCCTCGCGTTTCTTCTTGAGGGCTCGGGCTAGAACGGAATCTATGTGGTTACACTTATAGCATCGTATAAGAATGTCACAAAACATTGTAAGACTCGCAAGGAAAGCAAGACATACTAGAAAAGAAATTATAAAGGTAGTATTGAAAAGGGGTTTTGGTCTCTCTACCCCTACATATATATGGAATTAACTGGGACAACATCTGATCGAATCAATTAAGCTAGACATATTCCCTGGATGTAGATGCAAACACCGACAATACTTCCTAAGTCAGGTGCTGATTGCTATAGCCCGTTTCTATTTGCTGGGCATGTGGTGCACCCGCTTTGAGGCTCAAAAATTACGTGTACTATTTGCAAAGGAACCGCCATTTCCTCCCGAAAATACAGATACAGCAGGCTGTATTGAAAAGCCCCGTCTAGGCCCGGCGCTTTCTGTAGTATCCATGGATATACAGGGGATACTACTCCGTATAGAAGAGTGCCTATGGGGTACGAAGCCGTAGACTTGCATGGTGTCGATAGCCTCGAACAGCCATTGACGGACTTCTGTGGTCATGCTGGGAAAGATAAAAGGAATAAACTGGGATTAGCGTTGAATATTATGATCAGAATTAATCAAGATCCATGGGACATAAGTCTCAGAATGTCAGCATATGCTATCCTTGAACTATTGCCGCCTCCAACTTTTCCCATACCGCCACTCCAACCACGCCAAGCCAAGACAGGCCATGCATAATCCACCAAATAACGTGAACGTCCACCCTGGCCCCATTGCATCCAAGCAACTCTGTAGAAAAGCAAGTCCTGCACCCGCAAGCGAGCAACGGACGATATTATTTGCTGCCTGTGCTGCAGCTGGGGACTTGGGATTCAGGTCTGTTAGGAGAGTACCACAACACTAGTTTGGAACAATCAAGTTTAGTGAGGCTTCTAAGGAGAGGCAACATATATGAAATAACGGAAACTTGCGTTGAAAGTGATCGCTATGGCGAACCCGATAATAAATTGTAGAACGAGCGGAACAGCTATATGCTATGTGTATAAGGGGTCCGTGAGCATTAGGCGCGATTGATTATTTGCAAACCTGGGTAGACCACTCACAGATCTGGACTGTAATGCCCATCCATATCCAGCGGTGGAGATTCCTGTGGCACAGATAGAGTACCATATACTCCTGAACCGGGCTTTTTCGATGGGGAACGTAGTAAGATCGTCGCCATGAGTGGTGTCTATTACAATATTATGGGCACGAGCTGTGAGGCGGTAGTCACGGTTCATGATTTTTCCTAGCCGGATAGTAGTTAAGTTACATTCTCTTCCAGTCAAATAGAAAAAGAAAACGATACCTGAGCAGTATGCCCCAATACATGACCCGATACCAAAGGGTAGGTAAACTAAGCCTGCTTTAAGCTCTGAGAATTTGTAGATGTCGATAAAAAGGGTTGACAGGGAGCCTTGGAGGCAGCTAAAGTTCATGTAGTAGATTCCGTATATGGCAGTGATAAGAAGACTATCCCTGGATGCGAGGATTTTCAAAGTTGCTAGAGGGTTCGGAATCCGGAAATTCCGCCGGGTCGTCTCTTCTCCATTGAGGGCTGGCTGGAGGGTGAACTTTCTCGACTTGTCGTAGCGGAAAATTGGGCGATAGAGAGCTGAAATATTTCGCGAACCATTCCCGACGATGGAACGGGATGTTTCAGGTAAGAAAAGAGCGATGAGCAAGATACAGATTCCCGAGGCTATAGCGGGAACCCAGAATATCCAGCGCCATCCTGGACCTTCACTCAAACCCCCTCCAAGGATTGGGCCAATTGCAGTTGCAATATTGGGACTATAAGAGTAAGAGTTATGGTGTCAATTTGAGATGATTTGTGGTGAAGGAGGGAGGATGTGTGTTTACCCTAACAGCACCATGCCAACATAACCTCCACGTTCGGACGGCGAAGCAATGTCAGATATCACCCCATACCCCATCGCAATGGTTGCTTATTATTGGTTAGCGAGCTTGATATACTTACATAAATGACCGTTCTAGGTCAAGGGATGGAGGTAGCTTAAGGCAAAACATACCAGCACCACCAGCACTCTGCATCATTCTCAACAAGAAAAGGGCTATCCAACTATTTTGAACCCCCAATCCTATATTGGCAACAGCATAAATGAACATAGTCAGCAGGTAAACGTTCCGTCTACCAGTCATATCCGCCATATCACCAACAATCGCCGGCGCGAGTCCGGCAACTATCATGTAGGACGTGACAGTGAGATTTATCTTTTCCACTGACACGTTGAGAGACACAGAAAGGGCGTTTATTGCAGGGAAAAATATGAACGAGGACAAGGGAGAGAAGGTCGCAGCGAACGTAATAAGAAAAACCGCTATATGTTTTTCTCGCTTGGTGAAGACGGAATATGCTTCCTGTCGAGGCTCGGAGTCCGCCTCTTTTGACGGGAGCAAGACTTCAGAGTTATGTTGGAGAAAGCCCGTTGGAGTAGAAGGATACACATTTTGAGGGGCATTTTCGGTTGAACTTTTAGTAGTATGTTCTGATGTGGTTTCTTCAGTGCCCATGATGAATTATCGCAAGAGGAGAATATGGTAGCGACGTTCTGGTAGAACCCGTACAAATTTGGGTTGAAAGATGACTAGGTAAGTCTGCGCCCTGATGAAGTAATGCTGCCTTTAAATACATGTAAGTGGACTGCGTAGAGGAGGCTTAAGGCTGCATATTAGGCACTTGAGTGATGAAATATGGATACTTTGGGTATAGCAGCAGGGATCGTGTCATATTCGAGTGGTTAATTCGAACTGTTTCGTTACAAGTGAGGGACTTAGTACGTAATATTTGAAGCTTCAAGAATCATAGCATCCTTGTTATTTCACTCCAATTGAAATGATTTTTGAGCACTCAGTGAATTATCTGACATTAAATTGGCATAGAGTACTCAAAAAAGTAGAGGCTCGCTAAAAATGCGAGATTGTTTTCAATCTTTTCAATCCATACATGTATGAATAAATTTTACGTATTGGAAACTAGCACTTTAACTACATTTTTCGTCAAGCGGAGCGTATTTGTTGATCAGGTAGTTGAGGTTCTCATAACACCTGCCATGACATTTAATTAGTAAGGGTTCAGGAGTGATTGGGAAAAGATGACACTAACTCGTCCCGGAAGGTCGAACCATTATGGCAAGCTGATTCATGTAGAGTCATATAGACACTGTAGATCCGGTTGCGGTCTTCAAATTGCTCGACGGGCTTACTGACGCCCATTCGACTGAGATAGGAATTGAGGTAAACTTTCGCACTCAGGGTTTTGCAGAACCTTGCTCGCCACATAGCGATTTCCATCTCGTGATGTGCATAGTAAACACTTGCGTCAAAAATGTAAATCTCCCCATTTTCAAGGCTGGTTCCAATATTTCCATCCCACAGGTTGCCGTGGATCAAAGTTGGCTTTATAACCCGGCCGTCGGCTTCCAAAGGTCCTAGTACCTGAGGGACTACATGCGTAATGAGTCGATCGACAAGTTGCTCCAAGTTCTCCCAGTTGCCATTTTTTTCTTTGTTGAGTGCCATCGCCCCCCTGACAAGCTGGATGTAAAAGTCCACCCAGCTTGGGTTCCACGCCGTCCGCTGAGGAAGACTGCCCTGGCACGTATCGATGTGGAAACCAAACATTCCAGTAGGAGAATTGCTTGCTTTGTGCAACTGCACGAGCTTGGTGGCCAGCTGGACGGGATCTGGATTCTTGTCGCTCATATCGATGAATTCGCACAAGAAGTAATACGTGGTAGGGTGGGACACACTGAGTTTACCCCATGCGTAAGGCTCTGGGACAAACGTAGGGCTTGTTCTGTATAGTTCAACCATAGAATTGAACTCCGCCTCTAACAAGGTCTTTCCTTGGGCCTCTTGAGCACACTGCAGATGAATGCGTCAGCCAGTTTGCAGTTTTTGCCGTAAACCTCCCCATACCTTGAGAAAGTAGAGTTTTGGCTCTCCATTCGAGAGGGTAGTTATAATTCTGGCAGTACCCGTCCAGGCCGAAGTTCCATAGTGATCACAGGAGTGGACTTGGGTGCCTGGGGGAAATTCTGAAATAATTGAAAAGTTAGCTCAACACGCTTCTAATTTCTGGAAGATGGGGGGTGGGAGGATGATTAACGGTCAACTACTATTTGATCTAATGGAAAATCGCCCTCAATCTCTTGGCCTCCCCTTTGAGCCGGTGTGACTGAAGGTACTTCACCCGCCGAAAACATCGGTGGGGTCGATTCAGGAACAATCGTTTCACTTCTTATTATCATCTTGATTATAATAGTAATACTTATAGGATGGATTGTTTTAGAACGGAAGTAGGGACATAGACTCTTTTAAGTACAAAATGCCACACAAAAAGGCCTAGTGATACAACCCATACGAGAAAATGGTAAGCGAAGCAGAGCCCCTGGCCCCCGGATCGCCCTAGCGGCTTGAATCCTATGTACTCGTGGACAATCCTCTGCCACGTAGTGATACAGTATCTTTCGAACCAATGATAATGATATAAAAGGCGCTCGGTGAGGGGTAGTCCGTAGTTAGTCTATAATGCATATCACGCGTAGGAGATGAAATCTGGGGATTCGATGCCGCCGTGTGACAACTCCCATCCTTGTACATAATAAGCCGCCACAACAAGGTTGTGCATAGGCTGGTGCGGGGGAAAAAAAAGCAAGGACTGTTTGATCCTACCCGGACTTCCGGTCACCGTAAGTCGTCATAGAACGAAGACGGGGGCAGACTTGTTGAGCTACAAGCTGAGACCTGGGTTCCCAAAGCTACAGCCCCAAATCCATTCCCCTCCAATTGTTTCCAAGCCAAAGACAAGTGGAAAGAGAGATGCAATAGCTTGAACTTTGCCACAAATGTCGAACAACCGTTTGGAAAAATGGGTAAGTGAAGAGAAGGCAAAACAAGGATATTTTTGGCTAATGTGATTCCAATCTGATTATAGTTTCCCTTCAGGAAAGACTCGAAACGGACTTCACCTGACGAGACAGCGACACAAGGCCTAAATGAGACTCCCTTTCCTCCATCTCCTGCCTCTGAAACAGTGTGGTCCCCCAATGAACTTGGTGATTTATTACAAACCCCAACGGACCTGAACCGAAAGCCATCTTCTGCCAGGGCTTCCCGAGCAAGCTCGACACTCGGACTTCCCTCGCGGAATCCGTCAGCGACCACCGATCGACGTAACGACCCTCTCGGTTTGACCGTTGTCCATGAACCAGAAACATCGCCTTCTCTTGACATAATTTTTGTTCATGGTCTAGGAGGTACTAGCCGCGCTACATGGGCGCGAGGTCGAGATTTACAGTACTTCTGGCCAGAGAAATGGCTTCCTCTCGAGCCAGGAATTCGAATGGCAAGAATCCTGTCCTTTGGCTACAACGCAAGCTGGGCCTCCACCGGCTCAGCTCCCATAACAGGCATAACAGACTTTGCGAAAGATCTGTTGTATTCGATGAAGTTTGCTAAGGGCAAAAGATTGGAAGAACTTGAGCTGGGCCAGGTAGCTCCCCGACCCTTCCCTGTTCTATTTATGAAGAGGTGTTCACGTCTCGCATTACTAGAGACCCATTATCTTCATTGTTCATTCCATGGGGGGCCTTGTCGTTAAGCAGGCGTATATTCTTGGCCAAAACGACGATCAATATTCTAACATCGTATCATCGATCAGTGCGATATTGTTTTTGGCGACTCCCCATCGCGGATCCAATCTGGCCGATATCTTGAACAAGATCCTGACAGTATCAGTGTTTAACCATAGTCCCAAATTATACATATCGGAGTTGAGTGTCGGGTCACAGACTGTAGCAGCTCTGAACGAGCAATTCCGTCATATCGCTCCAAACCTGGACATACTTTCATTCTATGAGACCCTACAAACTTCAATTGGTCCAAAGAAAATGGTATGTGAGGCTCTGCCTGTGACCTATACGTACTGACTCGCCGGTAGATGGTGGTCGAGAAGGAGTCGGCTACTCTTGGATATCCGAAGGAGATCTCAAAAGCGCTACTTGCCGATCACCATACGGTCTGCAAGTTTGATAGCACTCAGGACTCTAACTACATTAGCGTTAGGAATGCCTTGAAAACCTTAGTCTCATCTATTCGCTCGGCAGGTGAGTCCAACTTTCATTTCTGTAGTTACTGATATCAAACATGTGGACTGACCTGGATCTGACAGGGAAATCTTTATTCGGAGAGCAGGGGAAAACGCAGCTTGAACAGCTGCAGACTCTGCTAGCAGTGTCAGAGACCTTTCATGATGATCTCGAATTTTTTCATTCGAGGTGGACTCCTGGCACCTGCGACTGGATTACCTTTCATCCATCCTTCCTTCATTGGATGGATGAATCCGAGGATGCCCCGACCATGTTATGGTTGCACGCGTTGCCAGCGAGTGGGAAATCGGTTTTATCGGCTTTTGTTACACATAGGCTCTTAGAAGAGTCTATTTGCGTGTACTATTTCTTCCGGTTTAGTGACGAGTCCAAGCGCTCGCTGAGTGCCTGCTTGCGGAGCATTGCTTTTCAGATTTCAACACAGCTGCCCGCATTTTGCCACGCATTGAAAAACACGCCATTTGCTACGAAGACGTTGGAAAAGACGGATTCTAAGGTTATATGGGAGAAAATATTTGTTCAACTGCTGTTCAAAATGAGGTTTTCTACAACGATCCACTGCGTTATCGATGCACTGGACGAGTCCGACAACCCACAGCAGCTGGTAGAGTTAATGCAGAGTGTGTCGCATTCATTGACGCGAATTAAGGTGATCCTTGTTAGTCGGCAAACATCAGGGCTCATCACAACATTTGACCGCTTGTCAACTGTGCTCTCAGTCGCATATTTACCACTGGAGAGTACCAAAAAAGACATAAGGTTGTATGTCGAACGGGAAGTAGAATACTTGCGTGCCGCCCCTGAATTCAAAGCGCGGCTGGTGGATAAAATGGTGAAATGCGCGAATGGTAATTTCCTATGGGCCAGTCTTGCAATGCGTGAGGTGGCGGTGTGCAATACAGCAGAGGATTTCGACGAAACGTTGGCTGGCATCCCGGGTGGTATGGAGCAACTATATCAACGCATGGAGCGCACAATCATTGCGAACGCAAAACCACGCGACCGGAAACTGGGGCAGAGGATTCTAATGTGGACTACATGCTCCCGGCGGCCGCTAGCCCTCAATGAGTTGGCACAAGCGTTGGAGCCAGACTTTTTGCCGATGGTGGAGATGAGTCTCCTCATCAACCGTGTTTGTGGGCAGTTTGTCATCGTTGACTCTGCCACTGGCCGATTAGTGATGGTCCATCAGACCGCGAGGGATCATATTGTGACAACAGACTCAGAACTAGGAGTCAATGTACCTGAAGGGCATGAGGAGTTGTTGACCAAGTGCCTGGCTGTCTTGGAGGAGAAGCATCACCAGCCTCGCGGTCTGCACCTTTGGCCCGGGGATCGGAAAGATAGCCCGAGAGGAGGATTCTTCCACTATGCAATGACATCGTGGGCATATCACCTGGATAAAGTATCCCCTGACTCAGATGCACCACTACTCCTTTTGGCCAAATTTCTCAAGGGCAATCACGTTCTAGACTGGATTGTGGCACTGGCTCAGGCAAGGAAATTGCGGGCTCTTGTGTCTTCCGCAAAGAGCATGAATATCTACGTCCGCCGGAAACGAGGTCGCAATGCTGTGACACACCCAATGGTTCATCGGCTTCAGGAACTCGACTTGGTGGAATCATGGGCTACAGACTTGCTCAAACTCATTGGGAAATTTGGACTACATCTCACCGAGTGCCCTACTTCTATATACCAGCAAATTCCGCCATTCTGCCCAAAAATCTCGATGATATACCGACAATTCGAGCAATTTGCCCCCCGTCCACACTCCCTAGCGGTCAAGGGACTGTCGAAGTCCACGTGGGATGATGGCCTAGCAAAAATCTCTCTTCAACCCGCGCCCCAGGGCCTCATAATTATTTGTGCCGGAGATCATTTTGCTGTACTAACCGGCCGCGGACTAATTACTTTGTACAACTCTACGACTTTTGAGATTAAGCATGTGCTCAAACATACGGAGGAGGTTTCTGCAATGAGTTTCAGTCGCAGCTCTCATCTTCTCGTGACGTACGGCTACCGGACAACAAAGGTTTGGTCTGTCAATTCGGGGGAAGTCATGCACCGAATCCCAAACCCAATCAGCAGCAGAGTCCTAGCCATAGTATTCTCCGGCGGGGACACCCAAATTGTCATCGGGTCAGCGGATCGACTCATTAGAGTCGCCCGATTGAGGGATCAAGTTCCCTCTTGGTCGGTTCTGCATAGCAGCCTTTTGAAAGGGGATATAGCTCTGGATAGACCTGTGCACAACATCCCTTGGCGCATGGCATTTAATTCTGACGCGACGTGCGTGGCTGTCGCGTATCGCAGCTCTCCTCTGTGTGTCTGGTCGCTGGAAAATGCGACACTTCTGGGACGGTGTATGCGCAATCATAAATATGCAGGAAATTCCTGGACCGTTGTGGACCAGATGATCTGGCATCCAAAATCTCAAGACATTCTCGGTCTGTACATGGGAGGTCAAGTGTTCAGATGGAACCCTTACACGAACAGTCAACAGGAATTAGAAGCCGAGGGATCGATTCTTGCATGTAGTCCCGAGGGCAAGTTTTTTACAATAGGTGACAGCCAGGGCACGATCAAGCTGTACAACTTTCATCATTTTACCCTGATCTACAAGCTCTCCTGCAATCATATGATCACTGATATCTGCTTCAGTCCAGACGGCAAACGATTATATGACCTCCGTGGTCCATGGTGCAATGTTTGGGAGCCGAATGCACTACTTGCAGGGGATGAGAATGGTGATGATAGTGACCTTGGGAGCGAGGCTGCTAGCATTCCAACGGCTAGTATTTCCGAAGCTTCTGCAGAAGTACGGGCGCAGATAACCGCAATTGCCTCACAATCCGGAGGACGATATCACGCTGTTGGGAATGAAGTTGGAGTCGTCAATGTGATAGACTCCTCAGATAGCAACCATGTGACGTCTGAGCTCTGGAGATCAGCTTTGGAGCTACCAATTTCACATTTAGATTGGTCGTCTGATGGAAGATTCCTAGCCAGTGTTGAGATGGCAGGGAGGCTCGTCGTGAAGGAAGTCCATATCAGCGGCGATCGAGGCTGGACTGTTAACGAAGCATTTGAGATGACAATCAATGTTAGTCCCGAAGGAGTTCAACAAGTCCTGCTAAATAGCAATGGGACAATTGTTCTTGTCAAAAATGGGTATTCAGTCACCGTTCAACCGGTGATATCGACTCAATCCAGCGGGGAGCCACCCACTATCACATCAAGAGACACGAAGTGGGTTAATCATCCAACAAATTCGAAATTATTATTGTCTTTCAGTTCCAGCCATATACGTCTCTACAGATGGAATGATCTCTGTGAAATTTCCGTCATGGATCTACAGAGACCACCATTACTCTCGGAGCCGGACCCAGAGGCCATTCCAGGCACCTTTGAAGGCCACCTGCATAATGAAGCAAACACCAAAATCCAGCGCATCTGCCACAGTCACTCAGGCTCTCACTTCCTTATCCACACTATCCTTTTGATCAACGGTCGCAGAGAAACTGCCACATTGTTGTTCCCAACATCTTCTCTGTCCCAATTACCAACCCTGCCAGCCGTATCTCCGTTGATTGAAACGCCTATGATCATCCCGGCCGAAATACAGCGACAAATCGAAATTCCCCTTGGAATCCTCTCGCGTCAACGCCTTGTGTTTCTTGACAAAAGCTACTGGGTATGTTCTTGGAGTCTCGGCTCGAACTTCACCCCCGATCAGGTGCAGCGACACTACTTCCTCCCCAAGGATTGGCTGAATACCGAATGTTTGGAGCTATGTGCCTTGCTACCAAATGGGGTGTTTTTGATCCCGAATAATGGCGAGCTGGCTGGGGTTAGTAGCACCGGGTTATGTCATGGGTGATTTGCTTGAAGAACCCAACTTTTATAGTTACGTGTATATCTAGTGACAACCCTAGAGGACGACAAAAAAATATCAACGGATATAGCCAGGATGTTCTGTATTTCTGTATACATAGGTCTTGCTCAGTGCCGTAGATGCAGCGTAGATAGAGTATTTCCAAATACATCCATGTACTCAACATCTACTGCCAAAGTATCATATAGTGTGCGAGTTTCGCACGATTGTAAAGCACACACTGAACCAAAACATGTTTATAGAATAAACTCGATGGCTGATTACCATTTTTACCTGACGCGATTCTCAAGAAAAGAATAACTCTCCGAATCCTTCAGGTTCGCTGAACGATAGTGTTGATCTATGATCTATTTTTTTTATTATGAGAGGACCCTAGACAAGAAACCCCGTATTTATGTTGACAATGCCATGCCTTGAATATTTACTAGCTAGGGTTTCAAAAATGGTGCGGTCATACTAATGGAAAATCATGTTCTGAAAGGGAGCCATAGAAGGGCGAGAAAGATATGTGAGTGCTACTATAAATTGCCAGTAGGTATTCATTTGGGTGGTTATTATGGGAGATAAGAAAAATGATAGATTTCTATCCACGTAACTAGGGGAGCTAAGGCTGTAGAAGATCGTAGCCGGCAACAATGCCCCATTAAACGATCCGACCAACGTCCTTGTCGGCGGAAGAATAAACGACAAAGCGAGGATGAATCCGTCGTTCAGTCTGAGCTGCCAGAAAACACAAAGAACGCAAAGAATGGGGGGAAAACCCCATTGCAAAGTGGTCGAAAGCAAGACCATCCGGTCCCAGATAGCGACCATGATTAAATGAAGATGCAAAACAATATCATGACTAGCTTGGCCGTCATCGGCAAACGCATCATCCTGGACTCGTCGGCTGACCGATTGTCGTCGGCCGAATTAACTGCTTTAATCAGTTGGGGATCAACGATAGGTCAATTGTTTCCTGTAGTTTGATTCAATAGCGGAGGCTGAGGAAACTTACTGGTTGGTGAACGATTATGCATAGAGGTCTTCGAGGTCGAGTCCGTTGTAGATTTCATCTTCGATGGCCCCATTTAGTTGTGCGACGAATTCTTGGGAAATTCCCATTGAAGTGGCAGTACTTGCAGAAATCGCTGCCTCGTGGTCGCTTGGGATGTTGGCGAGCCCAGCCGTGGTAGTTGGTCTGGTGCTCTGCGGGCGAGCCTCTCCCTCTGGCGATGGTAGACGGACCATATTTAGCGTTGATCGAAGTGCTCCTTTGAGGATGTCACTGTTCTCTGCGTCGATTAGGTTGATTATTTTGGCATATTCTGCGTTGTAGGCGTCTTCACATTCGGTCAGATCGCTTGCGATTTGCAGCATGTATTTGAGTTGCAACTTGTGTTGATCATGAGCATCGTCGAAGCTTCTTCGAGCCATTTTGACCTGCTCTGCTTTGGCCCTAATCCGGTCGGTAGCGCGGGTGTATTTCAAGACCCTATTGCTGTAACTCCCGATGAGGTTGTCGACGTGCTCTTTCTGGGACGTCGTCAGCCTCGAAGTGGTCGTCGGCCGCTTAGAGGGGCCTTCATCTGGGTCGGCTCTTTGGCGCTTGGAAGTCATTGGTGCTACAGTCTCTGCGTCAGAGTATCTGAGGAAATGGCGTGAAGGTGGTGAAGCAACGTGAAATGAGAGAATTGGGTGGACAGTGATGGTAAGTTGAATGTGAATCGTGTTTGAATGTATTGGTGAATTGATACCTGAGTGAATGATAAAGGTAAAAAAAGCAAAGCAGAAGTGAAGATAAAGGGAAGAAGGACGATGGTTAGTTATCGAATTGCAACCCCAGAGCTGGTCACTTTATATGGACAACGCAAGTTGAACCTCTCGGCTACGTTCGGGATTGCTCCCTGCCTCTCTAGTCTTCGCATGCCTCAATCACCTGCGAGACGTGGATGTACACATCTGCTGCTGATCTTCAGATGGAATCTAGGTTGCGGCTTATGTACCTCACTGTTGCCATGCGCCGAGGAGATTTGTAGGCCCAGTATCCTGAACCTTCTTAGACGGCGGGGCTTCACAGCATACTAATATGACCAAGTATGTAGAGATATAAGGCACGTACCATGTGTGGATCATAAGAGAGCTGGCATTGCAAACAGAACTAAAGAGTACGAGAAGACATCGAGACCGCAATCTCAAATGCCTGAAACGACCACATTTCTAACACATACATACAACCAAAATCTGAATATGATATCCATCGCTGCAATTGCACAATTGTTCCGGTTTCAATTCATCCAAGGAAATATCCCAACCCGTATCTCATTAAGGCATATGATCTTCATAAAATCATGACAAGCATCTCGCGTAAAAGAAAAAAAATAGAAAAATCCCAACTTAGAAAACAAAATCAAACGACATAAGGCGCGGCTCTGCTGCGACTGGAGCTGCGATGACGCGAGTGGTGCGAGCCAGATCCATGACCGCGACGACTGGAATGACTACGTCTCCGAACAGTCGTTGTCTCCTTAACAACAGTCTTCTTGTCGTCATGCGAGCGGTGCAAGAACAGCGCAAGCAACGCAGTCCAGAAGAAGAATGCCGTCTCCATGATACCCATTGCGAAAGAGGCCTTCAGCATGGCGCAAGTCTTATTGACGTCCAGCGATAACGGATTATCTGTGCGCTGACCGTAGGACCCGAATGGACCCAGAGAGATCCAGACGGAGCCGCCATTCCACCTGGCACAGTCGGCGTTGGCAATGAAGCGGAGCTGGTAGACGGATGCAATAAAAGCGCCGAAGAAGAGCATGTCCACGAATGAGACGAAGATTGCAGATCGCTTTGTTGTTGAGAAGCGGATTAACGTGTCGAGGGCCCAGAAGATGGCGATTACGCTGACGATGAAAAGAACCAGGATATAGGGTGGGGTCAGCTGGTTTGCTTTCAGATAGCCGTTAACAAAGTAGGCCTAAGTTCAGAGACATCTTGGTTAGCAGGAGACTCGGAGGGAGGGGTATTGCTGATCGGACTGATTAAAAATGGGACATACCAGCATGCCAATGATTGGGATCAGAAAGGTGATCTCAACCAGGCGGTTGAATATGAAGAACACGCTGCCAATCATCTTGTCTGCTGCTCAAGGAGAGATTGGGTTTCAGATCACAGGAATGTGCAACTGTCCCAATGTGCTGGGGATGTCAGATGTACAAGTACAAGACCGTGGGGGGGCTACACGAGCTCGCGAAGAAAGTACAAGCAGTCGCGATCACAGTGCAGGATGCACGATGTAGAAGACGCAGAAGAATACAGAAGAGAAAGTAAAACAAAAAGGAAAATAGCACAAATAAGAGGGGAAATAGAAACAGATATTGAGCGTCATCTTGGGCTGAGGAGGCTGGGCGACTCACGATGCACGATGTTGGTGGCTGGGGTAACCCGAATCCTCAATGTTAGTCTCGACTCTTTTTTTATATTAATTTATCTAGGCACTTGCATGAGCTGTCCCTGTTTAATCTATGTCTTGCATTTGATTGACCATATACTCCGTATATGCTTCAGACTGATAGGTTAGGGCATGAGAATATAGATCATTGTTGCCAAGCCAACCACATTTAAGTGGAGACTTTATGGGGGGTACTCCATACTGGACTTGACTTCATTGCACTTGTACAGAGAAAGTTGTACAGATTACTGTTTTTGCTTGAAGATGTAGGACTTTTTAAATCTACGCTTGGTCTCAATGGCGAAAAAAAAACGCTTGCTCTTTTATTTTCAACGCCAAATTACGCTCATAATCATACTAGTACAGAGTTGTATCACCAGCCACCGCAATAAACCATGGCTTAACCAAATAAGCCGATAATTCCGGTAGTTACCCCTCTGAGCTAGACTGCAATCATCAATAATGCATCGCATCAATCATCTTTACAAGGTCCGACCGGGGATGTCCGTCAACGGACGTCCCGGACCTGCCATCGCCTCAGGAGCATATATTCCCGGGTCAGCCGTCAGCGGCTGTGTCTGGGACACATACGCATTACTGGGGTCATATTGAGGCGCATGGTGACCGGCACCGGGATTTTGTCCCATAGTATGACCATGTCGCATCTCATACCCGTTGGTAACATCGTCCTCGCTCGACGACCAAGCACCGCCATCGGCGTCATGGTCGTGCGGGCGGCGATTGTACATATTGGATGTATATGGGTTGGAGGGTTGACGATAGGTAGAGACGTCGGATCTGATATGTTCCGAGCTGGGGATATCTGGCGGGCCCATGCGCTCTTCTTCGTGGTTGCGGAGAGCAGTCGAGCTGTCGCCTCTGGAGTCGATAAATCGAACGGAATCAGGTCCCACAGGTTCGGTCCCCCAGGTTCGGATTGGGTATGCGCGGCCCTTGCGCCAGGGTTCGGTGAGCGGTGGGAAATACTGGCGATATGCGACAAACCCGCAGACGACCCCAAGCATCGATCCTGTAATCACGTCGAAGGGGTGATGGCGCGCATCCATGATACGCGATACGGCCACGAGGCTTGCTGCCAGTAGAGGAACCATGACGAGCAGGGCCTTCCAGGCCTCGCCACGATTGTCCATAACGTGCAACTTCCCGCCTAACCAGAGCGATGTGTAAACGAGACCGGCGAAGGAGGCTATCAATTGGACGGCGTTAGTAATATTCAAGACTTGGCGAATCGTAAAGGGGTATACACACAGCTACTGTGGCCTAGATGAATCAAGGTTAGCATTTGTGACTCTCAAAAGCAGTGTTGGGATTATATTTCATACCGGAGGGCCACGACCGAAATCCATCTGTCAATATCTTAGGATCACCTGTACAAATTGTTGAGTTCGACAATCCTGGGAAAAGGTCTTTGCTACCAGCACGCGGTTGACAGCGATCGATGAGATCGGGTCTCGGCTTGCCACATGCTGTCTTCAGCGCCTGTGTAATGACGAAAGCGAGTCCCTGAGCCAGCAGAAGGCCCAAAATACCACAATTGAGCTCCCAAAGTCTGTCCTTCCACCGATATGGACCCGTCAGCTTCCGCTTTCCAGACGCCGCAATCTGTGGCTTATGGTGCGAAAACAAGCCATCGATGAACAAAGTGTAAAGGATAATGAGGGCAAGTGGGAAAGCAGCGGAGATGCAGAGGGCGTAGGCCATGGGGATACGTTCATGTACGGCATAAGGATATTGGATGGAGATGTTGTTGAGGGAGAAGTGTTGGTGGAAGGGCTCGATCGTGTTGAGAATCGAAAAGGCGATAGCACAGGCGCTGTTTTCGGTGTTAGTACGGAATAGACAGTGCAAATTGATTGGAACGTACATAATGATCACATAGTCAAAGATGTAGCTAAAGAATTGTTAGTACAGAGATTTGCGGGGAGCTGGCCCGAGGTGGAAAGTCGACACACGAGATAACAATGCGCGGTCGGAGCCGCCGCTTAGAGAAGGGGAGTTTTGCGGGGATTTCCATTTTGACTCCAGGACTTCCCCAAGAAATTGGAAAGGGAAGATCAGGACAGAGTGAAGAATATAAACATATCTGCCTAGTCAAAGGGCATTGCTTGGCATTGGCATTAATAGCGTTGGGTAGTCTGCCCTTCTTCTTCGCTTTTGAGCTTTTTGATTGGTTCTCGGTCCAAAGTGGCTGAGTTATACTTTGAACCCTGGCCCCGGGAGCACCCTAGTACCTGGGCCAGTGTGGGCAGCTATACCTAGGTTAGGTAGCAGGGCATATGTATATATCTTATTCCAAGAACAATATAAAATCAACGGAAACATTTGTCATCAAAGTTCGATATGGGGTAGTGGTTAACCTAGCGGATTTTCAGTATCTCTCTTTATAGAGCATCTTTACTCCGCGGCCCCGGGTTCGATTCCCGGTATCGAAGTGACTTTTTTTTCCTTTTCACCTTGCCTGATTCTATTTTCATTTCTTTTCATATGGCCCTAGAGGCTAGATTAGCCTATGATTATCTTCACAATGGAAGTGACTCGGTTTCTTAACTGACTGCTTTTAGAGTAAGCGCCCTCGGGACCAGTGTGATTATAATGTAGTTTTTGCTGTCTTTAGGTGGACAAAAAGATTTACATGCATATTTCCTCTTCCTTATAAAAAACCGAAGGAGTGAATTCAATGTACTAACAAGTGAACGTCGACGCTATGTGCATGCGCCTCAATTACAACATCAACCAGATATGGCAATGCTTTCCATTCCACCAAATCAGGCAGTCAAGCTTTGGGGAAAGATTACCTCCCTATGGACACCGGACCAAGAAAATCAAACATGAAAAAAAGAATATCAAGAAAGTACGTATCGACGTGGAGACGTCAGTGGGAGTTTACAAGGCATAAAAAATGGCCCTAGAAATCACATGTCCATAATCACAGACTGCCAAATTGCACAATAGGTTCCTTCTTTAGCAAGTGGTGATGTACAGACCGAGACTAGAAGGGATGTTAGCTAATATATAGACAAAAAGGGAGAATGTAAGACAACTCACGGGGAGGGGTTCCAGTCCTCGAAGAAGTTCAAGTTGGTGCTGCCAGCATTCTTCATCTGATAGGCGACAGCTTGGCCAGCCGGGCAGGAGAAGGTAGAGACAAGGTATGAGTTGCCGGGAGCGACAGTGATGGTACCGAGGTCCTGGGACACCGAGGGGACATTGTTGGCGTTAGTTGAGGAATCGGCAGTGGCAGAGAGCTTAGAGAAGTCAATCTTGCCATCACCGCTAAAGCTGTAAGATGAGGTCTCGAGATCCTCAAGCTTGGGGAAGAGGAAGATGAGGCTGCATGTCTTGCCAGCGTCGGAGGACGGGATGTCGAAGTTGAACACGGTCGAGATGGTCGAGCTCACGGTACCATTGAATGAAGTGCCTGCGGCAGTACCGGGCGAAGACGTGTCGACAGGGATAACAAGGTGAGGGATCTCGTAGTTACCCGAGAGATCAGTGGGACAAGCACCGCCGGAGGGGCCAGTGGCTGAGGGTTTAGAAGAGGTAGAGCTAGCAGGGACGGATCCGGTGGCGGAGCCGGTGGGCTGAGGTCCACCGCCGCTGGAGAACGCAGGCACACTGACAGAGATACCGCCGCCGCCACCACCAGAGGGGGGAGACACACTAGCAGAGGCGCTAGGCTGAGAACTACCGCCGCCACCGCCGGAGGGAGCAGGCGCACTAGCAGAGGGGCCAGGTTGCGAAGCACCGCCGCCTCCACCAGGGGCAGGCGCACTAGGAGAAGGGCCAGATTGCGAAGCACCGCCGCCTCCACCAGGGGCAGGTGCACTAAGAGAAGGGCCAGGTTGCGCACCACCGCCGCCGCCGGGAGCAGGCTGTGTACCAGAAGGCTTGATGCCAGCGCCGCCAGATGGGGCAGGCACACTAGCAGAGGGCTGCGGTCCACCACCACCGGCACCACCGCCGGGAGCCCCGGGTGCACCAGGAGCACCGGAGGTAGGGCAGCTGCAGTCAGTGACAGTGACGACGACCGTGCTAGGAGAACCGGGAAGACAAGACCCAGAGGGTGCTGGAGCAGATCCACCAGCACCAGGGCCAACGGGACCAGGACCACCACCTCCAGGGGCACCACCACCGGCGCCGGGACCAACAGGTCCAGGTCCAGCGCCACCAGCGCCACCGCTGGGAGTGGGCTGGGGGCCTGGGGCAGAACCAGCAGGGGTGGACTGAGGGGCTGGGACAGGTGGTGCACTAGAAGGGTGAGGTACACCACCAGCAGAGGATGAACCGCCGGAACTAGTACCCGAGTTTGAGCAGGCGTCGGCAGACAACTCCACATTCACGCAGCCAGTGACATCCAGCTTATTAGGAGTAGTGTAGACATTCAGACCACCGTTCTGGCCTGTGGCACAGGCAACGAAGTTGGGGCTGTTGTTGTACTCGAGTTTACCCTGGGAGTTGACAGAGAAACCGGGTGTAGGACCCACGCCCTCGTCACACTGCAGTTGAGTGGTGGGAGCTGTCATACGGTTAGATGTACATCCTTTGGTATCGATGATATATAGAAAATTGCTTGCTCTACTTACGGGTGAGAATGCATCCACGGCCCTTGGAGTCGGTGATACTACCGCTGGAGTCGATACAATACTGTGCGGGTTGCAGAGTATTGTCACCAATGCGGTTCTGACCATCACCCAGCTGACCAAGTTGACCGGAGGCACCGCCAGATGATGTGAGGTGGAAGCAGCAGCTATCACCGCGGCTAACGAGGGCGTTAGAGCCGGCGGTAAATGCCGCGAGAGCAATGAAGTTCCTCATCGTTGCTGTTCAACGAACGTGGATAGGTTGATCAGTTAGCGAATGAACACAGAGCCCCTTTTTTAAGAAGATCGTGAACAATTGAACGATCTGATATCCACCGGTAGAGTTGTGGTAACAGATGAAGCTTTGATTGAGGGAGAAAGATTTTGGGGGAGAGTGAATTCTTTATATGAAGTGGTGGGTTAAAGCTCCAAACGAATCAAGGAGAAGTATAACATCAGGCACACATCGGCAAAAGTCCCCGAGATGAAAACATAAAGAAACAATAGAAATTGTATGCTGTCAGTCATTCATGCAATTGACCGTGGGTGGGACCTCCTAGTGGACCAATATCCTAGCCTCGGAGAGTAGACAATCGCAGGTCCGAACCAGCCGGAGCGAGATGCGTAGCAACAGGCACAACGTCATCCTGAACAGAGCTCCAATTCATTGAGATGTGGACTAAAATGTAGTTGTGGAACTAATGCTTATTTCTCCACTTAAAATCAGGATTCAAGACATGGACAATGATTACTGGCTGAGTATGATAGTGATGTGGGCTTACCGTCCATGGTCCAGACAACCTGAGAGTGGCAACATACAAAGATTTTCCCATGGATCACTACTTTGTACATACTTGGGCATTTGGGGCCTCCGAGAGGCTGAAACGGTTTAATATTTGAATTGTGCGGACCAAGTCCCCTTGTTGTTACCAATTAGTCGGGAGTATAAAAGCCAAGCTAGAGTATTACTCCAATTTTTAATTTAACAGCTAGTATATATTATACATGTAAACAATCAATTGTGTGATCCGGGGTACTTTGTATTCTCATGTAATATAGCTACTTTGAAGCCCTGAAATTGTACCATCATACTGAGTAAACATAATAAAGAAGAAGTAAAAAAGATTTTGATAAGGCTAGACACTATCATTGACATCAGCAGATCTCCAACTTGAGTTTCTATAAGCTGTACACAGCATACATAGTACATTTGTATCCCTCAGTAGGGTCATAGTTGATACATATAAAGAATATATATATGTACAAAGTAGTTGCTATATTATTCAATAATGGCTGTGGGCTGTGTAATTACGGGCAGAGACATAAAGTACTCATAAGTATGTATGATGAAAATCAAAAAAGACACAAAGAGATTGGATCGGATTGTCTACGGGTGTCCACTTCAGGACTGAAGCCGACAATCAATCATTATTGTACAATGGATGCCCAAGTGGAAGTGGACCCCGACCCAGCCAACAACAACGTCCGACTATTTTTATACTATTCAACCATGGCACATTTACATAAAAAATCTCTTCTTTTGGAATTGTTAGGCATGTCATGGCTAATATTTGCACCATTACACACATTTTGCTGTCGTACAAAGTACGATGTATATGTTTACTCCGCAGTGGGTATGCGTAACAGTCTACAGCGACGCGTGTCTGCATTGGAGCATTTAATCTAGACAATCATCACACAATAAGGCTTCCAGTTTCAGAGCTGAAATTCGAGAGCCTCTGTTAGTCCTGCTCTTTATACTGTATAACATATGTTGTACAATATGGTCCGCAGATTGATGAGATCATATAGTGAAAGTCCCTGTAGGAGCTGATACAGAGGCAGTGTCTCTCCAGGGCTGTGCAGGGGAAAAGTAAGGATGTGTTCAAGAACCAGGCATCATTATTCCATATTCAACCCGATCAATCAATCGAAAAACTACTTTCTACATCAATCAGAACCGGTCGTCTTAAAAGGAACATCATGACATGGATTTGGATATGCAGACAAGTTCAAGATTAACACGCCGATCTTAGAATATATTTATGGCAAGTAATTGCTTCAATCGACTCTCACCTTTATTATTGTTATTATGCATCATAGGGTACGGGGTTTCTTTGCTGTTAAATTGATCGCCTCCATCCCCGCCCGTTAGTATTGTATGCATGCCAAGTTCAACCCGCTGTGCATGTCGATCTTAATGTGGGCATGACCGGATAGCCAAAGTGGGAAGTGGAGTTCAATGTATATTGTAGAAATGACGAAAATGTTTACATAAAATCAATCAACATCCGTCCATGGATATTATGCGTCATAATGTCGCGGATTTCAAATCCCAGTCAACCAATACAAAATACAAAGCAACCCCTCATTTAATTTCAACGAATATTATATAGACAGAAATGCAGTATCTGACTCGGCAAAGAAGCTGTTCCAGTCCACTGTTCCTGGGTCCACATTGTCATCGAATACCTGCCAGAGGTCATCTAGACTAGGCAATGTGGGATCCATTAGAAAGTCATCGCTCGTAGGTGCCGCAGAGCCACAAGCAAGTCCTAGTGAAATCTCCGGGTCTTGAGAAGTGGGTTGCGTTGCTGTATTTTCTTCAGCAGCTGAGCCCGAAGCATTGTGCCGGCGAAGAGCCGTCTTGAAGGTTTCAAGCAGCCTTCCTGCAAAAGAGGATTCCTTTTTAGCCTTTTCTAGGATTGAAAATGCTTCCAAAATTTCCGTTTGATCCTTTTCCTGAGGCTGACCACTTCCACAGAAGTCTACGAGGAGAACAATGATCGCCACGCAGGCGCAATGTAGCATGCCCGAAAGTCTTAGTCGCGCCAGCACAAAGGGGATCATCTCTTGCGATAGTTGGCGTTCGGTTCGGATCACCATTCGAGCTGCTTCTAGGCATGCTTTCCGGGAGTAATCGTATGCAGGATCCTTAGATGCTCGCGACAAATAAGGCAAGTGAAGCCTGCACCTTTGGGTATGAAGCAAAAAATTGAAGATATATCGTTGTATGATTATTCCGGGGGATTTCCGAGGATCGGTTTCTGGCAGTTCATCCAACCTATAGGACAACGAAAAGAATGAGGGTAGACACTCGGCAAATTCACAAATCTTGCCATCAATTTGTTTCGTGTGCTCATAGTTCGGGCTTCCTGGATCTGATATTCCGAATGGAGCACAATCTGTGATTTCGCGGCAAAACTCGCCCAGTTGAATCCGCTGGAGACAGTACGACATCGATGTGGGGTGGGTGAGTGGCTTTCCAACTCCAACCATCCCATCTACAATATCTTCATCATTCGCATTGCAAGGTTTGTTGGTCATCATGTGGCGTGGATCAATTGAATATGTGCCCTTCTGTGGGCCTGATATTTGCGACATCTGCCTGTTATCGAGTGAGCTCACATTCCTAAAAGAAGGAAAGGGGACGAAGAGGAAAATTACCAATCAGTCGCCACGAGATACCACCACACTCTTCTACATATCTCTGCCTTTGCAGAGGACGGAGGAGGCACATCCAGATTGGAATTGTATGGGTGATCGATCCGATGCAAGCATAATTCTCTTCCAACCGAGATAGCAATGGAAGCCATATGCCGGGCTTGGGATGTGACTCCCACGATATTGACAGTCACAAATATGATAATGATCATCGCTTGAATATCCTCTATTGACTCGAAGTGTTTGTAACGCGAGTAGTCAACCACGTCTATCGTAAGTCTCAACCACTGTGTAGACTGCGCAACTGCTTCTTCAACAGTTGAAAAGATAGGGCTGCACATGTCGCGTTCAGTCCAGAAGGACGTGGTACTGGCGAGAATGCCGAGGAGCAATGAAACGTACCCAATCTTCACCGGCCTGCTTTCTCTCAGGTCACAATAGAGTTCATCTACCATGGTACGTACTGAGGGAGTGTGAACCACATGATGTAGGAAGGTGATCTCTGTGATGTACTTTTCCACTAGTATTTTTGCCTCATCGTGGAGTGGCAGCCAGATACATATTTTTGTGGGCTGGGCTTGATGTACCATTTGTTCAGATCTGACTGCGTTACGAATAGGACAAGTCCTGAATTCAATTTCACATTTCAAAAGGTTGCCCTGTGTATTTTTGTCAGCGGTCGATTTCCCATGAATTTGATTCAATCAAGGTAGGCCTACCGGCGAGCCTGATGATGTGATTTCGCCTTCTAGCCAAGTTACAGCCGCGGTAGATGACCGTCTGCCATGAATTATGTATGGTTGGTTCACTTTTGAGGCAGGAGGAGAAGGGGGTGAGGAAGCCTTGGTAGTAGCTTGTCCTAGGCCTAGGGGACTAGACACTGGCCCATTGGTAATCACGATCTCTTCTAGTCGCCGCATGCGGGCCAGTAAATCTGTATGTTCGTTGCTAGACAATTCATCAGTCTGATACTGAGGGCTGTCAGGTAATTTTGTAGTAGCATAGAGCTGACAAGTCATGCCCCGACTAGTGCAGTTAGAGCAAGGGAATAGCCGACTACACTTCAGCTTCCTCCGCCGACAGAAGTGGCAAGATACAGGCCGCGAGCGTGAGGACCTCACACGGTCTTTCTCGACTCGATACATCTCTGCTCTTGGATATTATTTGAGGTAGTGTTTGCTTAGCTCGAGGAGATTATGGAAGTGAAATGGAAGTGGAGATGTAATTGTAAGTTGGCCAATCAAAAAGCGGCGAATCCGCGGAAGTTCCGTGGCCTCCGTGGATTTCTGCTTTGGGAACTAGTATGTATGAGACACTGGGTATATAAAAACTTCTTGCCACCACAAAATTTATAATAATACATCGGCTTGGACTTCTTTTTCAATCCAAGAATCATCTTCTGTCCTTTTTGCCAATATGGACCCCATCATTGCCCAAATCCAAGCCATTGCCCAAAATAGCGATGAAGCCGGTCGGTTGAACATCATCCAGTCTCTCAGACGAGTGAGGATTGAACTTCAATCTCCAAAAGATACATTTATGGAGCTTGCAGTACCGGTTAGTAGTCAGTTACTATACCTCGGGGCCACCCAAAGTGCTGACACTAGTAGGGGTTAACGAATGCAATGCTCCGAATTAGTGCAGATCTGGGAATTCTTCGCACTCTTGCGAGAACCGGTGTATCCTTGACTGTCGCACAGCTTGAAGAGCTGACTGGAGCATCTCCTTCATTGCTAGGTAATGATATCTGAGACGGCTATGTCTACTTCAAACTCTAAAACAATTGTTCTGCTCAGAAAGAATTCTTCGTTACCTAGCGGCAACAGACATGATTAAAGAGACGGGAGTCAATGAGTACACTGCAAATAGCATCACTTATGCTTTGGCTGGCTCCGAGGGTGATGCCATGATATACTATGGGTAAGCTACTCCAACATAGCCATCCACCTAGCAAACATCCCTGCTTACCTAGCATCCTCGATACAACCTTAGATTTGACACGATCGGACCTGTTGTGCAAGCGATGCCAGCCTTCTTTGTTGCAAACAACTACCAAGATGTCACCGTCAATACCAACACTCCGTTTCAGAAAGCTCATAACACTGAACTCACCTCATTCGAGTGGCTTGTCCAGCAACCCAAGCATTTTGAGAACATGCAAAGAATCATGACTGCACTTCAAGGATCAGAATGGACTGAGGGATTCGATATCTTTAACGACGAAGCGCGTAATATTCCATTCAAGCCTTCATCCACTGCGCCGAAGCCTTCAGAGAAACCCTTCTTCGTCGATGTTGGTGGCGGCCATGGCCACCAATGTATCGAGCTTGGAAAGAAGCACCCCAATCTCCTAGGTCACCTTGTTCTCCAGGACTTGCCAGAGGCAGTGGAACATCTCCCCCCCATTAATGGTGTGAGGGCAGAGGCTTATGACTTTTTCCAACCCCAGCCTATCATTGGTTTGTCTCCATCTACCTATCCATTGAATACAAGATATTATTAAAAGCTAACCTTTCCTTTAATCAAGGCGCCAAATTCTACTACCTCCGAAGAATCATCCACGATTGGCCTGACGACAGAGCCGCAAAGATCCTCGGCAATGTTCGCGCCGCCATGAGCCCCGACTCGCGGGTCTTGATCGATGATGCTGTGCTGCCGGATACTGGCGCTAACTGGCAATCTGCGGTGGCTGATCTGGCCATGATGACATTTGGTGGCAAAGAGCGGACAAAGCATCAGTGGGAGTCACTTGCAGAAAGTGCGGGCTTGCGTGTGGAACAGATTCATACTTATGTTGCTTCAACTTATACCGCTGTTCTAGTTTTGGCCACCAAGTGAGCCAGACATGGCCGTGGGCGTAAATTTGGACTTAGTTAGCAAGTTATCTCGTCTCTCCTCTTCATTTTTATCTTCCTATTACTCCGTATGTAATTGGCATTCTGAGATAGATGTATTCGTTTATTATTGATGGGCGGCAAGTGCGCAGATCGCCATACACTAAAATACTCTACAGCACTATCAATCCTTCCAAATACGCCTGTTTTAGACAGCTGGGTTTCCTATCCTTCAATCTCTCCAGCCTTCCATTCTACAATAAAGCTATAGAGCGTCTGTGCTTGGACCCGACAGCCGGCCTCCTCGATGCAGGCTGTTGTTTCGGCCGAGAAATCTCGGGGCATTTTGAACAGGTCTTTGTGGAGCTCGGATACCGGCTCTTTCGGGATCGAGGACGGCTAGACGCTACCTTTGTCGTGGGCTACTGTCTCGGGACAAGATGGTAGTCAGCTGGAAGAGAGGCTTGATGGCAATATTGATGTTGTCTTTGTTAGCTCGTTGTTCCATTTGTGGAAAGGTGAGACGCAGGTTCGAGCTGCTGCCTGCTTGGTAAGGTTGTGTCGTAGTCAACCTGGGGTTATGATCACCGGTTGGCAGATGGGGATTGTGTCGGTAGGACATAATCAATTGAAGTAAATCGAGGATGGAGTATCGTCACAGCATAGAGTCTATAAAGGGATTTTGGTGGGATATTGGTAAAGCGACGGGGATGTAGTAGACACTAGGGGCGGGCCTTTACTTCGCCAAAAAGCTTTGACGGACGAAGCGAAGAGCTTACCTTGGGCTGATTCAAACTTTCGCATGATTTGGTAGGGGGAGATGCGGTTGTGAATACGTGCATGGGTATCCAACAGAGGCTGGAGAGATGTGGCGGACTGTCCACGCTTAGGACCTGGCAAATATAATTCAAGTGCATTACTGCTCTCCATTTCATATATATTTTAGATATTGTAGATACATTGATAGTAAAGAACCCGTGATATATCCTTATGGGCAATGTTCTTCGCTAGCCACCTAAACTCAAAACGCCTTGCTAGCCGAGTAAATAACAAAAAAGGGAAAAGGCGCTTGGGAAGAAGGATAAAGTCAACGGAGTGAAAGAGAAGACCCAAGTCTTCGAGACTAATGCTAATATAAGTCGTGAATCATGCTCGTGCCGAGGGATATATTATGAGGAGCGTTTCCTGGTAGGGTTCACTTAATGGCTGGTTTCAGAGGTGATCGAATCGTTGGGTAGAGGTGGTGGGCCTCGGGTGGTAGTTCGAGTGGTAGTCGCCGATTCTGCTGACACTATTCGGATTCCCGATGTCCGCTCTGTGGGGGATAGAGGTTCATCGGTATTGATATTCTGGAATTGCGACTGAGTCGGCGTTACAGGAGACACAGTCATAGGGCTGGGCAAATTGACGTGAATCGAAGGCAACCGGTCGATAGTTGGCAGCTGCCGCGCGTGTTCAGTCTGTTCCGTAACAGGGCTTTGGTACGCAGGAGCATCACCCCAGTCCAGGTGCTCATAGTCGGGAGGTGGAGGAATGTTCAGCATCCCCAGATCTCCGTCGTCAGTTTGTGATACTGGTCGGCTGGAGCCGTGTGTTGTAGTCGAAGTTAAATGTTCGAGCTCGGTGGCAACATTCGAGTCGTTCATCGACGAAGAAACGGAGTTTCCTCGAGACTCGGAGCCGGATGGTTCAAAGGATGGCGCGGTGGAGCTAACAGCGTCACTTTGCAACAGCGGTCGGCGATCCGAATCGTGCGACTCAGAATTGCGCGAGTCAGCTCGAAGTCGTGATCCATCATGGCGAACACGTCCAAGTTCGGCATAGCTAACACTAGCGATACGTCTTTCCCGCTCTCTCGCCTGATGCTCGGCTAGGATTGCGGATGCGCTGGCTGTACTGTTGGTTCCTGCACGACGACCTTGCGTCCGAGCGCGATTTTCGGCGTTCAGTTGCTCAAGGCGAGCGAAATCCCCACGCGACTGGGCTTCTCGTCGCTCCCGACGGCGTGCCTCACGGTCGGCTAGTTCCTGACGGCGCTGTAGGCGAATCTGATACATAGATTCCATCTGCTCCTCACGGCGAGTTTCCTGTTCTTCCACAGTTTCAGGGTATTCCATAACGATATCCATGCCACCACGTTCGCCCTCCCGGGCGATAACTTGCTCGGTCGGCTTTGGGCTGGGGGAATAGGGGGGTAGCGTCATGATAGAGCGAATCGATGTATCGCGGCGAACGCCATCATTGGTCTGCATTTCTGGTGCTGTGCCAGCTCCACGATATGAGGTATCTTGGCCATTTGAATTCTCGACCTGTCCGTATGATGCACGCCCTGGGCTCCATTCTTTCCATTTCTGCTTGAGGTATTTCCCTGGAAGATATTTCGGTTCGCAGTGACGTTGTCGTAGTTGGCGACATAGGAAGTAGGTACCCACACCGATTGCAACTACAAATATGATGCTCACGGCACACTAGAGAAGAGTTAGCAGGGGGAAATAGAGGTCGGAAAGATCGGAAGTACACACAATGATAAATATGATGTTCTTGTTCGTTTTCTCATCCTGGGCTTTTTTTTGGATATACATAATGTCGGGACAGATACCCTAAAGATCCTTAATGGAAGGCATGGAAATAAAATCCCCGGATTTTCGAAGAAGTCGAGGAATGAGAGAAAAAAGACAAAGCGCGTCAGCCTTGACAGATGCCCAGCCCCAGAGGTGGCCGGCTATTATTATACGCCAAGCCATGAAACGCTGGTGTGAGTGGAGGCTGGGTTCACTTTGGGGCTTTCTCCTTCAATCATTCATTTTTCATTTGTAGATAATTTACTAGAACTCGTCGATCTTCCAAGGTTGACTGCAATCTGCAATTGTCTGCCAATCATTTTTTTTTTTTTTTTTTATATTTTTTTTCGTCATCCTTGTTTTAAATTGTATCCATTGCTTTGCTCGATCCCTAGCCGTTGAGACCCTTAACTATTCCCAATCTCAATTTTCAAATCATTTACAGAGTAATAACTTCATTATTGAATTCATTATTGAATTTTCCATCGTACAAGATGAACTGCATGAGTCCTTTTGCAACAAGGGAAGACTTTATACAAAAATAGACACGCCTTTACGTTCGGAGGGGCCCAGTATGAGATCGTGGTGAGACATCTAGAATGTCAATCGCAAATCGTCAAATTTCCACCAGTAGGGCTCATTAGGCCTGATAATCGTATCAAAATGAAAACGACTCAACATCAGCAAATTGTGAGATGTACGGGGTGAATTAGAAATTAAGGGAAGCTTGAGAAATAGTGCTCCCTTTCAACTCTCCTTGCCAGTTCTGAAACACCTTTGCAGGGCGGCCTAAATCGGCTATCTCCACCAACTTGTCTCGGTTATCCGACAGACCGTCAACTTCCCCCTTGGTCTCTGGATTGTATATGAATTTGTGGCTTAGTCTAGATCATGGCATGATACCGAAAGTATGAGAAGGTGTTCCTGAGGTCTATATCTTTATACGGGGTAGAATATATAATAATAAAACTACATTGCCTAGAAACATTGTACTGCTTCAATCGACAGAGCTTCTTGACACTCATTGGGCCATTAATATTTCTGAAAGGACGTGCAAAATAGTCAATGCTTGTAGTGGCCGGTGAGGCGCAGTAAATGGCATGGCTGGTAGGGACGTGCGACCCTTACCGAGGTGGCAAATCCTCGCCCCAGCGGCTCAATTCTTTCTCCAGCCTTATGTGCTACGTTTTTATCGTCATTGCAAAATGGTTCCTGTATAATATCTAGCAGAGATAATTAGGGGAGTTTCCAATCAATATAACTTGTTCTTACTCCGTACCCATATCATAATTTGGTTCAACGCAAGTACAACTAATGTCGTGCTTTCCGAGCACGCCGCTAATTCTTGGCCTCGGTCATGTCACGTTTTTACAAGTGATGGGTTTATACTCCGGGTAGGTGGAATAGAAGGTCCTGATAAGGCAGCTTGTTGAGACAAGACAATGCTAAGGTGCCGATAATAAGATCTCTAGTCTTTGGTTCTGCTCTAAATAGAAATTTAGCTTTGTAACTTGTTGTTTCCTAAAGTCGATTTTATCTATAGCTTTGGGTTGACCATGATTTTTCTATGGAAATACACTGTCTCTGGGGCATGGCTGATCCCTCGTTGGATATTGAGATCATGCAGGCTGAGAAAGTGTCCCTGCCAGCCATATCCAAAGTATGCTTTTATCCCATGCCCCTTTACTAGGAAAATTGACTTTATGGATGTACGAACGCCCAATGTTGATGCTGACGACTCACAACTAAAATTCAAGCTATTACTTCTAAATAAAAGGCGATCCATATGTGCCACAGTCTTCTATAGTATGTATACTCGTCATGTCGGTCCAGTAAAGTTGACTACGATGTCCATATGGGCCCACTCAACTAAACAAAGTGTGATTTTTTTTTTAATCAATGCTAGTGACGGCGGTGCGGACTAGCGGAGTTTCTACAAAACTAAGATTTTGGCGTAATTATGATCAGATTGAAGTGTGATTATAATTCTTACCTTGGCCTTTGATTGACCGTTGTCGTACAGACACCAACTTTGATAGACCGCCACTTATAAACCTAGAAAAAGGTTCTAGACTTCTCTACATGAAGGGTATTCCCTGATAGTGCTTTAATATTGTCTATTCATTAGTACTAGTGAAATTGAAATTAATATATCGTCTTGCTAATATTAAAGAAATATGTCGTGCCTTGTCCAGCTACTTTTGACGTTAGTTGGATGGTTTTGTTTCAAGGCATAAATGCGTAAGATAAAACACGTGGATGGCATTTTTTTCTCATTTGCTACTTTTGGATATTGTTGGATAATGGCATGTGAGTGAATCTGGAAATGGGTTATGGCATATTGGATCTTTGCTATATTCTAACATGAATTGTCTGAATAGATACAAATGGTATAGAGAGAATTCAAAGAAAAGTGAGGTTCAATACTTCACATGGACTTGATAGAAGCCTTGGTAAGCCGTGTTCCATTATATGGTTCCTATATTATCTACAGGATCTATACAAACCTGGAAAATATAGATATCTCTTGAACCGAAATGAACATCCCAACTTGGTACAAGGTTTTAATATTTCCAACCCTGCTTCCAGTATCTTGAGAAAACTTCAGAAACTGATTGCAAAATCAGACATTTGACTTAACCAAGACAGGATAGAGGGGGGTTGCGAGCATCTGGTCATATGTGGTTTGAATGTTTTATCGCGTGATAATACTCCTCTCCTCGGTTAGGGGTCTATTTTCTGAAACATGAACCCATTGAAGTCATCGAACTAGCATCCTGTGCAACAATGATCAAACTCTTGAGCGCGGGGGCGTCTGTTTTGCGTAATGAAGTTCTTCAGCCTCAGGACTAGGTGCTGGAAACCCACAATTAATATCAGATGATTCACAAAATGAAATTCAAGAGTGTACATATGTACTTTTTAAAGTTGAGCAAAATCCTAATGGCCATCTCGTGGTGGTAGAGGAATATCAAATAGTTGTATTGGCCAGGAACAAAGGCGTGGATGACCTACTGCTGACCCAATAGCCAAGGCTCACACCTCCGCCTTGACAGAACTGAGTATCGAGGATATGGCAAGTCAGTTTTCTCGATGCTCAAGTATTCGGCATTTCGATCCCCCAAATCAATGGGTCTTTCACGTAATGTTTTGCAATTTGTCCCCCGCACAATGAAGCCAAGGTCAACGAAATAGGCGGGGATTGGATCACCTGGATACACGGCATGATCGTGCCGTCCCGCGGTGGCTTAGATCGCCATTGGTATATACTGTTGTTGATGTTGACACGCAAATTGTTATGAATAAACTATGATCGACATGCCCGTCAATCTAAATCAGGTAGCTGATCCAATGGGGTCCAAGCCATCCTCGCCGAGAAACTTGAGGTCATCGCCACGTTGCATCACAGGGTCCTGTCACCCTTCCCTACCTAAGGCCACGAGTTTGGCACAAATTCAACAAAAGACGTTAAGCAATTGCATATATATATTATGGGCCCATTGCATACTAAAATGTCGATAGCAACTTCAAACCCCTTGGCAGCCTTGTGGATCTTGATACGGCTTTCTTATTGGGCTTTTGCGCCAATCATTTCAAGACCTCAGTCCACCTGAATTCCTCTTCAACCCCCTCAGGGCACTAATATCGCGCAAAATGGCAACATTGAACTTTGCTTTGAAAAACAGTACCGGTTCTAATACGGTCTACGCCTACATTACAGGCCAGGCGCTTGATAATAACAACGCGCTTTTCCTCTTGCGATCTGATGGGAGGACACCCTACTATCCAACCTCACCATCGGCCACCATCACCAACCTGAGTGCAGATTGCGCAATTCCACTGGGTGCAGCGGGTAGCACTACCACCATAACTATTCCGCACCTTGCAGGCGCGCGATTGTGGTTCGTGCAAGACAACAAATTGACATTCTATCTGAACCCTGGCCCTGCCCTTGTTGAGCCTTCGGTATCCAACCCATCAGACCCTAACTACAATCTGACCTGGGCCTTTTGTGAATTCACCTGGAATAACGCCCAGCTTTATGCGAATCTCAGTTATGTCGACTTCGTGTCAATGCCTATTGCTATGACCCTAACCAACGCATCTGGTGCAACCCAGACCGTTCAGGGCCTACCGGCCAATGGTCTTGACCTAGTCTGCAATGCTCTCAGAGCGCAGAATAGCAAGGATAACGCCGGCTGGGACAAGCTCATAATCCAGCGAAACGGTGTCAATTTGCGGGCCGTTTCTCCAAACACGGGAAGAACGCTCAATAGTTCTTTGTTCAACAATTACTACGATAACTACGTGAACCAGGTCTGGTCTTACTATGCAAAGAGCACCAACAATATTTTGACGGTCAACACGCAGGCTGGCGCCGGTGATGTTACCGCTAAAGTTGCCTCTGATGTTTTGTCCTTCTCAATTCCAGGTATTACTTACACCAAGCCGTCTACTGGAGACATATTCAGCAACAGCTCTGGGTCTTTTGCCGTTTCAGGAAATGGCACCAAAGACGCCATTACAGCGCGTCTCGCGGCTGCATTCAATCGCTCAACCCTGTTGATAAATGGCAACCAGCCGAACGGGGAGTCGGTTTCAAAATACTACCAGAATTCCGTCACGAATCACTACTCGCGCATCTGTCATGCCGTGAGCCTTGACAGCCGAGGCTATGCATTCCCCTATGATGATGTGGCGCCTAACAATGGCTCCGATCAGTCTGGCAGTGTTTATGATGGAAATCCAAAGCTGTTGACAGTTGCTATTGGCGGCGGCTCTAGTAACTCTGGCAAGAAGTCTGTCGTTGAGAACAATGCTGTGCCTGTCCCACAACCAGTGGAGAATGGACAAAGCAAGGCAAATGGAAAGAAGCCGAGCCGCTTCCACGGGCTGAGGAGGTTTGTGGATAAGCTATCGCACAGGGAGTAAGTAACCCTTGAGAAACATAGGTTTGTCTCAACGCTATTTGGTTATGTCGTCGTATATTGTAAATGATAGTGTATATACGTCATCTTTAGTCGGCATCTCTTTTGGATTTGTTGGAAATAGGTCAATATGATTTTGAATCCCTATCCTCTATCCCTTGCAAAAAATAAGAGAGTAAATTATCTGCAAATTGACTGATGACCTGCATCGTTGTAAAGAAGGGCCAGTTCCCTCTGCTCATTCCATAGCATGCTTCTTAATGTAAGATACCACTTGATCTGGCATGGCCAACCAGGGCGTGTGTCCTGTTTTGATTTTCTCGGTTTCAATCTGTGCCCCCCTCCGTCGCGCCCGCTCCACCAGCACCTGCTGAACCGGCAACGGAGTCGCACGATCCTCCTCTGTTAAAAGATACGCAGATGGAATGTTCATGTACGCTGCACCAGTAGCGGGGGCATTCTGAGTCGCCCAAGAATGTGGCTTGAAAAGCTTAACCCACTCTGCACCATCGGCAACATCATGGAGAAACAGCACGAGCGCATCGCTGGCGGTCACAGTCCCATTTTCTTCCTAGAATAAATGTTAGTGATCACGGAGACATTTTGCAAGTTGTAATAGAAATTGACGGGCAACTTACATCACGCACATACCATGGCGGGGGCATCCCACCAAATGCGCCGATCAAACCTTCGCCAATGCTAGGTAGGAAAGCGGCAATGAATATGAGTTTCACAACACCGCCATTTCGGCCGGCTGATTTGCGCTCTGACCTGCTCAGTCCATACAACGCACTGCTCACTGGTAACCCGGCCCAACTGTGCGCGATGATGACAATGTCATGGCCAGCATCTGCTTCCTGTTGGGTGATAGATCTCACAGCCTCGATATCTGGTTGAAGGTCGACAACCGAACTGGCTTCCTGGATGGAGGGAAATATGACACTGTGGCAGTTATAGTCGGCGAGTTCTTTGATAATTGGGTCGAAGATGGTGTGCGGGTACCATGCGCCCGCCGCGAAAATCAGAGTTGGCCTTGACATTATTACCCTAGTTGATGTGAGAGCTATGCCAATAAGATGCGGGTGCTTGCTATTTACAATATAAGCTTGTAAGGCTGAGGAGTTGCAGGAGGTATGAAATCGGCTACGCGGGACTTTGGTCTAGTCAATTTGATTTTACCGCTTTTCTCTCCGTGAGATATTATCCACATCGGCGTTCTCTTAACTATTACACTGTTGATTACCCATAGCAGTGACATTTTTGTGGACGTGACGTTGCGGTTACTTCCAAGCCTAGGTAGCTTCACGGCGCTTGATAATAACGATGACACAAATTGCGATGATATTGATCAATAAGTACAGAAATCAGAAAATAAATCAAAAATGAACATCTTGCGACTAATGATCAGAGGAAAAAACGTTGAAACGATCTAAGCACCGACTTCTTCAGGGTCACTGAGCAGCGCATGCAACTTTCCACCATTCATTTTTGCCAGATCCTGATACGGTCCATCCTCTACGACAGCTCCCTGGTCAAGAACAACGACATGATTCGCGATCTCAATCATCTCCTTTGCGTGCGTGATAATGATGACAGTAAGCCCCTGACGCGCGGACACCAACTTCTGAATCGTCTGCCGTACAATCTCCGCACCCGCTGGATCCAAACTAGATGTGGCTTCATCGAGAATCAGGATTTGGGGTTGACGCAAAAGAGCCCGCGCAATGACGACACGCTGTTTCTGGCCACCAGAAAGGCCAACTCCGCCATCTCCGATCACAGTATTGTACCCACGAGGGAGAGATAGGATGAAATCATCAATCCCTGCTCCTTGAGCGGCAGTGCGCACACTATGAGATGAGGCTAGAGGCGAGTGCTGATCTAGCCCGTAACTGATATTTTCATGAATGGTGCCGGGGAAAATAGTTGGTTGTTGCGATACGATAGAGATCTGTGAGCGGAGGGTAGGGACATGCAGCTGAAGGATATCTGCGCCGCCAAGTGTTACTGTGGGTTGTCCAGTTTTGGAGGCCGGTGCTTCGTAGAGCGATAATAGGAGCGATGCGATTGTGGATTTTCCCGACCCGGACCGTCCCACGAGCGCCGTACAGGAGTTGCACGGGATGGAAATCGAGACATTCTTCAACACCATAGTACTTGGCCGAGAGGGATATCGGAAATTCACGTTGATGAGCTTGATCGGGGTGAGGTTTGAAACTGTCAAACTACCGAGGTGCTCGTGGGATCCATCTTGTGGGAGTTTTGCAAGGCGAATAAGCTGTGTCGCTATCTCGCGGGAGGTGTTGATTTGGGGAACTATCAAGGGGTGAGTAGACTATCTCGAAGTGATTCAGGACCTACTAACTCCATGAGAGAATCTGTGCTGCGTATCCAATGCTGAAAAGCAGCATCGAGAATACCATCATCACATCGTCCACATTGAACTCGCGAGATGCTGCGAGCACCGCTCCATAATAGAAGATCAATGCTGTTGAGGAAAGTCAGAACAATAGCAAACAAATAAAATGTCAGTGAGCTTACCGGTGGAAAATATGACCGTTGATTCTACCATACCGAAAAGCATGCCTGTATAGATGGCACGTTTCAATCCCAGTAGCAAGCATCGCGCGATCGCATTGGCTTGTTTCCGATGGAAATGACCTTCCAATGTCAATGTTCTGACAGTACGGATCTCGGAAAATGTCTCAGTAAAGACATCAGCAGCGATATTGTTCGCATCATTGCATCGTCTTTCCCATAACCCATTTGTTCCCTCGAAGCCTCGAGTGATGACATAAATGACAGGTCCACAGGAAATAGCAACGAGTGTCAGCTTCCAGCAAACAATCAAGCTCCAGATAAGTGCCATGACGGTGATTGCTGCAGCAACAACCACGAAACCGGCGAAACGGCCTAGTAGGTTTCGCATGTCCTCTCCATTCTGATCGAGAGACGATGTGAGTCTAAGAGATCCATTGCCATCTTTCTCGAACCAGGCCCGTGGCTGATCGAGGATGCGTTGAAAGGCGTTTTTCCTGAAAGAATCCATCCACACCTCGGCGCAAAGTTCTAGGAAGTAATGCATGAAAAAGGACGCAAGGCCATCTCCGAAAGACACCCCTAATACAGCAAGCGACCATGTCATTGTAAGGTGTTCACTGTTAGTTCCAGCATAGAAGGTTCCAAACAGTTGCGACAGACAATATGAAAATATCGGAGTCGCGCTTGCATGGGCCAGTGCCGCGGAAAATCCTAGGAAGAGAATGATTCGTTGTCTGATCGTCAAAGTCGATAGAATAGTGCCCATAATTCGAAAGAGCGGAGTCATTCGTTCTTTTGGTATGTGCTGCTCTTTTGATTTCTTGCGGCGGCCATATGGTTTCCGGCTGCGTGTAGTCTCTGATGGATCTTTTGCGCCGTGTTCATTGGCCCACGGATCCGCCTTGAAGCCCTGATCATCAATATGTACCATTTCAACTGCTTCTGTGAAAAGTTGGAGGGCCGTCGAGTCCCGCTGGCGACTTGGCCCTTCTATCATGAGAGGAAGACGCTGGCTCCGATCTTGCAAGGGCGATCCGAGGAACTCTCCACTCCTGAACACATATTCCGAATTCCTTCTTGCCAGTAAGTCTAGTGAGCCGGAGCCAAAACTTGGGGGTATGTGGCCTTGAGCCCATGATGCCCTAGTTTGACGATGTCCGAGAAAAGCTGTTGGAGGTCTTAAGGTGTCTAAGCTCTCCGATGATGAGCTCTCCCACGAAATGTCCGTATCATCCAAAGATCTCTTGTTTTGGGTCTTGGTTTCCAGAGAACTGTCGACTTTGGTATGAAAATATTTTTCACTTCCCGGACTGACCTCCACGGCATATCTGTAGCCGGATTTCACGATCGAACCCTGTTCGAGGATATACAGGAAATCCTGTTCCATGATTTGTGACATATCGTGAGTGATGATGATGGTGGTCTTTCCTTTCCGCCACTCACGGATTGCTTTAATCACTGCGACTCGGTTGGTATGATCAAGGGCGCTAGTGGGTTCATCTAAGATCAATATTGGGGTGTCACGTAATTTCGCTCTGGCAATTGCAACTCGCTGTCTTTGGCCGCCACTTAAAAAGCCTCCACCCGGACCAACGCAAGTGTCAATACCTTTGGGAAGACCATTTATTGTGTGCTCAAGCATGGCCAAGTCAATGGAATCTTTGACATCTTCCTTGGTGACAGTTGCATGGTCCTGGCGACCGAAGGCGATGTTCGTGAGCACAGACTCATTGAAGAGAACACTCTTTTGCTCTAAAAGAGTAATGTTGTTGCGGATCCAGTTGATATCGAGTCCTTGCATTGGATTGCGGTCAATCAGGATTTCGCCTGAATTTGGCAAGTAGAACCGCATCAGCAACTGACTGAGGGTACTTTTACCAGAGCCACTTTTCCCTATAACGAATGTGGTTTCTCCAGCCGGGAAGAAAAAGCTGGAGGGCTTGAGAACACATTGATCAGGCTGACTAGGATATGAAAATGATACCTTCATGAATGTTCATTAGTGTCAGGATCCAACCCAGAGAAGGGTCTCAACTCACATTTTTGACCTCGATATCACCTTCACAGTGTTCCGGATACCGAGTTCCCTTTGCCTCGCTCACAGTTTTATCTTCTCTCCGACTCTTTAATATCGATTTCAAGGCAACACTAGCGACCTTTCCTTTTTCCATCACGATCATCTGGGGTAATATCTGCTCGATAGACTGAGCTGCAGTCAGGCAGGCCCAGAAGGTTCTGAGAACTTCTCCGGATGTGAGTTTCCCGGCGCGAGCAAGCGAACTGCCATACCAGAATCCCTGAACAAACATCGCGAACATCATCCACCGGATGAAAGCAATTTGCAGAGAATTCAGCCGAGCTTGTCGAAGGTAGTGTGTGGCAGATCTCTCAATGCGATCGGCAAAGCTCTGATGCTCGAAGGTCTGTCCATTGAGGCATTTTACTGTATCGATATTTGTGATAGCATTGTTCGCAATCTTGGAAGCCTCTGTAAGCTCAGCCTGCTGTGCTGTAATGCTAAACTTCATTTTGGAAGAACGGAATCCGATAATTGCCGAGAATATTGGAATGCCTGCAAGAGTTACCAGAGAGAGGCTCCATGAGGTGTAGAAGCCGAGCCCTAGTGAAGCCAGTGAACGGCACGAGTATTGCAATACAAGTCCAAGTGGCTGCGATGTCGCCATCTGAATTTCATGAATGTGTCTGAAAATAATGTGATGTTAGATATGAAATTTGGGCGATTATAGTGGCAAACTCACGCTTGAATTCCCGATAACAAAGCACCCGAACCCTCGCTTTTAGCCTCAAACCACTCAATGTCGCGTTTTAGCAATTCTAGAAACACTTGGCTGCGAATAACGGAGGCCTGCATTTCCCCAAATGCAATGAACAGAGCGTAGTATGTACCGTTCAAAAACCAACCAGCTACTCCCAGCCCGATCATTCCAAAGCAGTTTGTGATTATTTGGTGATGAAGCCCTTTCGCATCAGTCTTATCAGCGCCGAAAGAGGTAAACGAGTCAAAGACATTGCCAAGGAAGATTGCAAGTGCCGGGGTAACACAACTAGCAAGCAGAGCGAATATAGACCCGAATATTAGAGTCGGCAGGTGTCTTCGAGTGGTGAATCCGAACAGCGATCTCCAGCCCGGAACGTCCTCGGTAATATTTTCTTTGTTGATTTCGTTCTGACCGGAAGTTTTGCGTTTGGACCACATTTTGGGCAAAGACTCGAACGTCACATTGAAAGCCTGATATGACTTCCGGAGATTTTTCTTGCGCTATAGTGGCATAGCAATGAGGCAAGAGGGAAGAGCATAAAGATCGGCATGAAATAGTCATCGTGGGCCATTTGGATGTGGGTTCAGAAATATAATTAACAAAACAAGAACAATATTAAGAAATCCCCCCAATGAGGTCACATTGAAGAGGGGTGGAGAACAAAGGATAGCCATGCTCTAACATTGTTGTAAGGCACCTGGGATAAATGTATCATTCATCGGCTTCGTCATTGAGACAGCAATCACGGCCTCTACTCTTGATGCATGATTTCTGAAAGTCAAACGAAGCTAAGGCTAGAGAAGGTGGACTTACTCAATGTCTGATGCGCGATGGCCACAATCACCCCCAATAAGCGCCGCAGCGAATCAGCCCAGAAAAATAATAGCAATCGAGAAAGTAGACAAAGGACCAGTGGAAATGACATTTTATTCAGGGTATATTTCAGACCCAATGTTGAAAGACTGTCCAAGTCCTAGCGGACAGCCAATCTACATTTGAGTCGCGATTGACGGTCCGATGCTAAATCAGAACCACATATTTATGGGGTATTACCACGCTTCTATCGTAACAACTAACCTCAAACCATGATACTGCGAGGTCTTGTGATCGGTATCATGGTTTTGAGGCCATTCATCATCTGCGCCACAAGGAAACAGGAAAATGCCGTCGGCCCGATCAGCCCGGATGTGGAACTGTCCTCGATTTCAAAAACAGCAGCAATGAGACACTGTTTGTAATCAAGAGCTGGCCTTCTGGGCCTTCTCGTAAATCCAATCGTTGAGACCTGCGCGGTTTCTAGAAGACTCCATTAGTTTCCATACGTGACTCACCCGGCTCCAATCAGCACTTACCTAGCGATCTCAACAGCGTAGAACTGCATGCGCACACCAAAAATGGTAGTGTCCTGGTCATACTCGGCATCCGCACGGGTACGGATCATGGTACCGAAGTTGAAGTCCTCGATCTTATCCCACTGCAGCATCCAGTTGCGCCACTTTTCCTTGCCGGCCTTGCTCTTCATCTCGTCCTCAACGAGGGTCCCGGCGGGATCGAAATCGGGGAATGCCTCCATGAATGACTCGTAGATATCATCGTCCTGCTTGGTCAGGCGAAGCTGAGAGCCCTTGACCTTCTCCAAAATAGCCCAGTATGTCATGAGATGTTCAACCGCTGTAATGCGAGAGGGGTATCAATATTATGGCTTTGCCCAAATGTGTGAATGAGATTTAAATCGATGCGCCACTGACCTTTGACGGCGAACTGCTTCTCCATCTGTTACGATTGTCAGCAATCAGGGTTCTTCGGTCTTTAGACCATATGTATGGACGCGGGGTCGTACATCCTCCAGATTCTCCGCCTCCTCGGGGTTAAATGGCTTCGACATTTTGATGGTTGGGCGTAAAGTAAATACTTTGAAATACGAACACAAGAAGACAGTGATATGACAAGTGGGGAGGAAATCGAGTGGGAGGTGTTCGGTGCCCCGCGCATAATTTTTTTGACGGGCGGAGAGCAGCTTCCGCCTTGCATAACGTCATTCCGCCCGCAATCCGTGGACAGGTATAAATCGTATCAGCGCAATGTCCAGCTCAACTATATTTAATTTGCTGTTGAGTGGATTCACAATTCCCTTTTTAGGTTATTAAATCAAGCAAGAAAAAAAACTCCGAATTGGATCCCGAATTGACGCCAGCATCATCGCTACAGAGCTACTATAGGGTGTGATCATTGACCGTGCATACAGTTGTAATGAACCAAGCTCAAATGCTGACATTACCAGACTGAAACGCAAGGTCACCTGCAAAAGATGATGCTTAGTCACTATCAGTATCATCTGGCAGTTCTTCAAATCTTCCCTCGTGAAGAGCCTGAGTTACGGGGTTCTCGACATTGAGGAGACCATTTGCTTTGGCCCTGTAATAAATATTAGCAATTGCTACCTAGCTCACTGAAAATGCACATACCTCTCAAATAGCACGAAGAGTCTCTCTGCTTCCCGTTCCTTCTCCTCCATAGTCATTGGAGGACCGAAATCTTGTGGCTCAGCTGCCCACCGTTGCCCAGTAATGGGATTTCGTGCATTTTCGGGGTGGTCCTTGGCCGAATATGCTTCACTCGCACTCTGTGGCATCTCGATGCCGCGCGCTGCCAGGAACCCGGCAGCGAAGCCGTAACCAATGTTCTTAGTGAGTCTCTCGGCGTCCTTGCCCGAGAGAACAAACATTAGCTCAGAAATTGTAACCTTCAGATTGGCAAAGTGGTTTGTCGAGAGCTTCAGAAGTCTTGAAGAAAGTGTTTCAGACCGTCCAATTGGCAAACTTCGGTCAGTGCTCTCGGGCAGAAGAAGCGATTGCATATGCTTGCGGGGCCCATCAGATGCCACTTCGTAGATAGCAATAAGCGAATATAACAACGGGATTGCGTTTGCCTCTAGCCCCTCGGGGCTATATATGGATACGGCCTGATCCAAGATGCCGATCAACCTATCCACGTTGCAGTTGGGGTCGAATGTAGGGAAAAGTGGACTGTTCTCGAAATATTTGCCTTTCTTTTCCTCCAAGTCAAGGATAGACAAAGCATTGATCAAGCCGCCAACTAAACCATCTAAGGGCTTTGCTGGAATATCAATGCGACAGATAATCTTCAAAATATGAGGGATGGAGGGAGAGAATTCGGTAGCAAGATCTGGAAATATCTTGGAGATATTGTACATCAACTTGAGCGTGTCTGACAATGCCAGTTCATCCATTTGTGACAATGGCTTTCTTCCTGACTTCGGGAACTGCTTCGCATGACGGCTCAATTGCTATACTAGTCAGCACAGCACATCTAGAAATTTTCGAGTCTGATAATCCGCTCACGTAGTTGAGATTATCCCCCAATGCGTTGCTCTTAATCAAATCCTTAAAGTCCAGTGTGGTGTTATAAGTCGCGTAGAACAATATCCGACTTGTAACCATCTCGTCTTCCGAATCGTCGGTCTATCAAATATCAACTTTAGTACCAGCATTTTATCTGCTACGGTCCTACCTTGAGCTTTTCTGCAAGCTTTCCGCCGTATCCCGTGTCTACAAAGGCCTGGCGCATCTTGGGGTCGAGTAATAGCGCATTTGCAACACATCGCAATGCTGCTCGACGTATTTCAGGGGTCTCCCCCTCAACGCCATACCGTACCAAAGTATTGATGCCCTGGAAATATTCAGAATCAATTGTAATTCTCAGCGGGCAGCTTCATCTGGTGTGCTCGTACAGTCTGTGAATAGATCGGTTCTGCGTTGGTAGGGTTTGTGCCGTGTTGTCGAAGCTGGAGGAGAGTTTGAACTTGGTCTAGTAGTTGATAAGATTAGTATTAGGAACATTTCATGGCGATTTTATCCAACTTACCTGCTGTTGAGAGGTTGTTCTCTTGTAGGTCTTTCTCAAGAGACTTTAGCAGCTGCGTCACTTGTTGCAGCTTCGCTGTGTGTGCAATATAGAGTCAGCCAACTTGCTTGCTAGGGATGAGCTTTTCAATCTCCATAATGTACCTGTTCCTTGCATTTGAGGAAACGCCATACTGATCTAAGCTCAGATTGACTCAAATGTTCCAAGTAGGGGGGTGATGTAGGACTGGTGTTACTTTCGCTAATGCCTTGTGCTGAAGTAGAATCCCTGGCAAAATGAAGGAGTAAGCTGAGATCAATAGCTTGAGCAGGTATCGATTGACGAGGGAACAAAAAAAAAGAAAGGAGAGGGAGCCACGCGGGGAAGTTGAGGGCAAATCCCAAATCGTCATAAATTATTTGGCGACTCCGCACTTAAGCTTCTCTTAAGAACCTTTGCTCCAAAAACCATTCTATAACAACAATTATAACAACAATATTGGAACTTAATTATGAGAAACCCCCCATCTTGCACAATCCAGTCTGTATCTTTAGTATAATGCGGATTTTTGTAAACTCCACCGTTTGCCTGAAGAACGTGACAGTGATAGATTAAAACGATAGACTTTCAAAGCTGAATATTGAATGCTGAATGTTGTTGATTGCTACATACTCACATACTGCAATACCCTCCAACGGCTCAAATATTGAAGCTATTGTCAATCTCATGGATCTCATGAATCCTATGAAAAGTCCGCGTGTTGATGCCTCGTCGCCTCAGGCGGTGACACTTTACGCGCATCGCGGCGCGTCGGAAGCTGAACTTAGTTTTCTCAGAACTTGATGTGGCTTCTTAATTCTTCAATCTAAAACAGATCATGGACAGGCCCTGAACAGCATCTCATACAGCAATGATCCTTAGCTATTGCTTCCTTTTCTTTTTCACATTTTTCGTCTGATCCAAATCATGGTGGAGATGCTCTCTGCTCGTCCTCCTACACCCCCAAGGACAGCCTCACGCATCGTGATTGAAAACACCGAGTCACCACTAGCCGTTCAAACGCCCAAGGAGCCACCATTTTCTGCGCTGGGATCGGTGGGGGTGGGCCCATCCAACCGCAGTTCGAAGAAAGTGAATTTCTCGCCATGGCCCAAGTACATCAAACCACCAACTTTTGCTAGTGCCATGAAATCAGCCCCCGACTTCAAGACTATCCCTCCACACACAGATTCAAAGCCTACTAAGTCGATCCTAAAAGCAACTCAGTCACCAATTCCTGTTTGGTCCCCCAATGTCGATACATTCACCTCCGAATCGCTTGCCATGCTGCTCGAATCAGTCATCCAACAACTAGCAGGCGAGTCGATGAGCTCCCGACTCGATGCCTACATGCAATTCTTTGGTGCGCTACGCACGTACGATGGGCTTCCAGCGGGTCAGAAGATTGCCGAAAAACTAAATCTCATCACCGAGTTTATTCAGCGAGATGTGAATCATGACCTTACGAACGGCGGCCCGCTCGAAACGAACCTCGCCAATCAGGCCTTGAAATTGTCAGCTGCGTTTGTTTGGCACCCGGAGATTTCGACACAACTTTCGGAGGAATTCAAAGTTTTTCTGGTCGACCACTCCATCACTTGTCTCCATGAGGCCAAGGCCCCGAAGTCAGTTTTGACGCACTACATGTCCATATTGTCTACACAAAACTTCGGCCCTAAGATTATGAACGGTGCTCGTGTAGCGCGTCTTTTGACGGTACTACAAGAAATAACCAAAAATATCAGTGGCAACGCAATTGTTTCCCATCGATTGAACATTTACCAACGCCTGCTGGGCCAAGCCAAGTCCGCTTTCATCTCCCAAGCAAACCTATGGATAGAACACTTGATATTCGGGTTGCTTCATCACTTGAAGGATACCAGGTCAAAAGCGATTGCACTTGGCTTCCAGGTGGCTATGGAAGCCGGTCCAAATCCTATACTATCGAAAAACATCCGGGATCTATTCGACCGGCCATTAGAGCATGACCGGAAGCTTGTAACAGAGGTTCGTGAGCGCATGACTCGAATGATGGCGACGGTGGATAGCGGTGAGCATGTTCCGCAGATTTGGAGCATCATCATTCTTCTTCTCCGGAGTAAAAGATGGAATCTGGAGCAATGGGATCATTTCAAGGAATGGGTTCTCGTACTCCAAAAGTGCTTCAATTGCAGCGAGCCAGTGATCAAAGCGCAGGCCATCCTTGGTTGGAATCGATTTGTGTTTGCTGTCAGCCCCAACGAATCGACAAGTAGATCTCTCCTCAAAATGCTGGGCAAACCGGTACTCTCTCAATTTGACCGCAAAAAGACCGACAAGTCAGGAGCACCTCCCACTCAACTTGCTCTGACCAGCTACTACAATCTGCTGTATTACACTTTCCGTCCTTCCGCCTCTTATCAGCATTTGGATATTATATGGGAGGAATACGTGGTCACTCCGTCTTCAGGCATCTTTTCATCAGTTCCGGTTCTCAGCGACTGTCTTTCCCGCATATTAACAAACCTGTTGTGGAGCACGCAGGCTAAGATATGGATAGAGAACCGAATCAACGACACTACCAAAATGGAAGTAGAGGAACTCCCTGCAGCCGACAGCAGATGGGTTCGATCAAGAATCACCTCAATTCTGAAGGTTTTCGAGCATATGTTCAAGTCTTCAGTTTGGGTCGATGACGCAGTTGGCCAATCTCATGTGGCATTGGCCTGGAACAGTCTTTCCAGTGCCCTGTCTTTTGCATCTAGCAAAGAAATCACCCCTTCAGGGGAATCGATACAAGCCGTTGCTAGCGTTTGGGGCTTACTGCACCGTCTTTGGACTGCAGGGCCACCCTCTTTGAATACCGATACTACAGATGTCTTCTTCAAAAGATTCAGATTCTTGTCCACAACCATGATTGTTTCTATTGGGAGCATTCCGTTTACTGAAAAGCTTCTCTTGAGAAATACGGATGAAACCGATAACATTCCCACACATTCACACCCAAATACGACCCAAGAGAGTGCCATTCTTCATCTCCTTCGAATAATAAGCAGCACTACAGGGACAATAACGCCGAGTCAATCTTACGCACAACTTGTATTGGGTAACATCGAAGCAGCATGTAACGGCAGATTCTCCCGTGGATCTCGTCTTGAACTTCTCCAACAGTGTGCAGAATTGAGCACTACGAAAACCAGTGCTATTCCCCGTGCAGCTCAGCTGTCGGAGGTTGTTTGGAATGCCACTACCCAGGCGGCCGCAAACGCTTTACAGTCGTTCCCTATGGAATCCGCTCGTGGGCGCGATGGCTCTGTATCTCGTGACTACGAGAATGTCATCAAGATTCTCTCGTTCGGCCTTTCGTTTCCGTTAGCCTTTCAACAGTGGTCTCATTTGCTTGAAACGTTTGTTCGCGTGGTTAGAACAGAGAAAGGGAACCAAGCGGTTGCCACGATGATTGTGGAACCCATAGCCGAACGCCTCATGCATCTTTCTGCTAGAGATACCTACCTACCCTCAACCTCACTGCTTGGCCATTCCTTGTCTATCCCTTTCATGCAAGGAACCGGTCTAGGGATTGATCGCAGCGGTATACAGGCAACTGGTCATTCTATCTTTCCTCATAAACTTCTCGGGTCAATTGCCCAAACATTACATGGTGCATACGAAAATTTTAGCGCATCAAAATCCCACGGTCTTGCCGAGTTCATCGAGGCATTGACTTCTTTTCTGGGAACTGGTGTTCCGCAGTTCCAGTGCCAAATTCTTCAATGTCTCCAGTCATCACTTGGTCTTTGGTTGAAGGATGAATCTTACAAAATCCATGTTGACTGCGGCGTTGACAGCAGAATTCTAACAGCTTGCCGTGCGCTCTCGTCAGCTACTATCAATATTCTGCAAAATTCGGTTTCCCATGATCTACCTTCTTTGAAAAACTTCGAGCCTATTCTTTGCGCTGGTTTGGAGTCTTCGCACATGTCAACATCCAAGAGATACCTCGAACTTTGGGGCTTGACCTTTGGTTCACAGTCTTTTGTCACCCCAGGCACCATTTTGCAAGCTGTACAAACTGCCGGATCCAGGGTTCAGACCGCAACCTTGCCTCCACAAGGCGGTGACCAAGATACCGAGATGCTACCTCCGCCTCCTCTACAAGACAAAATGGATCAGACATTCCATCAGCCGTCTCAGGATACTCAGCTTTCGTCCCCCGTCATAAGGACCGAAGACTCCTCGTCGGTCCTCAAGCCAACTGAACAGTTCCATGAACTCAAGTTGCCGAGTAACTTTCAACAGCCCACGGATGTGCAAATTGTTGACGGCATTTCAGTGTCTCACAAGCGTAAAAGCCATCGTGAAATGTTTTCGATGATTGAATCGATTCAATCCTCGTCACCAGCCAGCACTCCACGAAAATTAGGATTCGATACTCCTCCCCACCTACGCAAACTACATGGGGAATCACTAATCGAACTCCCTCTAACACCTACTCTTGTCCCTACTGAGAATGAAGAGGGATTCATTGGCTCGTCCCCGACACCTGGGACCAGAGACCCAACACCCGCGATGAACTCTGACGCACTGATATCGAGCCACATGCCTGTAGATTTGGGTATAGACCCTCCATCATCTCCTCCCGAAATACAATCTCGGAGTCCAAGCCCTCGGAAGGGTCGCTCCAAAAGCGCGCGGCGAAGGGCCGCAAAAGCAAGAAAGGCTCTTATTGGTACATCCGGCAAACAGTCAACAGTCAACAGCCCAGCTACTTCCCGTCTTGCGACGGAGAACATGGACACAGATATAGGTGATTCCCATGGCTATGGTAGTGAAAACGCCGACGCTACACCTCGAGCAAACGGAGAAACTGCCAGCAGGCGACTTCGATCTGCCCTAGGTAAAGACTCAGATACAGCAGGTCCTTCCCCCGTTTCAGTGGTGGACTCTGATAAGACACCTATGCAACAACCTAGTCGCAGAAGTAAATCAGGCTCAAGCTCCAAGACGAAACGGAAGCAAACTCAGTCTACGGATGATCAACCCCAGCAAGCCACCGACATGCCTCATGAAATGCTTCCGGATAGTTTCATGGACTCAAGTGAGGAGACAGAGACCCAAATCGCATCACAGCTTGGAGTGGACTTGGAACTGGCAGTCGATATGGACGATAGAGATCATCTGGAGCGAGAAAGTCTTCCCGATGGGCCGTCTATAAGGAAGAGAAAGCGGGATCAAGAGGAATCTTCATCTGTGAGAGCTGACAGGCGCCGGTCGACGCGGCTGTCCACGGCTAAAGAAGTGGTCAATGTTGATTCATTGCAGCCTGATTTTTCACAATCGGACCGCGCCATTTCTCGGCCAGCCTCTCCGGCTAAATCATTGTCGCCAACTGCGACTCGCCGATCCACCCGCTATTCACAACGAAAAGATAGTGATAACGCTCTTGTGATTTCAGTCCCTACAACCCAAGACTCTGTTGCACAAGAATCAACGCAAGATGCTGAGACTCTGCGGCCATCCAAAAGGTCTCGCAGATCTATTCGTCTTGAGGACCAGTCTGCTGCCGATGGCACTACCCAAAATGTCCCTCGAGATACCCGCTCCCGAAAAACACGGTCTCAGCAACATGCATTTGACTCATCTCAACCTCAACTTTCAAGCATTGCATCCAAGGAACATAGCGATAGTGACCAATTGCTACCTCATGTCGACCTGGACATAGTCCCCGAGAGCCTCATTACAGAAGACGAAGCTGGGCAGAGCAACTCTCTTGTTTCTACCGAAGAAGCAACTGCTACTCAAGTCTCTGAAATGGAGCAGGCTATTGAGTCTGCGGTAAAATCAGACATCGATGTGGAAAATACGGATGCAGCACAACAACCTGGTGAAATAGTCGAGCAATCTACGAGTATTGCCACCACGGGTACCCAAACCCAAGAAACACCCCCCGAACCTAAATCCGACATCAGCGAACGAGGCGTCACCCAATCCCTGGAGAATCTCCTAGGTGAAATGAAAATGACGGCCTTGTCCTCGAGTGCTTTCCGCGAGGTCGATGATCTTCTTTTCAAACTTCGTTGCGAAGCACAAAATGCATCAGCGCGACACAATACTTGAGCATAGCGAATGGCGTTACAGCGAAACCTGTTGGATATCATTTTTTTTATATTGGATCCCATCCCATCATTATTCCCCACCTGCATCCTATATATCGTCATAACTTGAAGCACAGTGCCTATTCTATTGCTTGGCATGCATGATCCCAGATGTTTTCTTTTTCTTGTAACATTTTCCGCGTTCAGGGGTTTCTGCGGGTATAATACAATCCAAACATTGAACATTATGACCATTGATTGGTTTCATAAAAAGTAAGAAGCCAGATATAAAAGAAACCAGGTTGATAGGTGTCTAGTCCACTCACTTACTCAGTTGATACATTTTCTCTCGACCATCTAGCGTAGCTGCCATTTTAATAATGAGATTCCATATTGGCCAGTTGGAGTTTGACCCCAATGTGCTCAGGTACGCAGTTTACTTGAATATCATGATGACGCAGACCGCCACTCCTTCTAAACAGTATATCAACACCTGATCAATTTGGCAAGGCAGATTCATTCAAAGCTTCAGTAATTATAGGTGAATACTGTTTTCGAATGTGCATGTCCGGACAATGGCCACCCCAGGCACTCAGTGTATGATACAAAAGCCGGCCTAGCAGCTGGCCGGGCACACAAGGCATGCACTCCCCATCTTAGCGACCCGGTCAACATGCTTCCACCCAACCTAACACCCAAATAGGCGTTCAAAATATGTGATAACAACAAAAAGCTATATCAGGGCAATCATGCTCATTCAACTAATGTTCTAATCACTAGCTCCCCGTCCAATTGTCAGAGTACGAGCAGTCTGTGTCCTTGCAATCCGAATATCTTTCCGCAGTGTCAATAAGGATACTGTTATCATCCTCGGGCCATTTGTCGGTATCGGTGTTGACATAAATATAGCTCCCCGAGGTAGTCCTCATTTTGTATTTGCACCTTTAGTAGAACTCAAGTTAGCTCTGGTATCAAATCTAGCCTGGCTTGAACAAACCACTCTAGGGGAGACAAACATGGTTGCACCTGAGATTTCAGACTGATGATATTTCTGAATTGTTTTGGCAGCCGAAGTCTGATGGATACTTGTATGGCAAGAGGCTGATAGAAAGATGCTGGCTTAAGAACGAGAGCACCAAACCCCCACCCCTTACTATATATAATTTTTGCTTTGTATAGCAAGCAGTACTTTATAGGAATTCCGAGAACTCCGGTCATTATCGGTTGGCTCCCCTCAATCCGCCAATCAGATGAGTCCCGAATTCTTGAGCTCTCAAGATACTGGCTGTAGAAGCTGACCTTTTGGGGAAACTATCATAAATTTTAAGCCAATTGAAAGAATAAGGTGACGAGCATGTTAAGTTGATGTGGAACTCAAATACCATGTAGCGTTTGAGTCGTCCTGGATCGGGCTTGATCCAAGTCATCTGTCATGTACGGAATAGTCCCAGGCGCATTGCTCACACGCGTCTCCTAATACGAAAAAGACGGCTTTATGATGCCCCCACCTCAGAGCCCAATCATCATAAGGGCTCTTACCCTTACCTTGGTAGTGCCGAGAATGAGCGGGCCAGGTGAAGTGTGTGCACTTGTTTATCTTCGTGTCAGCTTAATCGACCATTGGTCCACGACTGCAAATCTGCAGCAGAATCAACAAACCATAAGGAATCTGTAGGGTTGAGCAATCATGTTGAGGTCTTTGATTTTCCCGGGTCCCAGCAACGTTAGTATTATACCCCGCTCTTGGTTGCGGTGATGCATGTAGTCATCAATAGGGTTCACATCCATTCATAGTAACTACTTCCATGTGACCAATATATAGATGGTACATATGGATTCGCATCCTCCATCTGGAGCGGGCAGTGAGGCTCTCTTACGTCAGCCTCGGCCTCGAGCCTCAGCCCTGGAGAGCACCTGGGCACACCCAGGGCTACATCCATGACTAGTTGTCGAATGTTGTTCCTATCTCGGGTCAGTACGGTAGCCTTGTTTTCGGGTGTTCCATTTGCCTGTCCAGTACAAAGTAGGATTTCCACGGAGAAGAGGTGCGGAAAGAAGTTTCTATAGAACACACACTCATTTATCTTCGACACCATAATAACAAATTCTAGTCCTGCTTTATGATCCTTCTAGGCCTCCAAGCGCGGTGGTGGATATCGTTGAATACCCTGAGAGCAAGCCGTAGGCCACCCATTGATAGATCATAGGACCATGTAGTTTGCTAGTTCTTCTCCTTCTATACTCTGTCATTTCTCTATTAGAGATATCCCTTGAGTAGGGGTCCCTAGAATGTCTATTTCTTACCTCGACCTATCCGTGTATAGTCGGAATGACAACTGGCGTTCTCCTTCCTAATATTTTCAATCGCCCGTTCTCTTACCTTCCCGCATCTCGCATCACCTATCATTTAGCCTGGTGTTCACAATCGATCTAGTATCTCGATCCGCACCCCGTACCATTTCCCACATCTCATACAACATACAGTTTCACGAGACTCTGGGCACCTGGCACCTGTGGGTGGGCAGGTTCCAGGGATGAGTAACACTACTGGGCGGGGCAGAATGTGGCACAGGGTGGTGGTTGGTTAAGGCGCGAAATTACGGGAAAGGTGGCCGTTTCTGGCGTCAAAAGCGGCGTCAATTTTACAGGTCCTCATATTCTATATATGAAATGAGGACATTGACTTTCGTTTTCTGGTTACTTTTACCTCTTTTCGAGGGTGCCCTCCCCATGGGCTTTGGTGATGTCTAAACCGAAGGGACTTGGGCTGCAAATCAAGAATGAAAGAGTAGAACATGACTCCATGGTACATGATGATAAACTGTAGGTCACATCCTCTCTGAGCCCTAGATAGTCTGGATAATAGTACTACTATAACTATGAGCCTTATGATGAGCGCCATGAAATTGCGCAATTCCATGCCAAGAACAGCGCCCTTGGCAAGTGAACCTTTCATCTCGTTCGGCCATATCCCGAATATGGCATCCACTCTTCGTGACCATGAATACATATGTACGGAGTACAGAGTTCCCATGTATACAACATGACTGAGCCAAGCTGGCTAGTAATATTCCAAGCTTATCCGTAATCTTAATCTCACCAACAATATTGCAACATGGCACACAATCACCGGAGTGGAATGCTTCCAAGACTCTTGGCGTATCTATTCCATCCCACAAACCACGAATCTAAGGATCCAGGATGAGAATGCCTCCACGAGCCTCTTGGCATCGGTCCGACGTGACGGAGGCAACAGGATGAGATGGTTGGCAAGCCCCTTGGCATAAGTTGGAAGTCATTTGAAAGCGTCTCTGATCTGCTACAGGGCTCTTCTTCGATCACTTATCTCTTCCAAAATCGCCTCGTTCTCGCCACATGAATTTACAAAGGTGGAAATAGCTTGAATTTTTCTCATTTGATCGGTACCATCATGGTACTCGCCCAGTATCTGAAGAAGGTCGTGGGCTGGATCGCTCCTCTTCCAAAAAAATCCGAAGATGGTCGTGATCAATGGCCCTCGAGAGCGGCTTTCCTGCTGGCCGCCATGGGAGGCTGCGCCGGCCAAGGAAACCTACTGCGATACCCCTCAGTGGTCTACAATAACTATGGACTGCAATGGTTTATCCCCTACTTATTGGCTGTAATTGCCATCGCTATTCCGGCCCTTATTCTCGAAATTGCGATTGGACAAGCCTACCGTGGCGGGACAGTGATCGCGTTCAATAATATCAACCATCGGCTGAAAGGCGTTGGCATGGGCCCAATTCTGATCAGTTTTGTCGTCGTGCAATACTTTACGGTCAATCTAGCCTGGATCATGAACTATTTTCGCAACTCCTTCACTAGCCCACTGCCATGGGAGGGCAGAATTGAGGAATTTTACATGGGCGATGTCGTCGCCAATGTCGATCCGATCGTGGGCAATCTCACTGCTGGCAATGGTGCGGTTGCCAACTATACCGTGTACCCCGGTGTTGCTCTTATCGGCGAGACAGTCGGCTGGAGCGCCTTTATCTGGTTTCTGATATGGATTTCCATATTCCGTGGAGTCGGCTTGACAGGTCGTGTCGTCTACTGGACGATGGGTCTCCCGATTGTCACCACTATTATTATCGTCGGTCGTGCTTGCTCACTGGAAAATGCGGGCGAGGGTATCCGACTCTTATGGGCGACATGGAGGAGCGACCAACTAGCCTCGGGAACTGTTTGGCAAACCGCTGTCGGACAGGTCTTTTTTTCCACCGGTATTGGTTTCGGTTATTTCACTTCCTATGCTTCCTATAACTCCAAACACTCCAATGCTGTGATGGACGCAATTCTCATATGCGGAAGTAATATCCTGTTCGAGAACGTTGCTGCCTTTGCCGTTTTTGGGGTTGTAGGCTACCTCCGACGTTGGCCCCAGGATGGTGAGAGATTGGGTGCATTCGTGGTTGGTTTCCTGACGCTCCCCGAGGCTGTGCTTCACATGCCTGGTGCAAACTTTTGGGCTGTCCTTTTATTCTTTACCCTGGTGGTTCTCGGGTTTAGTTCGGCCTTTGTGATGCTCGACGCAGTTGCTACATTAGTCGTGGATTCGGGCGTGAAAATGTCACGACCGATGATTGTGACTGGCCTCACAATAATATCATTCCTTATGTGTTTGCCATACTGCACCGAATTTGGATTTTACCTACTGGATGGAATCGACCGATGGATTAACAATGTGGCCTTGATCTTTGTTGTGTGGTCGGAGCTTGTCAGTGCAACCACGGCTTATCGCTGGCACGACGTGGTAAGCCAGACAGGGCTGCCTGCTTTTGTTGTGTATAATTTCGGATACTTTGGTGGCCAAATCATCGGAGTTGCTATTGCACAAGGTATCTCGAATCCTCCAGCTGGCGCCGGCGCCGGCTTTGGGTTGTATATTGTCTGTTCGATAATTTCCACCCTCGTCGCCACAACCCCGGATACCAAAGCCTCCAGCTTCTGGGGGCGGAATCCTGTTCTCAGTCGATTTTGGTACCTAGCATTCTACTCTGTACGTCTTCCGCTGCCAACAGGTCTTGCAAACAAACTAACATTCGCAGGGCAATCAATTAAGACGTGACCTGAACGGCGTCGTTGGCGGTAATGGGAACTGGAACATCCCTTGTTTCTGGCCCATTTTACTCCGGTACGCCAGCGCGCCTATTCTGGCCATTGTTCTCAGCTTCGCATATCCTGAATTCCAAACCTTGCAGTACGACCCAATGATGATCGCTGGGTTTATTTTGGCGCACTTATGTTTGCTCTTGATTTTGCTCGGTCTGGTGTTGCCACGATACTACGATATTTTTATTCCCTCTCACCGGAAAGCCGAGGGCACTGAAGTGACGATCGCCAATCAGCTCAAAGACCAGGACTTTGTGCCAGAGGTCGGGGTGTTTGACTTTGAATCTGGCACGCCGGACTCGTCTTCAGCGTGGAAGAATTAAGAATTCTGACGGGATAGACTATATATCTTCTGTTGATTTAAGGTGAAGATGAGCTAGTTGTGTATTGCCTATACCTGGGTATTTGGATTAAAAGTTAATTATCAGGGTGGCTACACAGTAACTAGGAACTAAGTAAGTATGCAGTTACATGCCCAGAAGCAACTATGTATTAATTCACCATATTCGACGGTGCTATTCAAATTCCCTTATTATCCACCTGGAGCAGAGTAATATGCAACATATCTTTATGTGGTGCATATTCATGCCGTTCCTGACCCACCTCGGCGTCCCATCAAGGCTTAGCTCCTAGACCAGTATGAAGACCCTAGAGGAAGCAAAAATCAGTCTTTCTCAGAGTAGACCTGCTCGCGCAATTCTCTCTAATTTTTCTGTGCATGAGGCTAGTATGAAGATAAATATTCGCAAAGGTTTAGCTTTACCTCCATTGCAACTCGCGAACACCAAGGGTGAATATTCGAGCCACTTTTCAAATTAAATGGAGCATGACCGCGACCTGGATTTTCCAGACGGTGGTTGGCGCGCATGGGGTGTCGTTCTTGGCTCTTGGTGCGCCATGGTGCCCTCATTTGGACTTATGAATACAATCGGGGTGTTCGAGTCTTGGTTAGCGGACCATCAATTGAGAGACTATTCGAAAGCTTCCATTGGCTGGATATTCAGTCTGTACATGTTTTTTCTTTATTTTGGAAGTGTTCAAGTTGGTAAGTTCATTAATTTATCTCCTATGCAGGCCGACTAATATCTGAAAGGATCTCTGTTTGATGCGCATGGTCTTGCGCCTTTGCTGATTCCGGGATGTGTTGGGCTCGTCGCATCGGTGATGATCTTAAGCGTTGCAGAAGGTACTATTTCTTTCTGATCAACAAGGTGGTTCTGACGAGACTGATAAGCATTTGTATAGAATATTACCAATTTATGCTAGGGTTCAGTGTCCTTGGTGGTATCTCCTCATCAATGGTGTTCACCCCTAGCGTGGCTTGTATAGCCCATTGGTTTCTCAGGCGTCGTGCCCTAGCCACTGGTATAGCCGCGACTGCTGGGGGCATTGGAGGAATTATATTCCCTATCTTGATCGCCAACCTCGCGGATAGTCTAGGCTTCCCTTGGGCCATACGAATTATCGGTTTTATAAGTGCAGCATTCTGCTGTCTGAGTGTGGCGCTTTTGAGAACGAGACTACCATTAAACTCGACACAAAAAGGAATAGTCGATATTAGAGCTTTGAAGGAACTACGCTTCTCATTGCTGACAGCGGCCATTGTTCTGATCGATTTCGCACTGCTGATTCCGTTGACTTATTTGCCATCCTATGCTCAATCTCGCGGTATGGGAGATTCTCTTGCATACAACCTATCGTCTATCTTGAATGCCGCATCTATTGTTGGGAGGGTCGTCCCTGGATATTTTGCTGACCGATTTGGCCGATTTAATGTGATGATTATTACGACACTCATCTGCTCGGTGCTCATTCTCGCCCTATGGCTTCCAGCCCAGTCGAACCAGGCGGCTATTTTGGCATTCGCGGTGCTTTTTGGATTTTGGAGCGGCACTGCGATCAGTCTATCCCCTGTTTGTGTTGCACAAATCTCCAAAACTGAAGATTTTGGAAAGCGATATGGTACAACCTATTTCTTGGTTAGTATAGGCTCACTCATCGCCATTCCAATTGCCGGCGAGATTTTGAAAGTTCAGACATCCGCAGGACAGGACGACTATACTGGTCTGATAGTTCTCTGTGGGCTAGTATATATTTGTGCATGTATCTTTTTTATCCTATCCAGGGGCGCGAGCGTTGGTTGGGGGTTGAAAGTTTTCTAGTACTTCACATGTTTCCCAACGTGAGGGGATCTGATTAGATTTTTCCACACGTATCTCAAGAGAAAGGAAGGAAAGCAGCATCGTATGTAGGTTCTCATTAGAAAGATTATAGAAAGATTAGTTTACTTGAAATCAAAATATTGGCAAGTCATACATTGAGGCAGCTAGAGTCCCAAAACAAAACAAGCGGGGCCGATAAGATCCCCTTCCCCCGCGCTTCAACATGAAACACCAACCATCTCTTCTCCCTTTCAACACCCACCCAGTTCTCTTTTCTCTTTTTCCCCTAAAACCATGGGCCGATCAAACAAACCCTCAGCAATTGGAGTGGGAGCTTCCCTCCCGCAGCCCACCCTCTCCATTAAGGACAATATCATCGAGGCTTCGTTGCCCACTGGTCAGTCAGTGACCGTGCACCTGTACGGCGCTACTGTGACCTCGTGGAAGACAGGCGGGCAGGAGCAACTGTTTATCAGTGAGAAGTCCCATCTGGATGGCTCCAAGCCTATCCGTGGTGGAATTCCGCTGGTGTTCCCGGTATGTGAACTCTACGATTTCTCTAGAGCTACAGCTAACCGCCCTGCTTATTCTCAAGGTCTTCGGTCCCCCGCCCCAGAACCACGTTACCTCCCCCCTACCACAACATGGCTTCGCTCGCAACTCCAATTGGGAGTTCTTGGGAAAATCCTCTTCCGAAGCGCCCGGAAGGGATAGCGACCATACCGATCTCACTGTGAAGTTGGATTTCGGGCTGTCGCACTCTATGCTGACCGATGAGTTCCGTGCGGCATGGCCATATGAGTTCGGTCTGGTGTACAGTGTTACTCTCACCACGGACTCACTGGAGACATCATTGCAGGTTCGCAATGAGGGCCAGCAGAACTTTGAGTTCCAGGTGTTGATGCACACGTATCTGAACATTGCGGTATGATAAAACACTTCAGTGTTATTTTCCCCTATTATTTTTTCCGGATTTCCCGCTAATTTGGAATTGATGAATAGGATATCTCCGATATCCGTGTTAAGGGCCTCGAATCCAAGACCTACCTCGATAAGACCCTCCAAGGGACTTCCCACACTGAATCGTCCCCCGCATTGGCGATCACCCAAGAAACCGATCGCATTTACCAACAACTTGATCCTTCCGTTCCAGTTGTCGTTGCGTCTGCAAAGGATGACCAACCTTTGTTCTCGGTCACTCGGGAAGGTTTGACTGATGTTGTGGTCTGGAACCCCTGGATTGAAAAGGCCAAGAGCATGGCCGATTTCGGCCCAGACGAGGCTTACAGAAACATGATCTGTGTGGAGGCCGGTTCAGTATCTGGCTGGCAAACGCTTGAAGCCGGAGAGGCCTGGGAAGGTGGTCAGAGCATTAAGTCGCGACTGTGAAGATGAGAGGATATCCTGTCTCCTACTAGTGATCTCTGTGCATGATAGTTATGACCTAAAGACGCCTATTCCCAATTCTAAATCGAAGGTCCGCTAATATGACCATGTTTGATCTCTAACCTCACCTTGTTTGACCACAGCGTTTTGATAGATGATCCCCTATTTATGTCCATCCAAAATTCGTTCAAAATATCGATACACATGGTTTAAGAAAATTGAATGTCATCAACAGGCAACAATAGCCACGATTCCGGCCCATTTTTATTGTTTTTGGGATCCGTTCCTCATTCATCCAGAAACATTCCCATGCTCCATGCCAACAGGCGAAACACCCACAAGATCAATAAAAGATCGACGACCCTCTTTGCCCTCTTGGAAAGTAGCCAGTCGCTCAGCAGCCTCAAAGCTATAATGTGGGCCATGGTATTGGCGTCTGCCACGAAACATCCACCAAAAGGCAGTGAGAACCATCAAGCCGGCAACGATCACACTGGTATAGTTCATATTTTGAACAGTGGCCGGCAACACCAAGGGGAAACAGAAAAAAATAACAGTAACGGAAATATACATCAAAGAAACAATATTGACTGCCATCCCAAGTTTCTGTCCCATATAAAATGGCCCTGGGACTATATTTCCACGAACAGACAAAACATGAGGCAAGATGGCCCCGAAGTAGGACAGCGAACTTAATACAATAAAAGATGAGATCAGAGCTTGGAATGCTGTCGTGCTGCCGATATATATACACCCTAGACAAGTAACGAGCGCGCTCATAGCAACAGTAGCACGCACGGGGCAGTTCCGTGTCGGATGCACTTGGGCGAAATAGTTCGAAAACGGTGTTGCGTTGTCGCGTGCTAGACTCCACCACATTCGGCCACCGGTCACGAATGTCCCAATTAGAGTCGGGAATGTTGCGAGAAACAGAACTGCGATCAGACCGATAGCGCCACTATTAGACCCCGTCGCCTGTCGGTAGATCTCGGCTGTTGGGAAAAAGCCGATGTTGCTCGCAAAGACGGCGTCTAGATCTTGGATGGAGTAGAATAGGGCGATTAGGTACACAAAGGATGTGACAAAGGCCGTGAGCATCTGCAACATTATGCCTTGCGGGACCTTGATCTCGGGTTTTGGAACTGACACATTGTTAGTTACTGGTTTCCTTTTCTCCTATTTCCGACGTACCCTCTTCTGATAAATGGCTAATGCAATCGGGGACTCCAACTGCAAATGCAGCATTCAACAGACCAGTCATAAAGCAAACTCCGTCCGGCCACCCGCCCGTGTTGTTGTGGTACTCAGCCCACACCTGGGCGTTGCTGGCATGCTTTTTCGGCATCACCGTGAGAACCACCACGGTTGTAATAAGACCACACATTGACAGAGTAAGGGCGATTCGGTTGATAAGAGGTATAAACCGATTTCCTAAACAGACAATGGCACAACACGTCCAATTGACAATCTGGAAGACAATAACTACCTGCCAGGAGTGCCACTTCACAGTCGGATATCTGAGCAGATACATGGCCACACCCTCATTCCCTAGCATAGAACTCATCGATGATGCTGATAGCAGCCACGCACAAGCATTCAGATACCCAGTGAAGAACCCTACTGTGCGGCCTCGACTCCGGCTCAAAACTGATGACCAGTAGTATACTCCACCAGCAGAAGGCATAGAGGAGGCGAGCTCGGCCAGAGAAGCTGAGATGGTCGTGTAAAATATGCTGACCAGAATCAGTCCGTATAGAACGGCCATCGGACCGCCATTCTGGAGCGCGGCGACGATTGTACCCCCCGTTGAAGCCCAAGAACTTGGTCCCGTTAGTCCCTCGAAGTCTGATCGATGCAATCTCCGATTCACGATGGCCTTACTTTGCAATGACAATCCCCAAGCTTGTCAGACTCCAAAGTCCAAAGTTTCGCTGCAGCTCTTGTTTATGACCAAGTGTAGATTCCAGTCGTATCTCGTCCATTGCGGTATGACCTTTCGGGGACTTTCCGGTGTCTTTGGATGTTTGCGTTGATAACATCACCATTTTGCCTTGCATCATGCAGTGTTAGAGCGAATATTCAACAAAGGGATTGAGGCATGGTAGTGACAAGATAAGGAAAGAGAAGAGGAGATACATCACCCCACTAGGTTTAACGGAGCATCCGGGGCGCACAGGTAGAATTGGGCGTGTCGCAACAGAATGTAAAAAAAGTGACGACCAATGCCCTCATGGCTGCGACATGTACGGAGTATTACACAAGGTTCAAGGATTTACGCGAAGATGACTGGTCTGCACTTTTCTCCGAAGGGATGCATATTGTACTCCGTATAAGGTGCGGAGCTAGAAGTGTTATTGCCAATAGTATCGCTATTTTTGTTTCAAAAGGACCTATACTCCATACTGGGGGCATCTACACTATCCAGATGTATTACGATCCTGGTTCCTGATTGGACTTGTACGAGTCGTTTCTTATGGCCTTCCTAAATCCGATCTGAGTTGATACATGGCTAAGCAAGGGGTTCGTGGCGAATGTGGCATTTGGAGCGCCGATCCGATGGGCTTAACCACATTACAACGTAGCTTTAGGGGCGAATCTCATTCAAAAACTAGGGTAACCCTTGCAATATTGTGTTGAGGTCATGGTTATGAGATTTCGCAGGTTTCAGTTATTGACAGGCTGAATATATTCCACATTCCAACATTGTCAACGGTCTGCTGCGCAACATTCGATTGGTCTGTGCCATGCATACAATTGCGATCCCCTGGATGGCCCACGTGGCCTCGTGTGATCGATTATCTGCATTATAAATATACGAACACGGAGTACAGAGTGCTTCGCTGCTTGATTAATAACACCAATCCTTATCTTTTCTTTTCTAGTAGAATATATTTATCGACTGGTGCGCAATGTTAGCCCAAGCCTTTGAGAGATGCACTATATATACATATGTATATTTTAATTCCACAGGGAGAGCCAAGTAGCCGGGAAATGATATTGAATGTGATCCAACACCATCGAGAGTTACCCGATGTATCAGCATGAGTGAGGTTATATGCAAACTACCATCCTATCAGTATCCATGTAAGTTCACAAGAACCTGTGCAATTTGAGTATCTTCTTCCTGGTGTCCTAGCAAAGTGAACGATAGGTATGTATCGACGCCATCGACAGACTCTAGATACCCTTTGACCATTGTCCCACCAACCAGGCGCCTTTCCAATAGCTTCAGGCGATAATGATCAACTTTGAACAAAACACGACTAGATTAAAATTCATCAACAATATACATCATGCAGCGATGCAATACAAAAGGGCTCACTGGTAAATTCATTTACGAAGTCAAACATGTCATTGAATTCCAATCATGGAGAATACAAGTTAAACTATTAGCGAAGGATAGAAGTTAGATGGAGTTATGGCACTGCCCGTGCAAGTTCTCCACGACTATATCCACTAGAACAGACGATCTAAAAGTTGTCATATTGAGGCCAGTCGTAGAAGAGGTAGGTCCCATCAGTAGATCAGGCGGATTGTAAGTCTTCAAGAGAAGATTTTCGACATTTCAAGTTGCTCTCAGTGACACAGCTCCTGGCTGTCGCCCATGCTGTTGTGGGTGTTCTTGATATCAATGGTCGTCTGTTAACGAGGTGGTCTTCTTGGCCTTATTGGAAACCCCAAGGATCTCGACCAGTCGAGGACACACCTATATATCCAATGCCATAGGGGGTGGATGTTGCGGATCCGGCGCATGTACGGAGTATGCAAGGCTTAATACTGGAATTCTCCAATATTTCTCACCTCAACAAGCTCGCGATTGGCCATACTGTTTATTTTTGCATTCCAAAGCCACCACATCTTCCTACAACATACAGATTGAGAGTAAAACCGTAATATATATCGTGTTCAGTTCGTGGCTCTCCGTGTGGATGGCTTTAACTGACCTGGCAGAGAGCAATTTTATATTAGCCTTGTACTCATTGATTCGTCTGCTACTAGCAATAGCCAGGCCGTCACCAAGTGGTTTCATCAGCTGTCAAATGAATGAACCCCCTCTTCACAACATGTCCGAAAGCTTAAATCATCTGGTATTTTCGCTCACGTGGCCGTTCGAGATCTCAAAATCTAGATTTGTCGAATTTTTAAGCAGCAACAACCAATGTCTAGTTAGCGCTTATACTGCTTTCTCATCCTCCTTCGTGATTCCAGAACTTCCCCGGTGCCAGGTAAATGGGTCGACCAGAGAGCTGTAAATGTTGTCACCGTAGTGCTTCTAGGAACCGTGGAGCATTGGGTAGCCACATTCATACAACTGAGCAGAGTTGAGGTGCTCCCACACATGCACCAGCGGCCTTTCAAATTGGAAGATAACTAAAATGACCTACAAAACTTGGCATTGTGCAAACCATTCGAGGTAGAAGATTCCCTCGGGATGAAATGCAGAATGTTCAACATTCATATCAAGGATGATCTTCAGACACAATTGGCCTACCATATGAGTCCTTACTAACCATTTTGGCTCGCACATCGCGCAAGTCTGTTTTTTAATGGAGGATCACATCAGGCGGAGCTATTGAATTTCGCTTGGATCGCTACGCAGATCGATGTTCCGAAGTCTCCAATAATGTCAGCCGCACGGCTCATACGTATCCACTATGAGATATGACCTGTCAAGAGTTTATTTGCACTGGAGAGAAGAGGCATGAAGATCACCAAGCTATCGGCAATGTGCATATGGGAACCTTATGGCCCAAAATAAGAGTCCCGATCGAATGGCGATCAAGGATAGGACTAATATTGGGTTACACCAAACTCTCGCTTAGCCTATCCTCTTGTAGATATCGCGCACAGCTGCGTCACCATTTGCACAACGTTGGGCATCTACTGGAATACTACGGAGTACTCGGTGTCACAAGGTGCTTTTATCAGCCTCTTGGCCTGACCCGAAGGACTCGAAGACACAACGGAGGAATGTGATGCAAAACCTTCCCCCCTATGTATATCTCTTCCGTACTCCATAGCTATGTTGTACATTCCAAGCCCGACTGCCATCAACCAGGTTGGCACTTCGAGTGAATAAATCCCTTGCGTCTGCGCCCCATTTTTCCTTGTTTGTCAGCCAACCCTACCCCAGCACTAACATCTCACAGGCTAAGACGCATGACCCTACAGCCTGTCCTCGGTTGGCAGGCTTAAAATCTATCCCCGAGACTTTAGCTTAGCCGACTAGATGAAATATTTGCTCTTTTTGGCGCAGTAGCCTATTCCGAATACATTTATAGATTTATCCGGGCTGCCAGTAAACAAGTCATGGCACCAATTCAGCCCTGTCATTGATATTCCTCATCATAACGCTTCTAAATCGTCATTTCTCATATGGCAGATTCGTTCTATACCGTCTTGGCATTTTGAGGCCGGGTTCAAGCCGAAGATTGCTCTATCCGTCGAGATGGGAAATGAGTCGCCCACCCCACGCCAGCTCTTCACAGAAGCTATTGTCTTCTGGTCTATAGGGTTTGTCATTTATGTCGGGAGAATGTAAGTTTGAGATGCAAGTATGGAATTGAGCAATGCTAACTTCAACAAAGCTTGGCTCGTATAATCGCCAATGGATATGGAGTCAAACGGTTACTTGGTAAGAATTACACGCTCTAATATTTTTTTCATTCTACTAACAATTAACTCTTTAGTGGACGACTATGTGATGACGGCGACCTTCGTAAGTGTTACCTTCGAGAATCAGGTCACTTCTTTCCACTGACCCGACGGCTCCTCAAAAGGCAATCTATACCACACTGCTAATACTGATCCAAATATCGGCCCGCTACGCAACGAACCTCATGGACCCGAAGGACTACAATAAGGTGTTAGCAGACCCAAAGCAAGTCAGCGATCGAGTGTATGGAAGCAAAATTGTCATCGGTTTGGAGCAATGCATGTTGGTCTCAACCTGGGGCGTCAAGACATGCATGTTGATTCTGTACTGGCGAATCACGCAGAATCTGAAATCGAACCTCTATATCAAGATCCTTTCCATTTACACTGCCGTCGGATTCGTCGTCGTTATGGTCACCTACTATGCAGTTTACTGTCGGCCGTTCTCCCAATACTGGGCCATGCCGGTGGATAACATGCAGTGTGCGACATACCAGTACTACTCGATAACCCAAGCCGTCTTCAATATCTCTTCTGATGCCATCATGTTCGCCATCCCAATTCCCCTCCTAATCAAAGCCCAACTCAAACGGCGCAGGAAATTTGTCCTCATCGGCGTGATGAGTCTGGGCTTGTTCACTATCATTGCTGCTATCCTAAACAAATATTTCAATTTTGCCTCCCCGCTCACAACCACCTACCAAATCTGGTACATCCGCGAAGCCAGTACAGCAATCTATGTTGCTAACCTCATGTGTTGGTGGCCACTATTGCGCAGATTGTTTGGCGTCAAGGCATTCCAGTACAACAGCGACCGAGGAAAACGACCTGGAAACCTTCAGAACAATGATTACTCCAACAACTCACAATCTCGTCCTTCATTCACAATCCATCGCTCATGGAAGCCGCTTTTTCGTCGAGGAAACAAATACACTCCGCCAGGCAAGTACACTGGCGGCAAGCGCTCGAGTACTGAACCCATTAACAGGTCCAATACCGAGTTCATAAGCGACATGCACCGTCTTGAAGCTGTTCCCCTGGAAGTCTGGACCAAAAAGGAGGATCTTACAACTGATATTTCGATAACCCAAGGCCCACCCAACTTGTTTGAAAGACAACATGAAGTTCAATTGGACCAAAAGCAACACACACACTCGCCTTGCTGATATGAGGATGTGCTTGTTTGAAATTTTTGTTTATTACCTGTACATTTAAGAGACAATACTGGTGACTGGTTAGCGGTTCTGTGTGGATCAATCTATGTTGTAGTATTTTATGCTCAATTTCTTGCTCATAGTTTACGGCAGTAATATACTTTGTAATGTGAGTATTTTACACACCTAAATACACCAATATCACACTGATTCTACATATTTTATATACATATTAAAGGTAAAAAGCAATTGAGTTCTTGTTTCAACCCATTTATTTATGCCTGTTGTGAAAGTATATCGGAGGCTCGTCGGTTCTAGATATCTTTAGAATCGGATGAAGCTGAGTCCGGTGAATTTTCAATTTCGGGTCTACTAATGCAAATGAGGCGCCGATAGTCTAGTGGTTAAGACTCCGCTTTCCCATAACAGAATTATTCTGTCACCAAGCGGCAGCCCGGGTTCGAACCCCGGTCGGCGCATTTGTTATTCTTTTTTGCCCTCCTTGGTAGGTACCGGCAGATGCCGATCTCACTAACATGGCACCAATTCTCTAAGTGTTTGGCCGATACAAGCAGTAGACTCTCAAGAGCTACTTTCTCGAGCGACAAACATCCACAAGGGAGCAACTACTACTAAAACGAATACATATGGACTTTTGGGGATTACCCCTAAATGGTTCCTCTACAATAGAAACCACCCTGCGGTACATGAATAGAAAGATGACCGTGTTATGGCTCTTAACTCATATCAAACGTTCATTCGTTCTCTACATAATCCTAAAATGGAATTTATTTTTGGTCTCGCGGTTAACTCGGCAGCATCCCTATCGCATCTACCCCACGCAAATGTGGGGAGAAATGGTGTCATAGCTCATTTTCACCCCGACTTTCCTCTAAATAACAAAGATCACAGACCAGACTCTGCCGTACGGAGTACGAAGTACAGATATAAAACTGCGAGGTTAGATCTCATAACGGCAGTGTCGTACACTCCGATCTGTGTATACCCCACGCGCGCGTGACAGCTTCCCGAGTCGGGACTTTTCTGTTGATGGGGTCTTCTCCGCAAACTCAGAACCATGGCCGAGACCGCCAGGCCCGAGAAGATGTCCACCTTACCTCCCAGGACGCTTCTAACTTGATCGATCATCATGCAGACTTATCGAGCAGTGAAAGCGACACCGATATCGAGAGCGATGACACCGCAATTTTCGAAAGCGTCTCTCAGTCGACGAGGAGATTAGAGTCCGCCCCGCTGATAACAAATCGCCGGCGGTTTTCCTCTATTGACGAAGATGATGATCATGACGGCGTGCTCGGGCCGGCCGAGGACGAGGAAAAACCAGTAACTTGGAGCTCGTTACCGAAGAAGGGCCAGTTGGCAATCTTGACCTTGGCGCGACTGTCAGAGCCGTTGACGCAGACATCTTTGCAGGCATACATGTTTTATCAGCTCAAATCATTTGATCCATCTTTACCAGACTCGAAAATCTCGGCGCAGGCGGGTATCCTCCAGGGTAGCTTTACAGCCGCGCAATTTATCACCGCTGTCTGGTGGGGCCGTCTTGCTGATGCTGGATGGATGGGACGGAAGCGAGTGCTGTTGATCGGGTTGATGGGCACTTGTATTTCTTGTGTAGGCTTTGGCTTCTCTCGATCCTTTGCGACGGCAATGGTCTTTCGAACATTGGGCGGAGTATTGAACAGCAATGTGGGAGTGATGCGGACGCTGATTGCAGAGATTATTGCCGAGAAGAAGTAAGTTGATATGTTCACACAATGTGCCAACTTGCCTTAGGCTAACCATTTAGATATCAATCACGCGCATTTTTACTTCTACCCATGTGCTTCAATATTGGTGTAATCATAGGTCCAATCTTGGGAGGCTCTTTGGCCGATCCTGTCAGCAGCTTTCCGCAACTTTTCGGTCCAGGATCTACCTTTGGAGGTAAAGAAGGTGTCTGGTGGATGCAGCATTGGCCCTATGCTTTGCCGAATCTTTTGAGTGCAATCTTCATATTTGGCTCATTTTTCGCTGTATTTCTTGGGCTTGATGAGGTAAGGTCATCCCTGCCCAAACCCATGCCGTCACTAACAAAGAACCCATTTTAGACCCATGAAATTGCACGTTATAAGAGTGACTGGGGTCGTAAATTGGGCAAGCGGCTCACGAGAGCTTGGACCCGACGATCCCGGCACTATCGTCCACTGACACGCTCCAGAGATGATGAATCTGTTTACACGGACGGCAGCGTTGGTGCTTGGTCTACGCCATCAAGTCCAGCTCGCTCCCGCGTACATCCACAGCCGCGTAAAAAGATAGGGTTCCGCCAGATCTGGACACGCAACGTTATCTTAACTTTGGTGGCTCACTTCCTGCTCGCATTCCACACAAGTGCCTTCAACTCTATGACATTTGTATTTTTGCCCGCACCCCGTGCCCCAGAGAACTCCCGGCAAGGTCTTTTCCATTTCGGTGGTGGATTAGGTCTTCCGTCATCTCGAGTTGGGCTTGCTACTGCTATCATTGGTTTGATCGGTCTGCCACTCCAGATCTTCCTATATCCGCTGGTACAGACAAAGCTCGGCACGCTCACGTCATTCCGAATGTTCCTTCCCTTTTCGCCCATTGCATATGTGCTAATGCCCTTCCTTGCGATTCTTCCACGCATATCATGGATTGTTTGGCCCTCCTTCACGTTTGTCGTTAGCTTACAGGTCATCTCGCGGACATTCATCCTGCCTGCTGCTATCATCCTAGTGAACAACTGTGTCACGGATCCATCCATCCTAGGCACAGTCCATGGAGTAGCGCAGAGTATCTCTAGTGCAGCTCGGACATTGGGCCCTTTCCTAGGTGGCTGGGGGCTGGGCTTGGGCCTGCAGAATAACATGATTGGGGCTGTCTGGTGGGCACTGGCTGTTGAGTCTTTGATTGGTTGGGCTATGCTGTGGAACATTTACGAGGGCAAGGGAATCGAACGCAAGAAATATGAGACAGAGGAAGATGAGGAGTGATCTTTTTCTTATTTGTTGTTAAGAAGCATTGTCTGCACTCCTTGAAGTGACAACCAGACCCCTAACATAAAGAGCGAGATTTGATATGTAGCGACTAATTTTTGTTCCTATCTGCTTCGGTTCACCTAAACTCATGAAATCATGGAAAACTAGCAGTAAATCATTTAGGTCATCACGCCTGAATAGATGGGGCAATGAATGCCTTCATTGCCTTGGTGACATCCCCATCATAAGCCTTGAGCAACTCCGTGGCCTTGATCTTATTTAAATCCAGTTGCTCAACCTAGAGTCATATTAATAAATCCGCACAAACACGAGTACCAAAGCCATCAACATAGCAAACATACCAGCAGTGTAACATCAGTTGGAGCAACCTTAACTATCTTCTTTTTCACCACCCCATCAGCTTTTGGTCCCTCGGCGGTCGTCTTGCCGCCCGAGCCTTGCCCAGCAGCTATCTCTAGCCTGCTCATAGCTCTTCCCAGAGCCTCTTGGTTTGCAGTAGACGGTGCTCCAGCGGAGGCACCCTCCGTTGCGATCTCATTTGTGTTTAGGGAGGAGAGAGCGGCGGCGGCCTTGCGGTCTTCAGCGTTTGAGGGGATGGTCTTTTCGACAGTGTCTGGGTCAGCAGTTGCAGAGGGAATCGCATCAGACATATTTGCTTTGTTCAACGGGCTTTGGGAGTTGAACTTGAGCTTGACTTGAGCTGTGTTTTGATAACGTCACTGATAACTAAGCCCTGGGTTTAGATAAGTGATGACATAATCGCTTATTTGTTCCGACGGCAAGGCCGAATTTGTTCCAAGATTATTACGCCTCTCTCTTGCTTTTCATGTTTGACTTAGTATCTTATGTTTCTAGATACTTTGGAACTATTCACAGCTAAGACCCCTTTCGGGCGACTCCACAGCTTGCAATCTCCACTTTCAGGCTCCGCTTTTGAACACTCCGAAGAACCCCGGAAGGCCAGTTGCTACAATCTGTCACCATAACAATACATCAAAAGAAATTGCACAATTAGTTTAATTTGACAAACCTTCAACACGGAGGAGAGAAGAATGTACGACCTCCGGATGAGATAGCCAAGGCTTTAAGTATGGCTCTGGTCCAATCAATCGATCATCGATCATCCTTTAGCACACCCTAACTTGTACCATCCTTGACCAAATTCGCCAAGCCATGGCAACCAAACGGGCGGTCGTAACGCGGCTCGATGTAAAGCATCGCTTGGCAATGGTCATGAACAACCACCACAACAATCCCAGCGTTGTAAATGATTCAATAGCTTGATTCCAAGCAGTGGACTTCGTGCCATTTGGGCCAAGGATCAATGAATCTAGAACTAACTTAACGTAAATGCGGAGAAAGCTGATGTGAAAGATGACGCGGAGCAGTGCCATAAATATATCCCTCGATCAAGCAAACATATCGCGAGTACGCGCGTGCTCGGACACGTTGTAGCAATATGATCGTAGACACATGCAAGAATGCTATCAGTATCAAAGATAAACCAAGGAAACATCTAGACCACCATGAGGAAATAGAGGATGCAAAAAAGCTAAAAACAAGACCGAAGACGACCTGGTTGCGAGGAGCAATTGAAGAGGGTCGGAAACATGCAGTCTGTAGATTTATGTCAAGGTGAAGGGGAAGTGCAGAGCAAACTGGGAAGATTTCTTCCCTGAAGCCCATGGCCTTGACTTGCTTTGTTAGTGCAAATTCGTCCTTGTGATACTTCGACCTCTAGCTGGTTGGAATGAATAGAAAAAGGGATAAACGGCTTAAACAACGGCCTTTGTGCGCTTCTATCGCTTCGACTTTAGACCGTATTGGCCTTAGTTCAGACGAGTAAGCCTTTGTCATTTCCCCAATGTTTTGCAATGCTTCCGTGAAACAAAAATATGAACAATTGCATTCATAACTTCCATTGTTAACTCTTGACCTATTCAATCAGGTCGATATCGATTGCAAAGGCTTAAATAGCTGAACTTCAACCACCGCCGCCTCGAGTTATCCTCACCGTCCATATCTCACTCGATCCATTAATCGATTAATAGGTTATATCCTTGCCCTCTCTTTTGATCCTTGATCTTTTTTGGAGCATTGATACACCCGCAGCCACATCCCACATCCTTCGCAAGTCTACCATGAGCACCGCCTTTCACGATGCCTCCAGCCACGGAGAATCCAGCCATGGATCAACCCTCCCTTGACGCCGTTTCAATCTGGGAACAGGCCTATTATAATGCATGGCGTCACTTGCAAACCTGCATCGTGGAAGTACTCAACAGGCTATGCTGGAGCAATCCATCCCCGGAGGATCGCCAAACGACTATTGAAAAACTAAGCCATCTTCCAATTGAGGTGGAAGATATTCAAAGCACAGGACAGGCCATGTTTGAGCATGTTCCAGGTTGTCAGACGGTGCGGGAGAAACCCCTTACTTACTTCGTCGTTGATTTCATCCGGGACTGCCTCAATCTCCATTTTAGGCTGAATGTGTTGGCATGGAGACTCATAAATCGCCCGAGGAGTGACAGAGCAGTTTACAATCGTCTTCTCAGGCTGCTGGACTCTATTAAAGATCGGGTGCCTGACTGATGGCTCGATGGTTTGGTTTGTCAGGCTGAATTACCTATCTATCTGGATTGATTTCGAACATATCTAACCTGGAAGCTTATGAACAGTCCGCAAAGGAAGCAACATTATTACAACCTTCTGGCAATGTTGGAATGAATGTCAAATGGTTACAATACCTGGTTTTGTGAGCCCCATATTCTGATTCGTTAGACCACATCACTACCTGTATTGAGATTGAAAATACTAACATCTCATATTATGCAGCCTACGAGAGGAACGAGCGATTTACCATGCTTTTCTTATGTTTCCAGGATCTCAATGGTACCTGGAGTCGGACGAGACAAAGGGTTAGAATCATACGTTTTACAATTTTGGATTCTGTACTCCGTATAAGACGCACAGTCGGGGCCGATCTCGTAATAATAGACAAGCTATATCGTCATATGCAGTCTATATCGCTCAGCACTTAGGGAGTATCTAGGCGATAATTTATCCCATACTATACTTATCTATAGTGAGATCAAGTACCGATATAACAATGAAAATAGGTAGTATACATATATATCCATGCACAGAGAGTAAATGTTCATTATAAACTGTCAGGTAGGCAAATGAATCATTCAACAATACTCTAGAGGGCAAGAGCCAGGGCCAAAACACCAACTGCACCAGCAACACTCATGGCAACACCCCCAGTAGGAGCAGGAGCGCCACCGGTAGATTGCGAAGAGGAGGGAGAAGACGATGTAGAGCTGGAGCTGGAATCAGAGCTGGAGCCCGTGGTAGTGGCGGAAGCCGAGGTGGCCTCGGCAGCATTGGAGGAGGTCTGGCTGACAGGGGTGGTGGAGGCAGTGACCACCACGCTGGAGCCAGTCTCGATGGGACCACCACCACCAACAGCCCTAGTCTCAGTGGCGCTACTATCAGCGGTTATCGAACCACCAACGAGGCCGTCACCGAAGTTGGCAGTGGCCCAGGACTTGACGCTGTTAGGCAATGCGTTGTACCAATCTGGGTAGATGCCAGCCGAAGCGGCGCTGTTGATCGCAGAGCGGGAGGCCGGGTCCATGAGATCATTATACCATGAGTCCGGGATGGCTGTTGCTAAAACAGCCATAATGGAGCTAGGCACATCCGGGACATCGTAGTCATCGCTGTCGGTAGTCTCAGTGCTTGAGGCTGTAGCAATAGAATCCGCAGGGGCAGCCAGGGCCGTGGCGGCGAAGAAAAGAGTGGCAATGATCTTATACTGCATGGTTAAAGGAATGTGGTGGTATAGAGATGATGTTGAAAGAAAGAAAAGGAGAAGGCTTAAATACTTTAGGAACTAGGTGAAGAAACAACAATGGGGGCTCACTTTAAAGGGTCTTTTCTCCTAATGTCATTAGGGCCACGCTATAGTGCCAAACAAGCAAAAGCCAAGTTGGCCACGCCAACTTGAAATGTATACGCGACGGTTAAGTCCGGAGACTAGACCAATCACAATCTGCAATTGCCTTGTGATCGGCCAAATCATGACCGATTTGATCAAATTCCCTCGGCACTAGTTTCTAGATACGAAAGTTGCTAAACAAATTCGACATAGACGACGCCACGACTCAGATTAATTCCGTATCCCGTCAGCATTAACTTGCGATATGCATTTTGCCCCTTTTTATTGTTTCCGTGGTCCGTCCTTCGCCGTTCCAAATTTAGATCAAAGGCTTACTATGCCAAGTCTGGGGTATTGAGGGCAAAATTATCCCTGTAGGAAGATACGGAGTATGTACCGATATATAAAATTCTACTGACTCCAATTAGTCTATTAGATACTCCATATAACTACTATGTTATAGCCAACAATTTACCGCAAGGTGCTTTAGATTTTCACCCTGGGGCTGGTTAAATATTCCTATTCCTAATCTTCATTCTTACATATGTACGGAGTACGGAGTAGGTATGGAGTAGTCAACTCTATCCGCTGCGATTTATGTTGGAAAATCCCGGAATCCTTGTATCACTTGTCAGGCCCAATAAAAGTTATTAGAACAACTCTGCATACTGAGGATGTTTTCCCGTATAAATAATCACTTCCCCTCATACCAGCAAAATCAAGAGTTTAAGAACAGGATATGCTCTCTTATGTTCGATTTATGTTGTGCTAGTCCCGTTGTAGCAATCATCAAATACAGTTCTGCCTACGCAGTACTATTTTGCCTCTTCTTGAACCCGAAACCTTACATGCAGCATATGTGATACATCATATAGTACTGCAGACTATGTGCGATATTTTTTCTTATAAAAAAAAGCTCTGCCTAGCTTAGAAGACCATTTGCAAGGTTCAAGCTTCATTGGACGAAGAGATCCCTGAAACTATCAGAGACAACATTTTTAGACGCTCAGACGATACTACCGACGAGGCTCTTTTCATCGTTGTTATGTTATAGTCACTTAACATGATTGTAAATTCAGCTATGAGATTTGCTTGTTTGCTCCGTACAAGGAGGTGAACTTCGTCGTTCGATGCATAACACAGGTCAACTTCGAGAACAGGCATTCATCCACATCATCAAACAGGTCCGTCTTGAACCCACGGCCTTTCAAAATCCTTCGGATTTCAAAGGAAGAACAGAACACATCATCTGGGTCACAACAACTCCTCCATCCATGACTGTACATGCCAGTGGTACCCTTTGAGGCCAGAAGAATGAAGGTTATAGGTTAAGAGGTTGCCAGTGAGAGTTCAATAAGACCATTAGATTGCCCTTGTTTCCAATCAAATAATACCGTTTGATTTGAAAATGGTTATATGCAACTCTTAGTAGCAACCTCAACTGTACGACATAGTCACACAGAGGAATGAGGAATGTGGGATGGACATAGTGCCTAGAATATCAGGCATCAGAATGAGTCATCCGAGTCCCGTGAATAAGCGTATCACATCACCTGCATCCACCACAATGTTTTTCTTTTGTTATATGCCCTTGATATATTTTCGCTCGGTCCTTTGTTGCCATCTTTAAGGAATTCTTACTATCCAATCGCCTATCCCAATTCTTAAGAATTATTGCATTTATTTATTATTGCGGATCAAACGGAAGACACTAATATCATTCCCCCCCACCTTACGGGATTACTTTCACCATGGCCGAATGGAGCCCTAGTTGTAAGAGAAAAAAATCTGGAAAATCTCTTTCACAATCTAATATCACTGACTATCTCTAGCTTGGACACAAAAGCCCATCAAGCAAGATGTTATCTACGAAGATCTTCAAGGGTTAAAAGACTCGCTACAAAAACTACAGAAGCTTCCTCCACTTGTGACTACACAAGAAGTATGTCTTTTCTTTAGATTGAACCATAGCTATTATATTGACCTGGTTTACAGATCAACAATCTCAAGAAAAGCCTGCGAAATGTCGCATTGGGCAAAGCCTTCGTTCTCCAGGGTGGTACGTTGCACAGGACAATATTTCCGAAAAGCATAACTAACCATTTAGTTCAGGCGACTGTGCGGAGCTTTTCGACTATTGCAGCCAGGAAATGATCGAAGCCAAGGTGAAGCTTTTGTTGCAAATGAGTTTGGTTCTCATCTGGGGTATGTTAGATCCCCCACAAAAAGCAAAGAAACTGGCAACTAATCGAAATAATTAGGTGCCAATAAGCCCGTCATTCGTATTGCTCGCATTGCAGGCCAGTTTGCAAAGTAGGTACCTCATTCATTAATCCATAAACACAAAATTGACAACAAAAAAACCAGGCCCCGCTCAAGTCCAACAGAAGTCATCAATGGAGTGGAAATGCCCTCTTTCCGCGGCGACAACATCAATGGCTTCCCAGCAGACATCAAATCCCGCCAACCAGACCCATCACGTCTAGTCTCAGCCTACTTCCACTCCGCGGCAACTCTGAATTATCTCCGTGCCTCCCTCTCCTCAGGCCTGGCAGACCTGCACTCCCCCTAGACTGGGGCTTGGGCCATGTAATCACGCCCTCGATCAAAGAGCAATACACCAAAATCGTAGGCGCGGTAAAGGATGCCCTGCGCTTTATGCACACAGTAGGAATTGACAAAGACCGCGGCTTCGAGACAGCAGACATCTTCACCAGCCACGAAGGCCTCTCCCTGGAATACGAGCAGAGCCTAACCCGACTCCTTCGCCATCCAGCATACCCAGGAAGCACTGCGGCTCCTGAAACAGGCTACTACGCCACATCCGGCCACTTCATCTGGATTGGTGACCGGACACGCCAACTCGGCGGTGCGCATGTCGAGTTCTTCCGCGGTATCGCTAACCCCGTCGGAATCAAGATCGGGCCTAGCATGAAGCCAGACGAGCTGGTGCAGCTGCTGGATGTTGTCAACCCGGACCGTGAAATCGGAAAGGTGACTCTGATCTCTCGGTACGGCGCTGCCAAGATCGCAGATTTCCTCCCTGGTCATATTGCCGCTGTGCAGGCCTCTGGTCACATTCCTGTCTGGCAATGTGATCCTATGCATGGCAATACGCAGAGCACACCATCTGGTGTGAAGACCCGCCATTTCACGGATATCTTGTCTGAGTTGAAGCAGGCATTGGAAATTCATCGCGCTGCCGGGTCATTCCTTGGTGGTATGCACCTTGAACTTACTGGGGAGGCAGTCACTGAGTGTGTGGGTGGTGCTGCTGGGCTGACTGAGGAGGGGCTTGGAGAGCGCTATACGACATTCTGTGATCCACGCTTGAATGAGAAGCAGGCTTTGGAGCTCGCTTTCTTGGTTGCTGGATTCTACCGCGAAGAGTCGGAGGAGTGATGTGACACTTTGGTGAACGGAATACGGCGTATGTGAATGTTGAAACGGGACATCGAAAAAATTCCGGGTATTTATCATCGAGTTTCTCAATCAAAAGTCATGTTTTGCAAGTTCATCACGGACAGCAGTGTGTACTGAAATCATCTGGGATTGTATTGATTTAACTGAGATTCGAACAAAAGTAACGAGAATTAACCTCGCACACAAACAGTCCAACCTATCCCGCCTGCCGTCGTGGGGCAAAATTCAAAAAACGCCAAAAACAAAGATAGTCCCCATATATACAGTGACTGGGTATGAATTTACAAAAAGCAGACAAAGTAATGAATAAAATCAAGGACCAAGACGGCTACCGATAGCAGGCTTGTAAACAAGACTCTTGCGCCTAGCAGCCTCCATACGGAAGCGGCGCTGTCTCCTAGATTCCTCGTCTTGCCCATCATCCAGCAGAATACTAGCAGGTTTAGCAGTCGGGAAGAGACCTCGGTTGCTCTGCTTTGGAGGGCAAGATTGCTGGACAAGCTTGGAGCGATTTCCAAGGAATCCTGGTGTAGCGGGGGACATGCCAATGGCATCAAGATTGGCAAAGTTGTATCCCGGAGTAGCAGGGAATTGATAGCTATTAGCGGAAGATTGTTGTGGGGGTGTGGACGGCATCTCCTGTCGGTGAGTTGGAGGTGTGATCTTGCGGAAACCCTCGACAGCACCCGGATTGACACCACTGCGGCGTCCGCCGGGAGATGGCGCGGGAGATTCGGAAATGCGCACGAGTGTTCCATTCACATTGCTGAGTGCACGAGGCTCCATACTCTTGCGGCGCTTGGCGCCTCCGCGCGGGATGATAGAGCTGTCAACTGCGTATGGGGTTTCATCAAGCCATTGGTTTTCCCGTTCACAACTAGAGATAATAATGAGCAAAGCCGTGTAAATAAAGGGATACAGAAGATGAACTTACTCAAGAACCCAGCCGACTCCAACACACTTGACAAGACCCGCGGCCTTCTTGACTTTCTCCATAGTCCGCAGACCACCATCCTTGTATACAACATGGGTGATGCCAACTCTCAAATCCTTGGGCTCTACGTCATCAACCGGCGAGAGGCTGGTGTGAGGATTCCAGGACCAGGACTTCACACACCGAGCTCCCATTTGCTGCAAGAGTTCTACGAAGATACCAGAGGCATCCTCACCCTCGGTGGTATGAACATCCACATGCACGACTGCCCCATGGAGAGCCTTCTGTTCAGTACTGATGCTATGACGCGGCTTTTTGGCAGGGCTTCCAGTTGCGATAGAAGTACCGGGCGCAGCCATAACTGGTGCTTTTACACTGCTGCGCCTAGCCGTAATAGAGCGGCGTTTTGGTGTCGGACTTCTGCTCACCCGTGAGGATTTCCGGGAGGGAGACAGAATCGGCACACTGTCATTGAGTGCCAAAAAGGTTGGCTTACGAACACGCGGAGAAGACCGAGTGGGGGATGCGGTCGAGATGGACAGACCTCTCTTGCGGGACAACTTGAGAGGTGATACGTCGCCTTCGGCTTTCAAAGGCACTTTTGACACTGTATGAATGGTGCGCAACTCATCGGGTTGAACTTGAGCTTTCATTGGGGTTGACGGTAAAATTGGAGGACCGTAGTTCTCCTTGTCATCAAGTAGATCAAACTCTTGGCCCTGATCTTGCGGAATTTCAGCGGCAGGAGTATGCTCAAGTTCCAAGTCAAGATCCTCGAAGATATCCGTGCTTTTATATGGCGAGTGAGTTATCTGATGGTCTTCATAGATGGAAGATGGCTGTGGAGTCTGTGCATACTCAGGGCTCATGCAAGTATCATTGCTTTGAGGCTGAAGTGGCAATCCGGCAAGCAAAGGGGGAGTTTCTTCCAAGGGGCTCTTTGGCAAATTAGGATACGACACTCTATCAGAATTTGACGGAGTTTGCGTGTTGGAGCGGTCCAACGGGCCTACGAGCGAGAAGACTCCACGACGGCGCGGTCGGAGTGATCTAGCCTGGGAAGGGGTATTTTGTTCCCAACGGCCAAACTTTTGTGCCAATGGCGTAAAACCTAAGCTGACATCGGCAGGGGATTGGTGCTGCTCGGCAACGCTTGGTGTGTTGAAGAGACTAGGTGCCATTAACGCAGGGCTGTCAACCTGGCTGCTTGGCGTCCAGCTATTTTCTTCATGCAGGGGCGCGTCAATGATGACATTATTGGCATTCTTGGCATCAAGGGTGGAGTCATGATCATTCTCTGAGTTGTCTGGGCGATTCAAGGACAAAGGAGTAGATTCACCGCCTGCGGAACTCGGTTGCGGTGAAGGAATTACTTGAATCCTTTGGGGCGATGTTGTAATATCCTCAAGATGGCTACTCTCATGAGGCAAAGCAGGCTTTGACGAAATTGTAGCAAGCTCAGATCCGGCCAGGATAGACTCAGCGTCTTCCACCTCGCTCTCCTCGCGCATGACTCGCTCCTCTTCGTCAGGATGATGGACGGCCTCTTCTTGCCACTCACATTCACTCTCCAAGGGATATTCCGTGTCAACCGTTGGCTGAACTTCATTGCCATAGGTCAAGGTCAGTGGGGACCGGGGGGACAAAGAAAGGTCATTCGACTGCTCTTCCACATCTAGTTCTTGTGTCTCCGTAGTTTGCATGGGTTCCGGGGTTGATTCTTGGGACTGAACTCCAATATCAAGATACTGGGGCTCTTCTTCCTCGGGCTCGCTGTTCAGTACCGCTAGCTCTTCTTCGGGATAATTAGTGTCCTCCATGACTGAGTCTGCCACTTGACCCTCTTCGTCATACAAGTCATTTTGCGCGAGGTGTGCGTCTTCCATGGCATCAAAGCAAATTGTTCCAAGCTCCTCGTAATCAGATTCATTTTCGTCGTGGAGATCTTCGTCATCTTCCATGTCCGAGACTTCCTGGACTTGTTGGTATTGAAGATCATGCTCTGCCAATTGGGCGTCTTCCATGGCATCAAAGCAAATTGTATCAAGCTCCTCGTACTCAAATTCACTCTCGTCGTGGAGATCTTCATCATCTTCCATGTCCGAGGCTTCCTGGACTTTTTCGCCATGAAGATCATGCTCTGGCAACTGAGCGTCTTCCATGGCGTCAAAGCAAATTGTATCAGCTTCTTCGCGATCAAATTGAGCCTGATCTTCAATTTGTTCGCTAGCGCCGCGGTCTGAGTCTTCCTCGGGCTCTTCATCATAAAGTTCCTCCGTTGCCATATTGGCCTCTTCCATGATGTCGAAGCAAATCGTTTCAGGCTCTTCGTACTCGGGCTGAGCCTTATCGTGAAGATATTCACTTTCATTTTCTTCCAGGTCTGAGTCAACCTCGACCTCCACATCCACGGAGAGAGATTCAGTATTTCCATTATTGAATGAGTCTCGGGCTACTTCCGAGTCTGCAATATCTTTCTGAATAGGAGAAATCGACGATGCATTTCCATCGGAAGATAGCTCAATGCCAAAGCTGTCTCGAGCCACATCCTCGATCATTTCAGAGTCCTTGTCAAAAGTGGATTCATCGAGCTGGCTCTCCGCTGGCGAGGATTTGGGGGTGTTAGACTGTGCAAGTTCAACTGCCTTGGAAGGTGTTCCATCATTGTCCACGGGGTTAGAAGAGCCCACAGATGCGTGGGCAGAGAATATTGAGTTTTTGAATGGAGACGGTATTCTCTTTGCGGGGCTTTGAAACAATGGGGTTCGAGCAGGGGCTACTGATGTAGAAGCCTTGAATGGCGATTGCGAGAAAGATGCACCTAAATAAGCTTTCTTAGGTGACATCTTCAGTGGAGAAGTGTGTCCGGGTGTGAAATTAGGTGCGGAAATCGGATTCACACTGTCCCGGAAGAGAGAACCCCCACGATTCGGGGTCTCTCGCAAGGAGAATTGGAAGGGAGATGATGGCGCTGGTCGTCTCGCAGGACTAGACATGAACATAGAATCACTGAACTCAATTGGATTTCCAGGCGGGAGAGCGAGGTGACCATTATCTGCGACTGTGTTCTGGCTGCGGTTCGGCGCAAAGTTGATTTTCCTGACTGGGGAGCTAAGTCCGATGCCGTCTGATCCGTGTTTTGGGGTTGGTAGTTTCGGTTCGCCATTCTCGTCCATGAAGCTGGACGCCTTCTTGGGGGTAAAGTTGATCCTCCGTACAGGAGAGCTCAGCCCAGTATTCTCCAAGCCATGCTTGACAGGGGAGTGAACAATAAGTGTGACTAGATCATTGGCGTCGTCCTTAATGGCATTCAGTTCATCCTCTTCTCCATCGGAGCTTGCGTATGCTGATAAAGACTTGGCCACCTGCTTAGCCTTCTTGGGAGATAATGGTTTAGTCGCCTCCTTCGCTGCAACTGGCTTCCTTCCACGGGTACCGGTTGTCGCAGGCTTGCGAACTGCGGATGCTCCAAGGCCGGTCTTGCCAACGCCCGCTCCCTGGGTCGCTACACGTCGACGGCCGACAGCAGGAACCTCGGTCACAGATTCTTCGGCTTCGGAACCCGAGACATCCTGGAATTTCACCGTTTTCTTCTTAGCGGGCCCACGCAGAAGATTTGATCGCATGGCTGTGGAGTTGGTCGCAATCCTGATAAGGTTCGGTTTCATCTCATTGGATGTATCAACTACCGCTCGCGTCCGCCTGCTCGTTGCCGCCGTTGGGGCCTTCGCTGTTGTTCCCGCTCTTGGTCGTCCTCTAGTTTTAGGCGTTTCCTCGGACTTGGTGGCAGCAGCATCTGTGGGCAACGGAGTTTTTCTCGGTCTTCCGACACGCTTCTTTGGCGCCTCAATTTGTTTTCCTAGCTCATTCTCGCCGGGATTGATTTGGGGTTTTGACTTGTCGGCGAGAGACACAGAAGAAGCCTTCTTTCCTCGGGCAGTTGTAGTTGAAGTCACTCTTGGCTTGATAGCTGGGCGAGCAGGAGGACGTCCGCTGGGTTTCACAGGTTTACTCGTGATACATCCCAGCTCATCATCGGACTCAGCATCGAGAGCTGATGGCGCAGTCCGTGGGGCTGGTGTTGCTCTTCGAGGTGCCTTTTTCTTCGCATCGGCAGCGGCTGTCGACTTGGTCGAAGTTCGTGCCGCCCGTTTTGTAGGGGACTGTGGGATTACTGCAGCGCGCGCCATGTTGATATTGATATCGCCCGTTGTTGTCGTGGATGGTCGCAGTTAGTATTGGCACGCGACGCTCATGGCGCGTTTTGGCGGTCAAAAGTGGTATCGGCCCGATCTCGCAAGGTCGCAGGTTGTCGAATTAGGTGCATGAAAAAGGAAGCAAGGCAAAGCAAATAACCCACTGTGGAGGTGGCGGCTGTGATCCGAGGTTGCTTGTTGTTGCGTTTCCCATAGCAACACAGACACGTGATATGATCTACACCTGCAGAAAACACGTCAATAAGGATGTTACATCGGATTGATTCAATGACAGATCAAAACAACGACAAATTAGCAAATTAAAAGACCACCCCGAGGTCCCTAAGTTCTTAGATAGACTGCAAACTAATTATGAATTTCAATTACGCCATTATTTATGCGTCATACGATACATATTTCTACCGCATGTCTATACAGTTCAGTTTTAAACAATTCCCAATCCCGCTAGGTGTTATTCTGTTCCATAGCCTACCACTTGTTGGATGTCGATTTTATGAATCTAAACATACAGCCTCCTAGATTATATTCATAGTAGGAAGTGTAGAGAGCCGTAACCATTTGTCAATGCGCAGATGTAAGGATGCCAAAGGAATAATGTTGTATTGAAATGTGAACATGTTTCTTATATGGGGATATATTCATTACTATTGAATTGAATCTCATGAGATCTGGAGAAATCTAGGCAAATTCTAGGAAAATGAAATTGACACGAGGATGGCTCGACGGCACATCATGCATGCTTGAATCAAAAGAAGGTCAAATGGCGAAACAATTGTCTCGAATGCGAATAGAAAGAACGGCTGCAACATGGCAGTGTGAAGAAAAAGAATTTATAAACTCCGATTATGCCAGGATGAGCATTGCCAGGCCGGCTGCGACCACTGTGGACAGCATGGCGGGCAATTTCACCGAGGCCATGCTCTCAGTCAGGTAATAAGCAGGATCATAGTTGTGCGGTGTGGTGGAGTTCACAGTTCCGTTCCAGCAGTACCGGTCGAAACACTGGTTGCAGATATCGGGGAGAGTGGTACCAGTGCGCTCGAATGAGCGGCTGAGGATAGCACAGCCGACACAGGATGTCCAGTCGGCGTCGGTGGTGCCGTTGGCCATGGTGGCAACCTCGTAGCCATTGAGAATGATCTTGTCACGCTCCTCGTCGTCGGTGCTTAGTTGGAAGGTGGAAATATTGGAATGGTAGGAGTAAGGGGCATTGGGGATGTACACGACGAGAGGCGTGGGTCCGGTCTGATTAGCACTATCACAGCCAAAGAAAGATGGGCGGGTGCTGAGACCTAGGTTAACGAAGGTGTTTTGGTCTGGGACCGCAGGGAAGGCGGTGCCGTTGCCGATACCGCTGGAGTTCAGGCTGCGCTGGTAGGTGACAACCAGGGATGTGCCGTTGGGCCAGAAATATTCAGTGTCGGCCGAGGAATCGACGGCGAAGATGACATCGACGTGGCGCTCGGGTTGGATAAGAGGATGCAAAGGGACATTTTGTCCATCCTCGCCACCATCGACAACGTCCAGCATTTTTTGCGCAGCATACGGCGACGAGTGCTCGTTATACTTATAGAATGGGTTGGGATCGTACGAAGCAATGTCGTTTGAATCATTGCCTAGCCCGGTCAAGATTTTGTTGAAAACATTCTTTACGAATGAGGGGAGCGAGGTGGTGTTGATCTGGAGAAGGAACTGGTTGAAGAGTGTGGAGGAGGTTCCGATAACAAAGCCAGCATTGTCGAAACCGCTGATGCAGCTCTCGTTGCTCGGAAGCAAGCCACCCTCGAACTTAGAGCCCAGATACTTAAGAGGAACGAAACCAAAGATAGTAGGGTCAAAGGTGCCAAACTCCCACGGGTTGAACTCATAGACGGTCGCGTTACCGCCAATAACTAGTTCACCAGGGTTACGTCCATCTGCAACAACAAATGGCATCGGGTAGTCTCCATCTTGGAACTCGGGGGTCTCGGCAATGGAAGACCAGGTATAGCTGACCCCACCATTGGTAGCATTGAACATTTGGAATGAGAGTGCACGGCCCCTGTACTCAAGTCAGCAAACACGCATATGCATCCCTATAATGTGGGATAACATACCAGAGATCAGTAAGAGAAGTATCAAACCCAGCGTCGTCCTTTGCGTGGACAGCATCAGCAAGGTCCTTGTAGTAACCCGCAGAATCAAGAAGCTGGATACCACCAGTATCAGGACCCTCAATGATCGAGTTTCCAAACTGCCAAACGGCACCATCTTTGTGCGTCTGCAGCTTATCGATTGTAGTAAAGTTATTGATATAGATTGAACCAAGCAACCAGCTGCCTCCACTCAGACCAGCAATATAGGTAGCAGACTGCAGCAGACCACCCAAATGCCCAGTTGCGGTCGAATTGTACGTCCGGCTGTCGAAAGCCTTGATCGCACCGGCACCGTTCATCAATGCACGCCATCCACCGCCCGAAACGGCAATGCCGATATTTGGCAAACTTGACGAGTTCCCAGCATGTTTATCAAGGTAGGCACCGACGTCATAATCGCCTACTTTCACATGTCCGAAGAAATCCTTCATGGCCGACACGGTCTTGCCGCGGCGACCCTCTAGCCATGATGTCTCGTTTGGAGACAGCCTAGCTGCGCTGCGAACTGACGGTCGGCTCGCCGGGCAACGGACAGAGGTCGGCACGTACCCGTCCGGCGCATTGGGGAAGGCTCGTTGCACACCTGCGAATGCAATATCATCGGGATTGAGCCCACCTGGAACAGCGATCGCGCCTGCGGGAAGATGGTGGTTAGCGTGGAAATTATTTTGGAGACGCGTGTAAGGGTCCAATTTAGCCAAGAATGGTAATCCGATCAAAAAACACACGAGAAGAACTTACCGGGCAAGCTCAGAACAATTGAGACCAACGTAGAAGTCTTCATGACGTTTCACAATTGTAACAGACTGTTAATTGCAAAGTCGTACGGAGTAGAAAGGAATCAATTCCCATGCCCTGGAGGGAAATCTTATGCAACAGGGGAAATACTTATGCGCCGGCCCCGCCGGAAAGTCAGCCAAGCCCCCCATCTCCCAGAGTAGTTCCCTTGGTACTTCTAGGGCTATGTTAGTTGGGGATCACGAATCATGGCTGTCGAGTGGAGTGGAGTTATGTGAATGTTGCCGAAACCTCCGTGTTTCTTTACTGCACAGCATTAAATATAGAATGACAAATCACATTTTTTCGATTCTTTTGAGTCTTAGGTCAGACTACAACATACAGTAAGTAAAACGGCCCAAATTCCTAGGCGATCCTAAGGCTGTCATGTGATACGATCACCAGCCTCCAGGGCCATTGCTTACACCGTATAGTGAAGATTATCAGTTTCATCCAGGCATCCGCATTTCAGCAGTCACTATTGGAGTATGGGTTCGTGATTGCCTAGAAGTGGATTTTTTTTTATTTTTTTTTATTTTTTTCAAATTACTCTTAACAGTTAAAGGCCCCCAGGGTAAAACGGATAACTTAGGGTCCGAAGTGGATATGAAAAAAAGAGGATTCAAGACATTGTAATTGGAGACCAAAATTATGCACAATCCACACGGATCTGTTACAAAGTTCCGTATTCCGTGCTCTCCGAATCTTCCAAAGTTGCCACTCTAATTAATGGTGGCGTCTGAACCAGCCTTGGAAGGCTGGATAGATCTTGGTCTTAAACCAAGCCACTATCGTCTATTGGGGCTTATAGAGTTCCGTATAACTTACTATCGGATAACGGAACCAGTTATCAGCTACATCAATTGAAATATTTGGTAAAAATGTTGAACTTGACCTTGGAAAGACATCGTCCCCAATAACACCCAGAACCAAGTTAAATCTAAGCTTTCTTTCGCACACAAATCTCAGCCACGACCAGGGCCAATCTCGGCAATCTCAAGCTGCGCCTGGCCGTCCTCGTACTCGCTAGCTTGCACATGACCCTCGGGCAAGTTGTTCAACTCGTCCTCCTCCTTATCCAGACTCCAGAACTGGATAATGAACATGCTTCCACCGACAAAGGTCAACACAGCGAAGACGCCGTAGTTCCAGATCAACAGAGGATCCTTGGAAAGCGGTATCAAAGCCTCGGCAATGGCAGCGGAGATAGCGTTGGTGAACATATTGATGGCTTGGATGAGGGACCGCATGTTGCGAGGTGCCTTGGAGTAGGCGTACTCCATTGAGGTAATCACGGTAAAGATCTCCGATGTAGCAACAAGAACGTAAGAACCGGCCTGAGCCCAGACAATGATAGGAGACGGGTCGACGCTACCATCTTTGGTATAACAGCTGTTAGCTCGGTAGCCGCAGGGCGAAGTCTTGTAGATGTAGTACTGAATGACAGCAGCCCATATCATAGAAAGCGACGCCAGCCAGAAACCAAGGGTGATTTTCTTGATGGCCGTGAATCGAATGCCCATTTTGCGCAGCGCGGGGTATAGGAACGTGTCGCAGAGCGGGACCAAGATGAGCAGCGTCAATGGGTCAAGATTGTTCACAACATCATTCGGAACGCCGTTCAAGGTCATCGTGCCAGCCTGTGGGGTAAGGTTGCTTGTCAATTGGTTGTAGGCTAGCCAGTAGATGGGGAACCAGCAAAAAACAGCGCAAGCGGCAAATCCACGGCGCACTTCGTCCACCCACGCATCGTCGAAGGTCATCCACTTGGGCCGGGATCGGGGCTCAATGTTAGAGGGCTTCGCAGTGTCCCAAAGAGTGCCATCGTGCGTTCGTTTCCAGAGGATGTATGGGTTATAGTGCCATCGATCGCGCATACAAAACAAGAATGTCTTGACGGCCTTGTAAGTCACCGAGCCTGTCGGGGGAGACTGGCGATAGCGCTTACGACCCCACAACATGACGAATGGGGTAGTCATAAACATAGCTGTGGGCAACAGGAAGGCCAACCAGAAGCCAATATACTTCTCTGCATAGACCATACCAATCTGACCCATCAATGAGCCGAGGTTGATGAACATGTAGAAGTAGTGGTAGATACGGCTCTGGGTGATAGTAGGGTCGACGACAACACGCTCGCCAGATTTCAGTGTACGCACCTTGAGGTTGACAGTCGGTATCTGCTCGACAACCAGGGCGGATATATTAGGCTTGAAGCCACCAGTACCCAAACCCATGATGATTACACCCAGAACAAACACACCGAAGGAGGCATCGGTGTTCGTGATCACCGACGGGATGGCAGAGATAACTAGGATGATGTGACCCAAAATGGCGACTCCAATAGACCAGGAGATGGTCTTGTACCGTCCCCAGTACTCGTCGGCGATGTAGGCACTCACAAGAGGAAGGCAGTAGCACCAGAAGGTGTTGAAGGTGTTGATGGCGCTCGCAGTCTCAATGCCTTTTCCCAGAGCACCTGATACACCCTGGGAGCTAGGCCCACCAGCTCCAGTTGCGTGGTTTGATCCGGGAGGGCCATTCGGAGCAGCAAGGGGAAGTGCGTGGTTCACGAAGTTAGAGTCTGTGTCATAGTTTTAGCATCATTTATCATGTGGTTCCACAAGGGGCTGTAATCTGTGAGTGTCTTACAAAGCACCTGGGATCCGTAGTAGGAGAAGCGCTCGCACAGTTCAACAAATGCGACGGTGTAGACGGCCCAGGGAATCGGGGCTGAGACGCGACGCAAGGCGTTGGAGCCATGAAGCTCATCTGTAGTTGGGTCCTCATCATTCAGACCCAGGTTGTACGACGGGGAGATGAGACTTTGCTGGGCCTTCTCATTGGAAACTGGGTTACTCTTCCAGGTGGTTTTGCCGGACTCGACATCATGGATAGCGAGCGAGTTCGAGCCCAAGGTTGGGGACTGAGCTGCCATCTTAGATGGAATAGAGACCAATGCAAGTTTTGGAGGAGAAAAAGAAAAGGGGAGGGGTACGAACTGGAGAGGAAAGAGAAGAGGATGGAAAGTGAGAAGTAAACAAACGAGATAAAATCAGATTCTAGGACTGAACTCGGGGCAAACAAACTGCAGACACCCCACTTTGATTGCTCGTAGTAAATTCATGGCTTCAATAGGAGTCATATCCTTTTTTCTACCCTGCTACCATTATCACAGGCTGGCCTTGACCAGGGCATATAGCTCAACATCAGTTGAATCAACAGACCAAAGCGGCAATTAAAGACTGTAATCGATGTAGCATGTAGCATGTGCCGTACTATGTAACCTGCGGTGCTATGTAACAGGTAATACATGCATCAATGGTTCCTTTTTTCACTATAGAGACGGGAAAATTGTGTAGAATCAATGGCGCGAGCAGTGTGTTCTACATAATATTCCCCCAATATCAAATTGACACCGATACAGTCGGGTATGCGATATCAGGAATTAACCAATCATGGAGTTTCTTTTGAGCAATTGAGAAGCAGGTGAGGTTTGATTAAAATGCAGCAAGATTGAAATGTAAGGAAAGCTGAGAAAGAGAACAGAAGTCCAAAAGAAAATACATAGATCTCGGCAGGCGTCTTAGTGCAAGCCCTGAAGGCTTGTAAAAAGCTTAATACATGCTTGCTATGTATTTTTAGCATTGCCGTCTCATATATTTCGGGTTAGAATAATGCCACTTACCTCGAATCACTCTACTCTAATATTATTTGATAATAGGTCGTTCATTTCTACAGGTGACTGCTTTTAAAATAACCCCATTGTAGTTTGGAGCCCCCAAAGAAAGAAAAGCTACCTAGGTAGCATCGCAAGGTTGCATGATGAAGGTTGTAGAGCGAACCTTTTAGATGCAAAAGATTGTACTAGAGATCATATAATCTACGGTTTGCTAAAACAGTCTATGATACCAAAAAAAGGATTCGCAGGCCGCAGGGTCGTATGCTAATACTCTATTATACATGAACTTTTTAGGATATTCGCTAGCTCGTTACTAGTAGATATTAGACTGAATTCCCCGTTGCCCTGCGACCCTGCAAATGAAGCCCTTCGAGAAGGTGCACAGACTCTAGGAAGTACCTAGTACCTGGCCTACCGTCATAACAATGCACAAGAAGGGAAGAGAACCCAGGAGGGGGCAACAGGGCTATGCATGTCATATCAACCAATCAATGAGATATCTTATTATAGCAAAGAAACCCCCAAAGAACAAACCTAGAGTGCCTAGCCGAGATGACAATTGCCTGAGGTCACGGAGCGTGCTGATCTTCTCAGTCATATCTTGACCTACCTAGGTATAGTGTGTAGTCTTGGTACGGATTCAGTCGCCCGTGTCTACATACTATTCAATCATTAGACCATTTCTTCCGCTCCTTGAAAATTTGGCCAAGCAATCACATTTGAGACGACTTGCCTATCTAGGCTAAACTGTCATTACTAGGACATAGGGCACCAACCCCAGCACCTATCATATTTCACTCATGTCCCAGAAGACCAACACGTGCCAGCTCAGGTGACTGCTCGCTGTCAAGTACACACGGCTAAGTCCGGGGTGCCTCAGCAGGCAATTAAGGCATCCCACCAGTAAGCGAACATACCCGCACATCCATAGAAGCCACCACATATAATATCAACTATCAAAGGGTGAGCATGCCTAATTAGTTACCGTTATAGAATCTTCCAAGGTTGGAAGCCCAACATTCCGCTGATACCAACTGTAACATGATTGGCTATCAACTCCATCCTGATTGGCCCACTGGGGCCGGTTCTCCGCATCTTCCCCAGACTCGATGGGAGTGGCGGGTTGGTTTTCATGGCGGCTGAAAAAAGAATGACATCTAATATTTTTGCGATATGTTGATGATACAACGGCGACGTACTTATCACGCGCTACTTCATAATTTTCGGGTTACTAGATTCAGCAACGACATCCTTTTCCGATATTATTATCCCCAACATTTGATATTCATTGGATTGAACCTTAAGTTTGTGCGGCCTTGTTGGGAGGTCAGGTGGTGAATCCCCACGGTTGAGGTATGTGGTACGTTTTGACTGGATGGCTATATACGGTTATTTCTTTCAGTGAGGGGGAAGTTGTTGAGATTCGGGTTTCGGTGCCGAACGACACTTAGGCATGTAAGATATAGGCTGAGGTAGGCTAATAAGGCTACCTATGACAATGAATATATGTCAGTGTAAAACAATGAGATGCGAATGCCGATCTTTGAAACTCACAGTGGATCAAGATTGATACGCAGCTAAACTCTAGATAAAATAGTTTGAAAGGATACCAATTATTATTCAGATTGATCTGTAGTCTAACGTCATAATAACATTCAAAATGCGCAAAGCCAATTTTCGCTGTCCAAGAAAAGGCAACGACAAAAAATAAGAACCAATGCTGCGCTATTCCCGGCGCACAACCCAAAAGAAAAAGACACAGAACTCCATGCAATGAGAGACCAAAAGAAGATGGTCACGCGCAGTGATTGAAAAAGCCAAAATTAAAGGGCAACAATCAATCTACCATGCGGCGTGGCCGCCGTCCATGCGTAGGTCGCTTCCAGTCATGAAGCTACTAGCATCGCTAAGCAAGAAGACAGCGGCGCCACGGTACTCCTCCGGTCGGGAGAGACGGCCGAGCATGTTCTCCTTGGGCCACTGCTCGCGGCGGTCGGGGAACTCGACAAACAGCTTCTCAACCATGGCAGTGACGATGTAGCCAGGGGAGATAGTGTTGACACGGATGTTGTAGGTGCCCCATTCGGCAGCGAGGTTGCGGGCGAGCTGGAGGACAGCAGCCTTGCTAGCGTTATAAGCGGGGCAAATAAGACCCTATAGGAAGAATATATTAGATGGTTGACCAAATAAGAAATAAGACGTGACACGAAAGCGGGGAAGTAGTCCATAAAAAGAAATGCAGTCTTGACAGGGAGACACGAGGCGTATATCGGCAACTTATGGGGTGGGAAGAGTGAAGGGTAGGACAAAAGGAGGGGAGTGAGAACATACCCGATTGGCAATGGTACCGCTCATAGAGGCGATCATAGCGATGCTACCTCCGTTTCCAAAGCGAATCATTTGCTTAGCAACAGCCTGGGAGGTCATGAACACTCCCGTGACGTTGACCTCGAACATGGTGTTGCTGTCCTTGGCGGAGTAATCGAGCGCGGAGGTCTCCTGCTGGATACCCGCTGCGGCAACGAGGCCGTCCATACGGCCCTCCTCATTGGCGATGTTCTCGATGACACTGTTGAGAAGCTCTGTGTCACGCACGTCAATGCGACGGTAGTGCAACTCGGTGCCAAGCTCCTTTGCGCGCTGCTGGATCTGCTCGAACTCGGGGGCCTGGGAATTGAGCGATCATTAGTTTAATGCTGATATGGAGAGGGAAGGATCTGGTGATTGTATAAACCAGATCTAAAGGATGTAGAAACTTACCGGCTCTTCAAGGCGATCGATCGCGTATACCTTCGCTCCGGCTTCCAGAAGTGCCTCTGCTTGGACCAATCCGAGGCCACGGGCAGCACCGGATACCAGCACCACCTTTCCAGCAAGGCTGAACTCGGGCATTCTGGACTTCTGGCCCATCAGGGCGGGCTGGGCAGTCATGGGAGCAGTGGGAACTGAAGTGGTTTCGATGGAGACAGACATTGCGATATGATGTGCTGGTTATTAGGCGGGGGTAGTGACGATAAAAAAGAATATGAACAAAGGCGTCAAAGGGTATAAGACTGATTGTTTTTGGTGTACAGATGAAGAAGAATGAAGATGATTCAGGTGATGAAGAACCATGGACCAGAGAATCAACTATCTTTAAATATCTCTGTGACCCGGCAAAGGCAAGCCGGAACAAGACCAAAGCGGTCCAAAGGTGTCTCGTGAGCAGAAAGAAACTAAAGGACAGCCCAAAAAGGAAATCCAGGCTTGGGCCAAGGGTACTGCAGAGCGGATGGAGTCCAGACCTCCTGGAATGTGGGCCAAACGGCTGTGGCGAGGTATACGCAACCCTACAAACAGGCTCAATTAACACATACAATAATCATTGGTAGTATATAGTACTAGAATTACATATCAATTGAATCTCTCAATTAAAGCAGTTTAAAACTTGTTTTCTATTGTAAGAATCCTTGTTAGACTTGCCTCATAGCTACTTTCAATGAAAATTGAATAACTACGTGAAATTCAGGGATAAATTAGTAGAACCAGTCACCAGACAAGAAATTCACGATAGTTTCATCAACGGTGGCAGTTCGGAACCTAAGGGATGGGCCGGATTTCTTGTTTGGGAAACCCGTCTGGGGACTTGGAACCCGGGGAACCCCCAACGCCACTCTAATTTTTGACCTTATTTCTTTTTTATTGCTTTTGTGAAAAATAAATCAATCCAGGTGACTCCCCCCTTAAGAGAATGCGTATATCGTACACTGCCGAGTAGAGAGCCGGGTCTTCTAGAAATCTTCCAAGCCTCGAAGTACTCTGTACATATGTACTATCCGGGGTCAGGTGGCTCTTTGCAGATCAATTTCTACCAATCACATTAACATATATGGCCCGTGATATCAGTACCTGTCTCGTTCCTGTCCGATCGCCCCGGCTCCAGGGTGGCGGCCCAGGCGAAGAGAAATTCATTGGTCAATTCCTGTAAAAAAAAAATTCTCTCTAAAAAAGTCAAACCTAGATTCTCAGATCTAAAATCTTATAATTTAAGAATGTAAACAGCAAAAAAACAAAAGTACTTTGTGTTCAATCCAAATATTCCTAAGTAAAACCTGGGCAGCTAATTTTGGGTGCGGGGGAAGTATCTCGGGAGTCAACTAAAATTAGCCATTGAAATCCAGACTCACATCGTCCTGATATTCAGAAGAGGACTAAGGCCATATAGCTTATCTGACTTATAAAGCCGTGCACCAATATTGATTATCAAGCCAAGGACAACGCACACCTTGTGACCATCAGAATCTTCCATTCCCAAGCTCCTTACTCAATGGGGAGATTCCGAGGTTTCCACTTTTTTTTGTTGCTCTCGTGATATCTATATCCCCTGGAATTAATGACTTTACCCCGTACCGGTGTACAGAGTACACTCTGCATACTTCGGATCAACACTATCGGTGTGCACTCCGATGGCTTATTTTTTTTTTTTAATCTCCAGGGGTACTGACGAAACCCCCACACTCCGTTCTGGAGGATTCCGGACATATGGTCTGTGCATTCATTTTTTCCCCTTGTTTCAATTAGGTCTGGGCCGGATTTATCTCTGTCGTGCACTTTTCGGGCCTGCCCCGAGTGGCTCGGGGTTTCAACCCACAGGAACTGGTTCGTGGGATATGCACGGGTCAATGTTGTCGGTGAAAAAGTAGTTGGTCAAGGAAAAGCTATTTCTTCGTTGCCGCCGGACCCTACTATGAGCCTTAACGTGGCCAAGTACTTATGTAGTTATTTTCTGTCTCATGTACTTAGAAAATGATTTGTGTAACATTCTGTCGCATTGGCTGTGTTTCTAGTTTCCCCTTTCTTTGGTTTTTGGATTCTTGTTTTATACCCCGTACATACTGCTATCTTTCGAAATCGGTATAGGATTATCTCTTACAATAACAAGCCTCTACTACACGATTAGATAACTTGTTTCTTTATCATTCAAATATAATTGTGAACGCAACTGGTCATGTGTATAAATATGTAGTTGGAAAAGAAATAACGAGATTGCTCACGAGTTACTAGAGGATGGAGACGACACCTCAACGATATATATATATGCATAGATGAACCAAATTTTTTAGTACGTAGTCAGATTGACAACATACCTCAAAAACAAGCAAATCTCATAATAACACCAAATTGAAAACAAAGCTTGACCTTAGCTTCCAGGATCATCCATGCCCTGGGGTGGAATACTGCCAAGTTCTTGCCCACACAATGCCATGCGAACAATTGTACCCCGGGGCCGGGAGAAACCCAGTGGATAAAGCGGGTCCTGCCGAGCCCTATATTCATGTAGGTTAAGACTAGGTTAAGGATAAATATTGGCACTCGTGCAAGGTAGATCGCAATGATCATAATCAAGTGGGGAAACCAAATCAGAACATCAGATCTAGTCGCATCATTGACCAGTATGGTCTTACATTTTCCGAGATCGATTACAGTATCGTTCTAGGGAAGCTGAAATGAAGAAGATGCCCAAGGAAGTGAAGTCGAATGATTTTTGTATGTTATACATATTAGGTCAAATACCTGGTCAATCCTGGACCATCCAATGTACCAAGTTGCACACAAGATGTAACCCCCAATATCGAAGGGCCCTTCGATGATATGTGCAATGTTCTCTTCTTCCTGTTTCCATACAAGTACAGTTGCTGAAGTCCAGGTCCGAGTAACATCAAAGGACAGGGGAAAAAAAAGAAAAACATAAGATTGTTGTCACATATCGTGAGAAGTATGAAAGAAAAAGGGCCGTCCAGCCACAGTGGGGGAAATGTCTTCAAGGAAAGGAGGGAGCTCAAGCATTCACGCTTAAATAAGTGAAAAAAAAACCAACCCCGTGTTAACGCCGGATCCAAGGCAAATGGTATAGATATCATGAGATGAAAAAGGGGCACAGAGTCAAAGGATAAATGGAGGAAATGCGATGCGAAGTAAACCAGTACAGCCACCAAAGTCTGTTTTATCTTCTGATTTGATTTATTTGGTGATTCCCTCGGAGCGAGCATATGATTAGGCTTCACGGTAACCCCAAATGCGTTTTTGTTCATTCACCCACCACTTGCCGACTAGCTCAGCATCAGCAAGCCACTTAGCAGACTCTTCGCCAAATTTAGGCGTAACATCTTCGATGAGGGCCGCAAGAGTCCATGCCTTGATGGGGTGAGTTTCCCCGGGGTCTTCGCCAATGTGGGTGAATGTATATTCAAACCCATCTTTCAGGGGAAGAATGAGACGGTAGGGGACATCGGCTGCCATGACAGAGAGCATTGAGCCACCAGCGTTGATCAATCCCATGTTCCAAACCGAACGATTAGCTGGGATCTTTGTCTGAGACCATGCTTCGGGCTGGATGGCTTCTCCCTCATGTTCTGGGTGCTCATGTGGGGGATGGTGGGAGTTACGGCGGTGAGGTGGTTCTTCTATAGAAGAGAGGAAGGGACGTATGAGAGACTGGCCTTGATACTCTGGGAGTAGGGAAGAGGCGATCTCGGAATCGCGCTCGTCCAGGGAGTTCGACTGGACGAGAAGATCCAGAATGGTGGGGACGATGGAGAGCGTGGTCACGTTGGCGGTGATGTCCACTCGAGGCATATGCGGGTGGTGGAAGACCAAGGGTACACGGAAGTTGCTAATGTGGCCATTCTCGTATGTGCCGGTCATATCCTTATTATCTTCGCCAAAGGTTTGGCCATGGTCGCCGACGACAACAACTAGAGTCTCGTTGGCAATACCTGTTTGCTCCAGCATGGTCATGATGTCGCCAAGCCAGATATCCACGAAGCGCACGGCATTCAGGTAGTTGTTCATCAGGTCATGGTTGATGCTTCCCTGGTTGCTCATGTATGGTTCTTTCTCGAAGTCGTCTGGGGTACTCCAGGGATGGTGGGTTGTGCTGGTGACATGTGAAAGGAACATGCGGGTCTTGTTGTTTGCAGCCTCCTCGAAGAGATCCAACACATAGGGTCGGAGCTCTGTCTCCGCAAATCCAAAGTAGTTGATCTCTTCGCCTTGAGCTTTGTGTTTCGCGCGGGGGGATTTCAGATTACTTTTAACGACCTTGTGCTTAAAGCCCATGTTTTCGTTCAGAACGTCCTGACGGTCATAGTCGTCGGTAATTGACTGCATGAAGACAGACTTCCAGGGGTACTTTAGAGCCGGGGATTTGCCTTCAGAAGAAGAGTTCTGGCGGCGCTGCTCCGATTGTGACTTGCCTTGATTGAACAGATCGAAAATCTGGGGCAAGCATGGTTGATAAATTTCGAGCAAAGACTCCTCCAGCAGGTCCACCGGTAGAGGGTTCACACCGCAGTGACTTCCCAAAACACTTTTGAAAGTCAAGGAGCTACCCGTCATGGCACCACGGACATTAAGTCCACCCATACCTTCTTGTGGCGGGGTCTGCCACGGAGAGTGGCTCAAGTCGACCTTCTCCCCCTTGCTATCAGTTGCGTATTCACCAGTCAACTGTTGAGCGACTGGGGTCATTGTGACCAGACGATCGATTGCCTCGTTGATCTTTTCTGTCTTGTGGGAGGCGAGAAGAGCATCGAACAAGGGGGTGCCCTGTTGTGTGGGGAAAAGCTCCTTGCGGCCACTTTCAAGAGTTAATAGCACTATGTGATTGACCTCAACAGAGTGCTCTTTGAACGCCTTCTGCAAGGGTTCGTAAATTTCACCGTCCAGATTCGTGACCATTAGCGGGTCATCCTTTGGATCGTAGAATCCTTCACCACCATCACAGACAAAAGAATAATGATTATCCTTCTCTGCACGATCGCTGGGACTGAGATCCCAGCGGCTGAATCCTCGGGGAGGGTCTTCGGGAAGCCATGTAGCTCGTGACCATTGTTCCACAAACGTCGAGTCCGACTGGAACTGAGGACGAGAGACCCCATTCTGGTCCGCGATTAATAAAGGGAATGGAATGGCAGGCGCACGGCATCCCTCCACTGTCGCTGTTTTTTTCTGGAAAGCATCGAGTAGTGTCAGCGGCAGAGCTCCGGATAGATGGTCATACGGTATAGCGGGCCTGGTGAGTTCCAAGAAAACGAGCGAGACACAAATGGCGACTGCAGGAATAATGCAAAGGAATGACCGGAGGTCCATTGAGGCCATGCACGATTTGCTTGGGGCGGAAATCAAGGTATAACGCGCTCTGAAACCCCCCACGCATAGGTCTCGGATTGCCTGCAAGCCGAGACCGGTGACGTTGTACAAATGTGAATGAAGCAACCACGCCACCAGTCCCAGGACGGTTGCCGCAGCAGATACAGTCGAGATACCGCTGAGGAGAATTTTCATGGCCGCGGGATCGCTCAGGAAGCTACCGCCAGCTGCCCAGGCGACCTCGGCCCCGGTCTGCATAAAGAATCCGAACTGGATGGAGGAAGCACCCCATGTGATCAGGCTAGTACTTGTTAGGTTATGTTGTGCAAAGTTCCCCCTTGTCCTCCATTTCGGTATTCAGTATTTTGGGGGGTGGGGGGTAAACATACGACAGCACCCCTCCCAACGCAGTCGAGAGCCATTGCCATCGATTTTCTGGCGCATGGAAGCGCAACAAGACCCGCACGAATATGATAACCAACACATCTGATAGAATGAGGGTTGGGGAGTAGAGGACGAAGTAGAGGAATGGTAAGGAATGAATGTGTAGCGCAATGTGTAAGGCCTTGGAGGCGAGGCCACTCACGACGAGTGCCGAGAAAAGGAAGGGCGGCAGAGGTGGTAAGAGAGCGAAGATGAACATGTTGAAATCATTCCATTTGTACAGGGTTGAATTGCGCCGTTGGCAAAAGAGGGGGAAATTAAGGAAAGTCGAAATGGTTAACGAGAGACGAGGTAAGAGAGAGAGAGAGAGAGAAGGGAGGAAAGGGAAGGGTTATTCTTAGATAGTGTGCCTGGAATAACAGAACAAGGCCAAATTAGGCGATGGGAAATTGTGCACGCGACTAAGTAAGAGGCTCCGAATTACTCCAAAATGCTTGTTTTCTGGATTTTCTGGCTCTCCGGTTTTTTTTCCTCATGGATTTTCCATCCTATTTTTAATCTTTTTATTTTTTATTACTTTTAGCATTTTTCATCTTTTTTTTGTTACGTTGGAACCACTTTTGTGTTAAAATTAGCAGCCTCTTTTGGATAGTGGACACTAATGAGAGACATAAGAGGCTGTACTCCGTACAGAGTAGGATCTCAGAGGTTATGTCCAATTGTGCAAGTAGAGAGGTGGACCCTGGGTAACACTATTCCAAAATGATTCGCTCCTTCGGTGAAACCGAAACAAGTTTATAAATATATAAATAATCGGATCCCTAACTGCCGACCTTCCCAAATAGGAACTGTCTATGGAAGCCCCTGGAGTTTACAACTGTACCTTATTCTCTTGAAAAAAAAGAAAACAAATTCACCTAGGCATTTGCATGAAATCTGGGGGAAAAGTGAAGATCAAGCTAATTCCAAGGTTTGCGCCGGTTTCCCGTTTCCCCACTTCCACTTATATTGCTTTCGATGATAGATCTTGAAGATCCCAAGTCTCTGAGCTCTACTCCGTAAGGCAGAGAGCACTGGGTACAATTGCACATTATTCCTTCAATAAATTTACAATATATATGAGTACACATATTTAGCTATCCAGGGGTTTTGGAGGTTGGGAGAATCTGCCTTCACCTATAAAGGCTTGGCGATAGCCCTATCCTGCAGGGGGACCTGTACGTCAGACCTATATCTTTAATATGGCAATTCGTCTGCTGATCTTGACATTTTATCCAACCAAAGTAATTGGACGTTAAATGTGTTCTTCATAGGGTCCTGAGACCCTGGGTATGGGAACTATATAAGGATGTAATACAATGTATGATCAAGGTGATTAAGAACTTAAAGAGTTAATCCAGAGGTTGTGCATGCAACATACATATGTACCTAGTCCACAGTATACATGGAAGCTTGGACATTTCAATTGAACACCGTCATTTTCATGCTTCTCATCCCTCATGATCACGTCAGGTGTACGGAGTATGTACAATGGCAATCAGCCAGCTTATATACAGCTCTTCTCCAATAGCCCAATTATAATAATTTCTGCTGATCCTTCAAGGCAGCACGTTCCCTAACACAATCAGCGATACCCCTCCCAACATCCGACCCCAACTCCTCAAACCCCTTCACAACCCCCTCCCGATCCCCCTCGCCCATCTCCTGACTCATCTTAAACTTCCCCTGCAACCTCTCAATGCGAATCTCAATGCCAATGATATTTTTCTTCAAAAGCTCCACATGATTGACCGGCGCCTCAGAAACAGTCCATGCGCTCTTCTTGTCACCCCCAGTATACCCCATAATGCCCTCCTCGGACTGTCGCGACAGATCTTCAATCTGTTTCTGCAAAAATGTCCCCGTTTCCTCTGCCTTAGAATTGCAGTAAACACTGATCTTGCCATACGCCTGAACGGCGGAGTAGTTCCACGTCGGGACGACCTTGCCTGAGGCCGGTTTGGTTTCTGTGTAGAATTTAGGCGTCACATAGTGGTGATGCGGGCCGTTGAAAAGGATCAGCACTTCGTCTGTGAGCTCAAGTTTATTATTCCCTGCTACTTTTTGCTCGGTAAGGGCTTCCATTAACGCTTTCGCTTGTGGGTTTTGCTTCGCCATGTGGCCGCGCAGGATGCCGGTCGGGATTGTGTCATCGTTTGCGGTCGAGGGAGGTATATCGAGAACGAAAGGGATGTGGCTTGATTGGATAAATGCGTGGATCGGGGACTTGATCGCCGTTGTTAGGATGCCGAGTGGGTTGTCGCGGATAAATTGTTGGAGGACGGGGAGTTGTCCCTCGGCGTGGACGGCGCGGAGATACATTGTAGCCGAGACTCTTAAGGGAAGAAATCAAGAGGTAAATATGCTCAATGGTTTTCAGAGTACTCCGCATGAAAGAGAAAGGAAGACATGTATAAGTAGGAAGTCATCGCCATCATAAGTAGTTTAGATCGCATCCCACTCAATCAACATTGAAGGTTGAGTCACTGCCTATCTATGTTGTGTCATTGGTGGTCGGCACCGAATTCCCACTTTTCTCGGAAATATCCTAGGTAAATTGCACAAGATCAACTTAAGCTGACCACTCTTCGCAGCTAGTTCGAAATATTTCAAGTAGTCAGATCCCAAGCGTGTCTGGACACAACGCCATTGGCAACTCTACAACATATGAGACGCTGTTGCCACGGCAAAAATGAAGATATCATCCTCGGCCAGATAGATACGACTCAGACCTCAACGATTGCAGCAATCCAGTCTCTCTGGGCGATTGCATATCTGCTGGGCAAGGTAGGTGTTCCTAGTGAGGGAGGCTATGGCCCAGGAGGTGCCTAAATGGAATGAATGCCTAGACCCGCAAGAGGTACTTGGGCGTTGATGAGAGGTACCAGTATGTACTTTTTGACTAGACTCCGTATCTGGGCCGTCTTACTCAAGCTTTTGGAGTCAGTTCTAAGCGTAGGAAGGTCATATTCACGAATTTTTTTCGAGCCACAGGGCCCACATGATTATACCAGTGTTGTTAAAGACTATATGGTGGCACGGAAAGAATTAAGTGTAATCTTCAAACAGACCAATAGCTTCACGTATGGATAGGGAGCAGGCGACATCCTGATGTTTAATTCCGGTATTCGAGTATGTTGTTACTGCGGTGTGAAAACACCGGGGGGTGGGCTCAGGCCGGCTCCATAGTTTCTCGGTATGTGTCGATGGGAAATACAGATCTCCACTCAAAGAATTTCAATTTAGTAGTGCCTATCAATAATGCGAACTTCAAGATTATATCTTTATTAGCGAACATTCTCAACCCTCCTGATCAAGTGGTCACGTGACCGCGAACGAGGCAGTAAAATCGATCAGCCCCACGAGACATTCGCCATGATGATACTCCAGGTCGCCAGACCCTGCGTCAATCTGCGGTGAAAGAAACCTGGCTAGGGGTATTTCATTACTCCAGTCCAATAATGCCGAGCGGAGCGCATTGACCGAGTCCAAAACTAAAGCATCCACTTGCAATGCGGGATCGGGTGGTCGGAATGTCTCTGTAAACGGCGATATGACCTCATTCTCAAACCCATCGAGAGTGTTGATGACTTGACCCTCCATCTCATGCACGTTGCGCCAAGACGTCCTCTTTTGTCGCTGCTGAAGAGACTGCAGGGCGACATAAGCCGCCCATGGGACGGCAACTCGAGCCCAAGAGTCCTGAGAAAGAACACCCGTCTCAATTATATTGACAATTTGAAGCGATTGCTGGAGAGCCGCTTCCTCTGCATTCCTCAATTCGTCAGACCGTAATTGTGTCGCAGTGAACATCTTCCTGATCAGCGCTTCATGAAGAACGACCAACATGGCGTTCAACGCAACATCCAAGACCAGCTTGGACTTATTCTCACTCTCCGTACCATTGAAGATATGGCTTATTAGGTGATGTAGTTTGTGGTGGTTTGTCCAGAAGTTGTACGGTTGGCAGCCGGGGTCTTCCTCCTGACTGGCAGTTTTCACATGGGAGACAATCCTGGGAAACAGTACCTTAGCAGCACATATGCCTTCTTCCACAGTCAGGGGTCGTGAGACTGCTTTCTGAAACACCCTAAGAATTGTTACCCCAGCAGTAGACAAAAATCGGTCGACAGGCGGCCGTGGCAACACGGTACTGATCTGTTGCAAGTTTAGAAGGCGAATCAAAGGGCTTCTGCACTATAGTTACTTACCTCCACAATATTTATGGAGTCTATTGCACGACCGCCGAGCGAGATAAAGCCTGCGAGGCCCATGGTTGCCCAAAATGCCATGCGGGCATCTTCTAAATCTGCAGAGTTGACTGAGGAGATTGTGTGGCGTGAGTCTAATATATGCAGCTGGAGTGCTTGGGAAATCCAAACTGCCCGGCTTGCAGTCACCCATGCGTGACCAAAGTCACCGCGATGCAGCTCATACAAGCCGAGCAGTATGGTTGCCTGCAGCTCTTGAAGGGATGGAACTTGGGATGTTTGCATCTGGGTCTCTTGCTGCAAGGTATTCTTTGCCGCGTGGTAGAAGATTGATGAGTAGTTGGATGGATGCGTTGTTGCGCTTGGATCTGATATGATCCAAACATACGATTGCGGGCTGGCGGTTACAGCGAGGGCACAGATTGCATATCTCACAGCGAATCTATCATTTGAAAATTTATCGAGGGAATTCCGCATGCGATTTTGATTACTGAACAAGCGGCACAGCGCTTGACAGGATTTGAAGTAAGTCAAAAAGCTGCAAAACGTAAGCCGGGGTGACGGGTTTCATTCAGGGCCGGGAAGACTGTACAGCATGTGCATGGTGGCCGGGGATAGGTCCTGTACGTGGGAATTAAAGTAACATGGTGTACTGTCTATTGTAGATGCCTGGTGATATATCCCACATATCGATGTGGCGTTGTTGTTCTGGAAGTCTGTGGATATAGCACTTGAATATGAGGAATAGATACTGCAACTGCCAGGAGGATCCTGTAACGAGAATATGTCGGCAGCAGGTGGTCCAATCAATGCTTCCGAATTGATGAGCATATTGGAGGATACTTCATAAGGCACTGATGCGAACAGTGGTACATTGGACGTGAAGTGATCCCGGTAGTCTGTAATAATCTCAGCGCCGTCGAATGTGGGTGGGGACTCGCTGCTCGATGAAGCTATACTCCATAATTAATTAGCTCTTCACACGGGTATCATAAGTCATCTAATTCTAGACTGACATTTCTGCTTCTTCCTCTGACCCGCATATGCGCTGTAAGAGCATTCCCAGGCCACTCCGCCGTTTGCACAACGCTTGCAGTACGGCTGTCGACCATCGCATTTGACTTTCCTTCGCCGACATAGATCACAGGCGGTGTGACGATTAGCCCTTTCTCTCCTTGGTGCGGACGCAATAAGAGGACGATGCATTGCCGCTGGAATTCTATACAAAATGCAAGCAAATTGGGTAAATTTCGCTCTTTTTGTCAGTATAGATGCCTTCCTCGGTAAGTTCCAGCATAGGGTCCTATATATTTAAATACATCTAGATCCTTAGCTCGGCTATTTCTATTCTACACAGGTCATGTGTGAATATCCTTGTACAAGTCACCTAGGCTAAAGTAGAAAATAGTGTCCTTCCTATTTAGTAGCTTAGAGATGCTAGCTCAGCACGAAGCTCACATACGTATCACCGCGTCTCTCTGCCCGAGTGGCTTGCTCAATATGACGAATAGTATTTATGAGGCCAGATCGAGGCGCTCGGTCTAGCCGCATATACTGCCAAAAAGTGATATACGTTGCAGACTGCACGGAAACACTGAAGTACAATCATCCGTTATCTCTCCATGCTGATGGGACAAATTCACTTACCAACCATTTGCTGACATGCATCTTGCGGAGGTGGTATTTCTCAAAACATATCAAGATCTGCAAATGCATCAGAGCCACTATCACAATCTCACCATGTGCAATAAGACTGAATAGGCCGTGCGGGATGACACGGAAGCAAGGTTAGCGCTGATGATGCAGTTGGACATCGCTTAGGCCTTTCTCTGTATGCAATATGCATAATGTTGTATCGCAGGAATACATTAAATCCCCAATTCAAGCTGCATTCAGTCGTTGTCAACCGACGGAATCCGATGCAATTGAGGGGTTGTTTACAATAGCAAAGTATGGCTTCATATTCCAGGACTGAAGGGATTAAATGGCTGTGCATTTTAATTTTGGTACTGTCTTCAACAGTATCCATATCTTCGCAAGCAATCTATCCCAATAACACATGTGGTAAAGTTTTATCTATACTTACTATTCAACAGATATACTATATACCTTATAATTGGCTTACATGAATTCTACAAGCCTGCATCTACTCGGCGCCATGCCCTGATTCTTAATCTTATATCGCTAAGTCTTTCAATGCCATCATGAATCTTGTTGTACGTTGCAAGCCTGTCATTTCGAGCTGTGAAGGGCCGTCGTAAAATTTGTGATTTTAGGATATTTGAGGCTCATGAGGAAAGTAGTGCATTTAGTTGATCTTACAGCGCACGCTCAGCTGTTAGATTGGTGCGTAGGAAAACCTCCCATGGGAGGGTGGGTAATAAGAGAACTGCGAGGTTAGTTAGAGTAGAACACTCTCTTGAGTATGAGAGACCATATTGATGAATCAATATACTTGCATGCTCCACAGTGGAATAGAATACGTATCGTGTCCGAAAAGGGCAAGAGACTCACGCTAGTCTAACGCTAGTTGAATGCCATCCTCTATCAAAAGCTCAACACACACGTGTACGTCTTAGCGAGCTGAGTGCAGAATATGATCATGGTTGTCTGTTGAGGGTTTAGCAATCCCCGGCGTAGAGAGAAAATCAGCAGCCCTCAGGCATCCCTGCTGCCAACAACACTCCTCATTGGCGAAAAACAAAGAATTCCCCTACGAATGCCAATCATCTCCATCCCCCCGCATCTTAAGAATCTTCCTTTCTCCTCTAGCCACCGCCCACACCACCCTTTCTTTATCACTTGAAGTTAATCAATGTAAATAGATAGGAAAATGGGATTATCTCCCCTAAAATCAGGCACTAATAACTGTTGTGGTTACGAAAGCGCTCAACATCCAAGATTTCTCAAGGCCGACAGTTTCTTTACGTCAAAGTGAACAGCATTAAGCAAACACGAGAAATTAAACTTGAATTTGGATTCCCGCCCTTGGCTCGCTTTCGCCCTGCGAAGTACACAACCGCTAGTGTGCTCTGCTCCTTTGGGGGCTTCTTACTAGGGTCTGTTGGCCTGACTATGTCATTAGACAAATCTGATCAATGACTAACAATACATCCTTGTGACAGAATGGACACTAGTATCATCGGGCCCGTCACCATTATGGAAAGCTTCATTGGGCAATTTGGGAAGCACTCTTCTGCCGTCCATGGTATTCTGGTATCCTGCATTCTTCTTTGTGCCGCCCTCGGATCTTTATTTGCTGGCACACTCGCAGACCGACTAGGCCGCCCAAAAGCAATGGCATTTGGTGCAGGAGTCTTTATTATCGGAACGATCTTGGAGGCCGCTGCAGTAAAGCTTTCAATGTTTGCTGTGGGACGTGTAATTGAGGGCATTGGCTATGGCCTCTACTTCAGCACGCAGACCGTCTATATCTGTGAAATATCACCAACAAAAGCCCGAGGGCCACTCACCTCAGGACCGCAGTTCATGACATGCGTGGCACTGGTAGTGGGCTATTTTATCAGCTATGGTACGGTAAAAATACCAGGCTCTCTTTCATGGCGACTTCCCTTTATCATCATTTCAGTGATGGCTATATTATACCTGCTAATCAATCTATTCCTCCTACCGGAATCCCCGCGATGGCTGATTAGACATCGGAATTATCGTGCGGCTGAGAAGGTGTGGGACCAGCTAGAAGTCAAACAGGAAGACCGCGAAACTGAAAATGATAAATCACCTCCCCAGGACCCTACGGCTATCCCTCTGCAATCAAATCTATCCGAGGAAGAAAGGAACAAGCCTGTCAATTTCCGGACTTTATGGGCCCGCCCGTGACGTGCGGAAGAAGACATTTCTGGCAGCGTTTTTGATGGGATTCCTCCAGCTTTATGGTATTGATGCTGTTCTCTATGTAGGGTCTTGTCCCCACTCCACTGCTATCCCCGCTGATTATCTGACGTTTGTCTAGTACGCCCCGTTACTTTTCCAGCAGGCTGGCCTGGAATCTCAAGAAGCATCATTCTTAGTCAGTACTTGGCTTTCTTTTCTTCTCTCCCTCACCTACCAGAGCTGACCCCGTTGCCGGTACAGGCATCTGGTATGTCTGCTATATTAATAGTCATAACTAGCATCCCTGCAACACTGCTAGCTGATAAATGGGGTCGCCGCACTAGCACACTAGTGGGAGGAGTGGGTTTGACAGCGCTCATGATCTTGAATGGCAGCCTCTATGCTGGTAAGTGGTCTTTTCTACGCGGGGTGCGGGTCGCTGGGTGGTGATTGTATCCATCTATCTCTATTGCATGGTACAGGCTACGACCTGGGGCACAGCATCAAGGTGTGGGCGCCAGAGATTCAGCCCCAGCATACGCGCGCCCAGGCGACCAGTCTTGCATATGGTTTGTTTCCACACTCCTGACGTGTATTATTTGATTAACTTCTTTGGCAAGCGCCAATTGGGTTTGTAACTTCCTCGTCGCGTTTGTGTGTCCGATTCTGCTTGACAAAAGTGTGCCAAGCGCCTATTTCCTGTTTGGTGGATGCACTGCAGTGGCAACAGTTGTCAGTTTCTTCTACATGGTCGAAACGAAAGGGAAGTCTTTGGCCGAGATCGAGCGCGCCTTTAGGACGCGGATACCGGTCGCGAGAACAGCTATCCCTATGGTGAGACTGCTGAACTCCCACCATGAAACTAAAGCAGCATAAATAGGTTAACGGGGCCCTTTATTGATATCGCAATCATCATGCTCCTATAAAATCCGACTGGACCTGCGACTGGCCCTCGGCTTGCTTTGGAGGGAAGCATATATCCACGGCAGGCACAATGCAAAGCTACATAATAACATACAATACTCAAAAGGCACCCCTAGTAGAGGATTAGCAAAATAACACCAAGTTTGATGGCATCGTGAAGATGGTATGTTTGGATCGAGCCCCGCATCAACAGGGCCGAGACCGAAGACCTAGGGAGTATCCCCGGCTTGATAATATAACCCCAGGCCACACAATGAAGGCATTAAAAGTGCCCTCACCCTGGACTACACTACTGTGCTAAAAGAACTTCTCTTAAAACCATAGCATCGTGGCGCATCCTTGCACAAACGTGGAGGAAATCCACAGGCCTGTTTAGGTCCCTAATCTGATACGATATTTGAGTTTTGTTTATTTTTTTTTCCTTCAGGTCTCGATGTCCTTCAGGCATTTTATAATTATCTATTGTTCTGAGCTAGAGGTTGAAAAGGAGAAAGAAGACATTTATAGCCACTCTAACTGAACAAAATGATGATATTATGAGTAGGGATGACTGAGCCAAATTACTATACAAAATGTGCATAAAACCAGGAATGATGACGCCAACCAATAATCTAAAATGCACCAAAGACACCGAGCGATATTTTTGAGGGAAAACCGCTAAACAACAAAGATTAAACCTGGATAGGTAGAGGACAAAGATCATATGATACGCGATACAATCTCATCTTTCCCTAACTGCTCCAAGACCCCCTTTTTCAAACCGAGGAACCGCTCAATATCTCCACGGCGCATACCCTGCTTATCCCGCATCGTCAACACCTGTTGGATAGTCAGGGCATCCATGAATGATCTTCCCGGGTGACCCGCACGACCGAAGTGCTCAGCTTCTCTTTCTGCGGCCTCTGTAAGACGTTGTCGAGCAGTGACAACTAGAAGTGCCGGGTTAGAGGCCTGTGGAAAGACAGTTTGCATTGAGCCGGGGCGGTTGAAGGTGCTTGAGTTTGAGAATGTAGGTGATGGGTTGACGGGACCTATTGACCGGAGAGAGGCGGCAAAGTCGGGGTCTCGACCGTCCATGTCAATGGCTAGAGAGTCATTAGTAAGTGTTTCTTTGCTGATCTTGCATCTGTTGCATGGAAGAGACTTGAAAGAATCGCTGGCGAATGTACGCACCATCAGACTTCACGCTAGATGCTTTCTCCTTTGAATGATATTTTGGACCTTGAGAGGGAGGTGTATGTGCCTGAGGAGGCGAGGGACTAGCCTTGGGCTTGGCTACGGGAGTAGGTGTATGTGCAGGCGATGCTTTGGTTTCTTTTGGAGCTTTGCGCGGCCCCCTCGGTGGAGGAGCCGGCTGCTTGGGGTATTGGCGCCGTGAGGCTGCGCCGGCTGCTGACTTAGCAGGCTTTGAAGCAGCGGAACCCATTGCAAATGATGAGCTGCGAAATCGGAAGTGTGGGTGAAGGCGTTGCAGCTTTTTGCGGAGCTTTGCGCGGAGGTCCCGAAGTCGCCTTGGCATTCGATCTTATCGTGCGGCTTATTTTTGCGGCCAGTGAACGTAGATTTTGCCAGCAGAATACTAGTCAGACTTTCCGGCTGCCCAGCCTATAAACCTAGATATGACTCGGAGTCATACGAACTAATACTTTTTCGAAATTCCAGAAGGAAGCTCAAGTCTCTAGAAATCCTCAAGTATTCTGAATAAGCCTTTTCTACGTACAGTGTCAGTTGAGAGGCTTGGACAAAGGCCTGATCTCCGAGGCAGGATACCATCCTGTATAGGCGGTAATAGGGGCGGTAAGGTATCTAGAATATACATAACGTATTCCACTACCGAGTGGGCCACCACTACCGAGTGGGCCACCTATCCAAAACGCGTCAATTAATTTAACCCGTTCTTCTTCAACCACCCACTATACCACCAATTCGCTCTCAACGCTCTAGAAATTTAATAGAGCAAGAGGGTAGGATCTTACTAGCTATCCAGGCTTTTAAGAATCAAGAAATCTCTTCAATTCGTGAAGTGGCGCGCCGTTTCGAAGTCCCCCGCTCTACCTTACAACGCCGCCTCGCTGGTGATACCTTTCGTCCTGAAACACGCGCCAATAGTTATATATTAACAGAACTCGAGGAGGAATCTCTTCAAAAATGGATACTCTCTATAGATTCTCGTGGAGGGGCCCCCCGGCACTCTATGGTACGAGAAATAGCGGATCTTCTTCTTCAAAAGCGTGGAACTACCCCGGTTCCTTCGGTCGGCGAAAACTGGGTTACGAAATTCGTACAACGGTATCCTCTCCTCTCCTCCCGATTCTCAAAACGGTATAACTACGAGCGTGCGAAATGCGAAGACCCAAAAATCATTCAAGGGTGGTTTAATCTGGTTCAAAAGACAATCCTTCAATTTGGAATTGATCCCGACGATATCTATAACTTCGATAAGACTGGTTTCGCTATAGGAGTGATTTCAACTATAAAGGTTATTACGAGAAGTGATTTACCTAGTCGAAGAGGAGTTTTACAACCTAGAAATCGTGAATAGGTGACTACAATTGAGTGTACGAATGCTTCGGGTTGGGCCCTCCCTCCGTGTGTGATTTTTAAAGGCAAAGTCTTTCTTGAATTATGGTTCGAAGGCCTTCCGGAGAACTAGCGTTTCGAAGTAAGCCCTAACGGCTGGACCTCTGATAAAATTGGACTCCGTTGGCTAGAAAAGCTCTTTATTCCTAGTACTTCTTCGCGTACGAAGGGGGGTATCGGCTTCTAGTACTTAACGGCCACGGAAGTCATTTAACGCCTAAATTTAACGAAATTTGTGAGCAAAATAAGGTAATACCAATCTGTATACCAGCACATTCATCTCATCTTTTACAACCTCTGGATATTGGCTGTTTTGCGGTATTAAAACGATCGTACGGTCGGATAGTTAAAACCAAAATACGGAACGGGATCAACTATATCGATAAGCTTGACTTCCTCGAAGTATACCCCCTCGCACGAATTGAAGCCTTTAAATCGGAGACTATTAAAAATAGCTTCGGAGCAGCCGGTTTAGTCCCCTTTTTACCGGAGAGAGTGATTTCAAAGCTCAATATTCGGCTTCGAACTCTAACCCCCCCAGCTAGCCGGGGTAGTGAATCAAGCCGGAATTTTACACCAAAAACCCCTTTTACAGAGAAAGATCTACGTCGTCAGGCTTCATCAATCAAAGCTTTACTTCGTACAAGATCTCGAAGCCCGCCTAGCCCGTCAGATCGTGTATTAAACCAGCTTGTGAAAGGCTTCCGTCTTACAATACAAGGTGCTATCTTACTCGCCAAAGAAAACAAGGAATTACGCGCCGCCAACGAGAAGCAGAAGCAAAAGCGTACTCGATCTCGAAGGCAGATACCCGCCGAAGAAGGCCTTTCAGTTCAAGAAGCCTCTGCATTAATTATGCAGCAACAGGAAGCAACTGAAGCACCTCTCCCCGGCCCCGGTATACCTAGAGAATCGGCTATTCAGCCACGTACGCGGCCCCCCGGGGGTGTGGAATATGTAGATTGCCAGGGTATAGAAGAGAAATATATCCAGATAGACCACTTAGTTAGTTCAATTAATTTAATGGCGTTATGGTTGAGATAAATGTATTTAAAATTGGTAGGTTAGATGGGGTGGCCCACTCGGTAGTGGTGGCCCACTCGGTAGTGGAATACGTTATATCACCACTTGTGCCGCTAGTTAATGCGCCATACCTTGTGACGTCAAAGGAATACATGCATGATCAACAAACAGCTTCCTTAGGAATCTGAATTATATAGCAGGATTGGCTGATGTAGAGCAACACATACTTGTCTGATATATCTGAAAATATTAAGCTGAATTTTAAACTGGGTCTGACAGGGAGCATAGTACATGTTGGCATCTAGGAAGCTCCAAGTTCAACTGCATCCCAGACAACTTGTAGAGAGATGTACAACTACGTTTTGAAATTAGTGATATTTGTGAGTTTTCAGTTGAAAACCTGTAATTTTGCAAAAAAAAAAAAAAAACCACACTGGGTACCACCACAGCTAAGATACAATACCACCGCAACCTGAGACCACACGGCAATTTGGGAGCACTGTAAGAGGACAACCAGGACTACGGCAGATAAATTTACGTATGTTCAGGTGATTACCGAAGACCAGCAAGGCGCCGGCCCTGCACTTCACCCAGCGCACGGCTACCACTAACAAATGCGATCGCACCGACAACAGCCATTGCGGGGAGGATCTGGAACAAGTTCCACGAGGTATAGTAGAGGAAGAAGATCCCCTCAAACGAGACCAACGATCCGAGGAAGACAGTGTGCGAGATAGGGGCAGACTTGAATGCGGAGGGTAGGTGGTTGATGTTGGCGCCGAGGAAGAGCCACTAGAGACAATCTATAAGCAACGTCGTTGGCACAGCAATGAGATCGACTTACCAAGCCAGCAAGAGCGGGTATAGCAGCGCCAACCATGGCGACAAATGCCAGGGTGATAACAATTGGTGGGCTAGACGCAGACTCCTTGAAGATATGGTGGATTTCGGGCTTCTTGCCGTATCGCTCAGTTTCAACGGTCGGCACGGCCTCTTCGGGGTTACGATCAATCGACAGCTTGAACGCAGATTTATCGTAGGCGTCGGAGCTTCCAAACCCACCAATAACAACATGCGCATCAACCGGACCGGTCAGGGACAGGAATTGAATCGGAAGGTCTTTCTGGGTCTGGAGGGGAAGTGTTAGCTGCGCTGCGGAAAGTTGTTTTGGAGATTGCGTACCAATTCGACCCTTGACTTGCCATTATCCTTGACACTGAAAGGGTAAGAGATATCCAATCCAGTCTGAGCATCCTTGAGCAAAAGGAAAGCCTGGTCTGGCCGCTTTGGAGAGCTGTCTTCCTGGGCTGTCAAAGTAACGCGCAAGGTATCGGCACCGACAAGGGAGACGGGCTTCGAGAGCGGCTTGGAGGCAGTAAATCTATTTTGAACGTGTTGATTAGTTTCGCGTACCTTTATTTGCGTCAAAATACATACTTTTCCTTGAACCCTCCATTGACACCGGCACCTTTTACTTGAACGGCCACGGTGGCATCAGTAAAGCTCCAAGCTGTGGCGGCGGCTCCAGGCAAGGCAGCCGCGGCCAATAGGCAGAATGGAACAGTGGCCTGCCACAGATGCATTGTGAAAAAAAGAATCAAAAGAAAACAGAAATGAAGTGAACAGCTGTAGAGAGCTCAGAGATGATGTGAGGATAGAGGAGTTGCAGAATAAGGCGGACAAGTGAAGCCGATAAGCGCCGATCAACCGTAGCCCTAATTTCTTTTCCGCTCGACCTCAGCATCTTCCATCACTTTGTTTCCTCTTGTTCGCTACAGATACAACCTCAACACCTGCCTAGTCCTTACGAGCTTGTTTATGAACCTTTAGAAAATAACTGCGGACGGTTGTACCTCTGGTCCCGTAAGTCCTGCGCCTATACGTCGGGCCCTAATTCCCAACATCTCCCCTTCCGCGCACTGCGGTCTTCTGACGTCGACTCTGCGCTTCACCTGATGACCCCATATATTGTTATTCCCACACCCTAGTTGCCTGTTATTGGATGTATTATCTAGTCTTTCATTTGTACAGCCCAGTCGCTCTATTTATCACCCATTGTATTTGCATGAATAGATATACTGACAAATTGCCGGCCTTTTAGCTCTAATTCACGATGCCTCCAAAGAAGGGCCAGCGTAAGTCGATGCCTGGGCGCATAAATAAAGCACCTACATTGACACCTTCTCGACGTTCACCCCGGGTACCTCCCCCGTCAAAAACTACAAATGAGAGCGTTCAGCCCACCAAAACGTTGAACCTTACAACCGCCCCTCCTCAAGATAATTCTATCAACATTCGTTTTTACACTCCAAATCCACCTGTTCCAAGTCCTAATTCACCTGGCACATCTTCTGAAACACCATCTTCACGTCGGCGGGCCTTTCAGTCTCGTCCATCACGTCTTTCAACCGTTCATACTCCAGCCCTAGAAGCCCCGGCCACCAACCCGGGTAGTCGACGGACAAGACGAACAGCTGCACTTGAAACACCCAAGCAAGCAGTTTCAGATATTGATTTCCCAGATAGCACTGGTAGCGCCAGCTTACCATTTGACCAGTACATGGGCAACTTTGAATCTGAAGGAACAGACGACGGTCCCTCGAGCCCTACTAGTGCCTCCGACATGCGGAACTCATCCCGGGTTCGCAAGCCCACCATGAGGGCCATTGAATCTTTTGAGTCGTGTAAGAAGAAACCTCGACGCAAGAATATGACTATGTCCACCCCGACCGTAGAAACTCCTCCCCTAGCGGCCACTAAGGTTGTGAAGAACAATGTTTCGAAGAAACCAATGAACAAGACCAGAAAGTCGAAGAGAATGTCCAATTTGAATATGCGGAAGAATGCTATTTTGATTGGTTTCGATATTGACGCGAAAGTGGCTGGCAAGAAGCTGTATGACTTGACCATTGAGGCCACAAGCCCTGACTTCACCCCCCTCTCAATTTCCCCATATTCTGGGAGCAACAGCGAAGTGAATACTTTCGTCGTCAAGACGAAGAAAAATATGGCGTCGACATGCCCACGACCAAAACCACCTCGCCCAGTGATATCGATGTCGATGTCGATATGATCACCCAGGATCTCCCAGCGCCTGTAATCGCTCCTTCCCCTCCCACTCCTCCAACTGCAGTCACCAACGGCTCAAGCATCCTGAGCTACAAAAAGCAGTCTGACACCAAAGTCAGCAGCGATGGTTGGGTACAGACTGGCTACGTCAATTCCAGCGGCGAAGAGGTTTCTCTCATTCCTGAAAAATACCACCCTTACTATCCGGCTCACACTTACGGCTACGAGGGTCTTCCTTTCCCCCCAGTGCGCGCCAGAACAAGCCAGCAAGCCGAGACCGATTTCTCACACAGCTTTGCTCCACTCATGGGAGACCGTAATCTCCCATCTGAGGCGACCGCCCCATTCGTCACTGAAAACGTGGAGGAGGAAAAGGCCAGGGCTCTGGCTCGGGCCCCTGCACCAGTCCCTGCCACTAAGAAGCCCCGTGCCCGAAAGCGCCGTCAGACCACGGCCGCAGATGCTGCCGATCAGTCTGCTGCTGCTGCTGCTGCTGCTGCTCCTGTCACTACTGCCGCGACCGGCGGACGCAAGTCGCAGCGTCGCCGTCGCCAGACTGCTCCAGCCCCTGCTCCTACCGTCCTGTCCCCTACCTCTCCTACTTCTCCTCCGACCACTGCGACAAAGGTCCAGTCTTCGGGCCCGGCTGCCGCCGTCGCCACCGCTGCCACCGAAGGCGACAAGCCTAAGGTGCAGCGACTCCGGCTGACCTTGAAGCCGGAGCCCAAGACTGAGACCTCCGGGGATGACTCTGTTTCCAAGCAGGCCCCCGCCGTGCAGTCCCCTTCCTCCCCCGCTCCCTCGCGTGCGCCGTCACCCGCACCGACCACCAAGCGCCGCCGCCGTCGTCGCGGCATGTGAGACCCTAGTAAGGGCGGAGTAAGGATTTTTCCCGCCCGGCTAACGCCGTGTGGCGTTAGCCGGGCGGTGATTATCAATATTAAGTTTCCTTTCTTTGTTTTGTTTTCCTTTTGCTTCTTTTTTTTTTTTTTTTTTTGTATGATTACCAGCGGGCGTTTCAAGCATGTATGATTAGCACCGCGGGAGCATACCATGGAGTTCACCATGGTGAATTGTGAAATTTTTCAGTTGTCTGTCATTTTCTATTAGTATTGCTTCATTTTGTAATCTTTTGTCCTCGTAGTCTCCATAAGAGATAGCCCTGGTAAATCTGATATCTCACGCCGGTAGCCCTCATATCTCACTGAGATTTCGCTTACTCTCGGCTTACATTTGTATTCACTTTGTAATCACAGTCGCACTGTATACTGGTGACAGTTATTATAGGTATGATGTACATACACACTTTGGTTGAGAAGTAATTTTCAGCGGGTCGTCGCAAACGTATGTAGGGTACTCTATTAATCTGATGATTTAAAGGTACAAGTAAACTAAACATGAAGAACAACCAGAATGATACCAAGGGTTTGTCATAAGAAGCATTCTGATATGGCACCTTGTCTTGGTTACGCACTAAGCACAGAGAGAGAGAGAGAGGGTTGACAAAATGTCAGATTAAAAATGATACTAGAAAGAATGTCAATTGGAACGCATAGTTGAACTGTAATTCTTCCAAGGTTGAAGCCCTGGAGGTTAAATATGATGATTAATCAAGTCTGTTTAGTTAGAAAACCAGGGTAACTAGATATGTGCTAATGACCTAAGGTCAGGTACGATGATCATATCAAAGCTTTTGGGGTTTAACAAGTCTACAGATAAACAATAAAAATGACTGACTCCATCTTCATAAATAATCGACCTCTTTGTATAGTAATAATTATGATAACGGTGTACAAGTTCTTAGATTTATGATCTTGACTCAGTCACTTTTTCAATTGAGCAAAAGAAACTCAAACTTAAGGATTTTAGTCACTTGAAAGGCGAATGTAAAAAGACTAGACTTCTTCTTCTTAAACTGAGAATCCCACACTTCTGTATGTCAACCAATAGCACCTATACCTAGTTAACATGAGTAGAACATATATATCAAGCGAGCTTGATGAAACTGGACGGCAGTTTATAGATAATATAAGCTGAACAAGATTATAGTAAACATATACCTCAGCAGAAAACATTGAAGTAACGGAGAAAAAACAAGAGTTTTGTATACCTTTTGATACTTTAAATACAGGATTTAGTCTTACTTACTGTACAGCCTATATTAGCTATCCAACTCATAACCAGTCGTTGAAGTACAGTCTATTTTATGCGTTGGTTTCTCTATTTGTAGATGAGCAGTTACAGTGGTGCCTCAGGCGGCGCCAACACTTCCCGAATCTTCCCTCACGGAATTCACATCCTCCATTATACTGACCAAACAATGTAACCACACCCCAGCAATTTCCTCTATGCTTAAATCTGTCTAACAAAAGTCAAGATTAATGGCATCCCTCAAAGGCCAACACAAATACCGATCCGTGGATCCCAAAACCCGGCCTCCACGCCCAGTCCAGCAACCCGTTCCTTCGCGGCTCCCCAAAGGGGTGGATGATATCCGGAAGACAAAGGAGTACAAAACTGCTGCACGGAGGTAGGTGTCGCTTTTTCCCTATCTTTCATTCTGCTTTGATGTTTTGTTTTGGCTTTTTTCGCTTTTAGTTAGTGAATGATACGTGACAACAATGAAAATCTAATCCTCTCTGTTTCTAGATGGACTTCGATTATTGTCGGATTACCATTTGTACTATGTACATCATGGATTCTTTATGAGCGCAGTGAGTTCTTTAATGCCTAATAGATTTCGATCTTCCCTTTGATTGTATATAGTTACACTAACTTGTTTCCCTTTAGTTTATGGAGGCAAGACTGCCAAGCGGTTTGCAGATCATGCACGAAAGGACTAATCAGCTTGTCTTTTTTTTCATTTCTGAAAGCGAAATTCTATGTGGAATTCTATGTGCGATCTAAAAATTTGAACCAAAATAGCGTTTGAGAGGCTTTACAACTGTAAATAAAAAGTCCCAAAAGAGTCCGTCTCTTCATCTTTATCCAAAGCAGCCTCTTGGGGGAAAGCTACAAATCTAGTTTTAATGTATTTGATTGCATTCATTGTACACTCGAAAGCCCGGAGTCCCAGTGTACATATATCCATGGCTGTGTGTAGGCGAGAACAACCTATTCAGCTTAAATAACACAACAGAAGAAAGGTACAACATCCAGATGCATCATTCCCAATTTTGCAAATCTTGCCCTAAATCCTCCCCACATTGCCAGCCTGCTGGGATGAAAAGCAAGAAGAAAAGAAATATGTATAATCCAAATACGGTATCTGGAGGAGATCATCTAAAAAAACTAAATACTAGAAGAAGGCGGATGGAAGAAAATATCGTATAGATGTCACAGCAAGCCCACAAATTAGCTCCAGGCAACCATCAAGTAGCAACGCCTTGGAAAGGGATAGGGTGATCGCCTGAACCAGCCGACGGCGGTATGGATATCGAGCCACTACCAGTGCTGGTGGGCTTTGAGCTACGCTCGCGCATGCGACGGCCCTCCATGAGACCACGTAAACCGCGTTTCTGGAGACCGATAACACTGCTTAGATCACCGGTCCAGAGCTCACGTTGGGGACGGCGCAACTCGGCGTCTGTGTCACGGCGGTGATGCGTAGAACGGGACTGCGAGCGGCTTTCATCGCCACTGAGCCATTCAGAATCAGACTGGCTGAAACTAGCGCTGGACGCCGACGTTGCTGTGCTTGGGTTACTAATAGAATCCTCACGGTCGCGGTGACTGCGCTGGCGCGAATGCTGGGAGACACTGGTGTCGATGCGGAGAGATGGAATACCTCGAGCGAAGTTGGTGAGATCGCCCGTGCTGCTTGCTGCTGACGCGGAGGCACCACCATGTTCTGTGTCGGATGAGTCTGATGCGAGTGCACGGTGTTGGGAGTTGTTGTTTTCGCCAATTGTGGGTGCAGTGCCATTGTGGCCGGTATAGGCTCCGTTCAGAGCCTCGAGTGTACCTCCTGGTCCACCATTGAATCCAGTACCACGGCCACCCCCAGCAGCCATAGCCGCTGCGTTGAATACAGCTGCAGCATTACGCCCATCGAGAACTTGATGGAGTCTTTCAACGGTGGCTTCTAGTAGGCCGTCGATCTGATACGGACGTGCAAGCTGTAAGAGCGAGCAGAGAATTTGTGGTGTGCAAAGTGAGGTGCCTGCAGATGGAAGCGCTGAAGTGTAGAGGTATTGAACCAGCACTTGAAGAGTCAAAATAGTGTGGGGGAGATACAACACACGCGGTCGGGAGGTTGGAGCGAGACTGTGAGCAGACGGAACTTCGAGGTTCTCAAGCAGAGACTTCGACGGTACAGACTGATTAACAAGAGTTGTTGCATCGGAGCCTACCGAGGGAGTGATGGTAATACTCGAGTTGCGGCTTGGGTGTGTCTGGGCCGGGCGGAGGGTTCCGATGTCTGCAATACCTCCTTCCGACGACTCACGGAGGAGTTGGATAAAGTAAGGACCCCAGCGCCGAGTCAATAAGCGGGAGTTGACGGAAATACGTTCGCCCCCCACAGCCTGTAACTCCATGTCGGCCATCTCTGGCAAAGATTGCGCGAGCTTGCCTAGCTCATCGGATGCGGCAGACAATGGTCGTCCACCTGATGTTAACTGCACTAACTTCTTCTGTAGAGATGCTGGAACAGAAGAGGAGCTATAAGATTTATATCCTGAGGTTGGAGAAGTGCGGCAAGGATTGTTGTAGAGTCCAAATGCCTCCAGCTCGACCAGACAGACGTGTGAGAAGTTGATTCGCCGGTGGTTGTAATCATCGACAAGGCTTCGCTTCCGATGTCCAAGAATCACAAAAGAATTACGGCGAGGCCAAAGTACTCCTCGGTTCCAACTACCCTGTCCAAATACAGATCCTCCAGCATCAATACGGCCCCAAGTCAACGTCTTCAGGTCGAGAGCCCACAGTGCATATTCTTGCTTTGATGAAGTCAGATAGGTACCACTAACAACGAAGTGGCCGTTGATAATGCCACCGTTTGGGAAACGCAGTCCCGGAGGGGACGCTTGGCTCTGCATCGGTCGTTCGACAAGGCGCCCGTCCGGCAGGCGCACCTGCAGTTCTAGCTTAACATCAAGGAAATTGTAGTTGGAGTATATCAGCATAGGGCAACCTGGTGATTCGGTGAGATCTTGAATCGGCTCGTGTTGCTCGCGGTCTGGAGCTGAAGATCCAATTTCAGACACATCCATTCCCACCAGAGGAGCTACAACACTGCGATACGCGCCGCAGCTCCTTCCCAGAGGGCTGGTGTTGGTCCACTTGAGACTCCGCAGATTAAAAACGCTGATTTGTTCGATGTAGTGATTGGAACTATCCTGACCTCCGACCACCACCATCTCTGCACCTCCGAAGCCATCGATATCCACGCCAAGTGTACCTTGGTGAGAGGAGGATTCGGGATTATTGTGGATGGCAGATAGTGGTGCACTAGCAGATGTGAAGCAAGCGCTTGACGGCAGTATCGTAGCACAGTGTGCATAGCGCCCCTGGGGAGATTCATGGGCAGCAACACGAGTCCATGCCCGCGATGGTACATCGAAGATGTGAATATCTGACATAACCACGACCTCCGATTGTGACTGTGATTGTGGTTCCGCAGGGTTCTCGGGGTCTTTTGGCGTACTCGGTGCAGGTGACATACCTCCATAGCATACCAACTTGTTATCCCCCAAAGCACACACACTATGGAAGTATCGCGGCGGTGGAACATCTCCAGCGGGCTCGACTTTCGTCCAATGTCGTCGAATCAAGTCCAATTCATAAAGGTCTGAGGTTAGTTGAGGGCGGCTGCGCGAGAGGATCCGGCCTCCGAACACGTATAGCTTATCCCCCAGTATGGTCGTAGTAGCACCGACGAGAGGACGAGGTTCCTTGCCGGTCGTTCTTCGCACGTTACATACCAGACCAGAGAGATTGATAGGGCCCGAGGCCCCCGAGGCAGACTGCTGGTTCAGGGATGGAGAGACCCCCGGCGCAGAATCCTCTCGTCCTGAATCCATATACCCCAGACTCGACTGACTTCGCGACATCATGCTGGGCAAATTTCCTGTCTACTTTCAACGGAGACAAGCGTGTGACTGGTCTTTGACCTCTGTTTAAGTTCACCCGGTATCTCTCGCATGCGATGACGCGTTTCTCTGATCTCGTATGCGTTATTCTTGGAGAATATTCCCGGCGCTGATCGTAGGTGTATCCGGTACGGCTCAAAAGGGTTGTTTGTGGGGGCGGAAAAAGGGGGTGGTTCCCCGCGACGCCGCAACTTTGGCGCCAGGCTTCACAATGGGGATATTGATGAACAAAAACTAATCAGTGCAGACTACTGCCGTTCGTATGTTGGATGAGCGCACAGTCCCGACCGAAGTGTCAGCCGTTAAGTTTGGGGATCGGCACAAAAAATGGTTTACCGCTTTTCTCCTTTCAATATGTGGCCCCTCCAATCTATATGTTGTAAAGCCTTCAAAAGATCAGGTATGAATCGTATATTTTTTTCATTTAAATAGGAAATCATCGATACTGTCTAAAGTAATTCTTATAGATGAACCTGCAATCCAAACCTTTGCTTGTAACCAAAGAAATAGACTTCAATACTTGGGTCTTTTATACTTCTTCCGAGAAGGCCTGCGTTGTTGAGGTATTTCTTCCCATTTACTGCTTGACATCGATTGATAACTTTAATATGTCAGTATCCTCTGTTCCAGATATATTGATAATTAATTTTGTTTAACGTTGACACACTTTGATGAGTTTCCCTTTAGGGCTGACTTGGGGTCAACTAGTTAGCTGATCGTCCGATGACCTGTGAACAACAAAAATCAAATTGAAGCATCCAAAAAGGCAACCGCGAAGATATTACGAAAGCACCCCTAGATGGTAAACTAGGTTTTGTCAGATGTTAAAGTCCTTCCAAGGTTTAATAACTATTTGAATAATAATCGATTGGTGTGAGGATCAAGCAACAAGGGAGGCCTGAGGGAACCTAAACCAGGCTAGAAAAATGAACCTCAGCTATCGCATGACAACTGACAAGGTGTACGTGTACCTGGCTAGAAGCACTGGTGCGCATGGAATACATGCCTGGTCTCTTGTTCCTATAGAAGGCTAAGCCAAGGCAAGGGAGTGCAATGGTGCCATGGCAAGGACAATGCTGTGTGCAACGCATCTTGAATCATGTCTCTAACAACCACTCAAGATTTGTTTCCACACCTTACCGCATTTGACAAGGCCTAGCTTCAATATTATTCAACAGATTACATGCACACGCGGGTCTATTAGTTGATATCTTGAGCGGTGTAGCTAGTACAATGACTATGTAACAGGCATAGTAATAGCTTCCAAGGTTAGCAGATATTAAGATCACTCACGCTCAGCTCAGCCTTGAACTTAAAATCAGAGAAATTATTTAAAGTCGAGCTGTCCTATAAAGGTTTCCAAAACTTGAGGGTTGATCTGTAAATGGGCTTTGGCTATCAATTCTAGATTTCTAGATATTCCGGAAGGGCGATCTTTTGAAGATATATCTGGTCCGATAGAATTGAATTGTTCTATTTGAGAGCTCAAGTTTGAAGCCCCAGCGCAACTACATATGCAGTGACATGGCAAGTCCCCTTACTCCAGTGATATACTAACATTTTGGATGGAGTAGATACTACGAGCTTGTTTTCTTCTTTTGTATCGACTCTCTCTAGAGGGGTAATAAGATAGATATAACTAAGAACTTTAAGTATGTAAAGAATCATGTCTTCTATAATACTGGTCATTAATAAAAGGCACATTTTGCATTAAACACGAGTTTGTATTGGGGATTGCTGACCCCATGTTG